GTAGGTAGGAGCTTTTTGGTGAGTTTGGACATTTACAAGCGAATGTGAACGAGAGACAAAGTTTTGATGCATGCAGTACTGGCTCTCCAGCAGCATGTCTACAGCTGTCTATGTCTGGAGTTGCTAGGCCAACGGGCCTGCCTGCTCTGCTCAGAGAAGAGGGGGGAGGAGCCGATGAAACGCAAAGAAATCAAGATGGCAGTAGCAGCTGTACAAATATCTCATCCCAAGGGCTTTGCCTTCTAAAACACGGCAGAAAGCTAACACTATGATGCCTCATCATCTTATTAATTCCGTAACTTACTTAGATGGCAAGTTAAACTAGGGGTCATGTTAACTAATAATTATGCGTTTTTCGCGCAGGAAAAACATTTCTGCACGGCATCAGACTAATTTTGGGCTTCAGTTGCACTTCTAAACTCGGATAATAATTCACTAATGGGCATTCTATCAGCAGACAGCTCTCTGGCAGATGTGGAGCTACTTTTCTCAGGTACTTTTCTCGGTGTAGCCAGCCTATTTTCCTCCGGTAAAATACAATATTTTAGCATGTATATCTTGATGGGGCATGCCAGCAAAGCCACTACACAACACTAAACAATACATTAATTGCCAAATTCTCACTTGAAACATTGTTTTTGTGTTTAATAGGCTAAATTACACATTCCGTTAACATATGATTCATATCGATTCCAGGCTGTATCACAATCCGGCCGTGATTGGGAGTCCCATAGGGTGGTGCACAATTGGCCCAGCCTTCGTCCAGGTTTGGCTGGGGTAGGCCGTCATTGTAAATAAGAATTTGTTCTTAACTGACTTGCCTAGTTAAACAAAGGTTAAATAAAAAAAATGACTCCAAAGTGATCTGTTCTTATAATTTGTTGCCTATGACATTTCAGATTTACATATGATAATTTCTCTGGAAGTAGTTTGGATGTAGTGAACTACTTTTCCAAAGTAACTTTATTTAAGTAAACTATATTTTTCTTAAGAGTAGCTTTAGTGTAGCTTAACTTCTTCCAGTGTAAAGAAATTGGTAGCTTGGTAAACTTTATTTTCAGAGTAGCTTCCCCAACACTGCAAAAGTGACTGCTGTCCTAGTTATGAAATTATCAACTTTAGCCTGTATTTCAAAAACTTACCATATAGTGTACCGCCACTGTACTCATATCCTTCCATGTTCTTGTCTGTACATAATGCCCTGAATCTATTCTACAACCAAAAATTCAGAAATTTCCATCCCCAACTACAACATTTTCCGTCTAGATAGAACTGCCAAAGGGGGCGGAATTGCAATCTACTGTAGCGATAGCCTGCAGAGCTCTATCATACTATCCAGGTCTGTGCCCAAACAGTTTGAGCTTCTACTTCTAAAAATCCACCTTTCCAGAAATAAGTCTCTCACTGTTGCCGCTTTGCTACAGACTCCCCTCAGCCCCCAGTTGTGCCCTGGACACCATATGTGAATTGCTTGCCCCCCATCTATCCTCAGAGTTCGTACTGCTTGGTGACCTAAACTGGGATATGCTTAACACCCCGGCCGTCCTACAATCTAAACTAGACTCTCACACAAATTATCAAGGAACCTACCAGGTACAACCCTAAATCCGTAAACATGGGCACCCTCATAGATATCACCTGACTAATTTACCCTCAAATACACCTCCGCTGTCTTCAACCAGGATCTCAGCGATCACTGCCTCATTGCCTGCATCCATAATGGGTCCGCGGTCAAACGACCACCCCTCATCACTGTCAAACGCTCCATAAAACACTTCAGCGAGCAGGCCTTTCTAATTGACCTGGCCCGGGTATCCTGGATGGATATTGACCTCATTCCGTCAGTAGAGGATGCCTGGATGTTCTTCAAAAGTGCTTTCCTCTCAATCTTAAATAAGCATGCCCCATTCAAAAAATTCAGAACTAAGAACAGATATAGCCCCTGGTTCTCCTCAGAATTGACTGCCCTTGACCAGCACAAAAACATCCTGTGGCGTACTATATTAGCATCGAACAGCCCCCGCGATATGCAACTTTTCAGGGAAGTCAGGAACCAATATACACAATCAGTTAGGAAAGCAAAGGCTAGCTTTTTCAAACAGAAATTTGCATCCTGTAGCACTAGCTCCAAAAAGTTTTGGGACACTGTAAAGTCCATGGAGAATAGGAGCACCTCCTCCCCAGCTACCCACTGCACTGAGGCTAGGAAACACTGGCACCACCGATAAATCTACGATAATCGAGAATTTCAATAAGCATTTTGCTACGGCTGGCCATGCTTTCCACCTGGCTACCCCTACCCCGGCCACCAGCTCTGCACCCTCCGCTGCAACTTCCCCATGCCCCCCCACTTCTCCTTCACCCAAATTCAGATAGCTGATGTCCTGAAAGAGCTGCAAAATCTGGACCTCTACAAATCAGCTGGGCTAGACAATCTGGACCCTTTCTTTCTAAAATTAGCCGCCGAAATTGTCGCAACCCCTATTACTAGCCTGTTCAACCTCTTTCGTATCGTCTGAGATCCCCAGAGATTGGAAAGCTGCCACGGTCATCCCCCTCTTCAAAGGGGGTGACACTCTAGATCCAAACTGTTACAGACCTATATCCATCCTGCCCTGCCTTTCGAAAGTATTTGAAAGCCAAGTTAACAAACAGATCACCGACCATTTCGAATCCCACCGTACCTTCTCCGCTATGCAATCTGGTTTCCGAGCTGGTCATGGGTGCACCTCAGCCACGCTCAAGGTCCTAAACGATATAATAACCGCGATCGATAAAAGACAGTACTGTGCAGCCGTCTTCATTGACCTGGCCAAGGATTTTGACTCTGTCAATGACCGCATTCTTATTGGCAGACTAAATAGCCTTGGTTTCTCAAATGACTGCCTCGCCTGGTTCACCAACTACTTCTCAGATAGAGTTCAATGTGTCAAATCGGAGGGCCTGTTGTCTGGACCTCTGGAAGTCTCTATGGGGGTGCCACAGGGTTCAATTCTCGGGCCGACTCTATTCTCTGTGTATATCAATGATGTCGCTCTTGCTGCTGGTGACTCTCAGATCCACCTCTACGCAGACGACACCATTTTGTATACATCTGGCCCTTCATTGGACACTGTGTTAACAAACCTCCAAACGAGCTTCAATGCCACACAACACTCCTTCCGTGGCCTCCAACTGCTCTTAAACGCTAGTAAAACTAAATGCATGCTCTTCAATTGAACGTTGCTTGCACCCGCCCGCCCGACTAGAATCACTACTCTCGGCGGGTCTGACTTTGAATATGTGGACAACTACAAATACCTAGGTGTCTGGTTAGACCGTAAACTCTCCTTCCAGACTCACATTAAGCATCTCCAATCCAAAGTTAAATCTAGAATCGGCTTCCTATTTCGCAAAGTCTCCTTCACTCATGCTGCTATAAATGCCCTCGTAAAACTGACTATCCTACCGATCCTTTACTTCGGCGATGTCATTTACAAAATAGCTTCCAACACTCTACTCAGCAAATTGGATGTAGTCTATCACAGTGCCATCCGTTTTGTTACCAAAGCCCCATATACTACCCACCATTGTGACCTGTACGCTCTCGTTGGCTGGCCCTCACTACATATTCGTCGCCTAACCCACTGGCTCCAGGTCATCTATAAATCACTTCTAGGTAAATCCCTGCCTTATCTTAGCTCATTGGTCACCATAGCAACACCTACCTGTAGTATGCATTCCAGCAGGTGTATCTCACTGGTCATCCCCAAAGCCAACACCCCCTTTGGCTGCCATTCCTTCCAGTTCTCTGCTGCAAATGACTTGAACGAACTGCAAAAATCTCTGAAACTGGAGACTCTTATCTCCCTCACTAACTTTAAGCATCAGTTGTCAGAGCAGCTTACCGATCACTGCACCTGTACACAGCCCATCTGTAATTAGCCCACCCAACTACCTCATCCCCATATTGTTATTTACATTGTTATTTATTTTGCTCATTTGCACCCCAGTATCTCTATTTGCACATCATCTTCTGCACATCTATCACTCCAGTGTTAATACTAAATTGTAATTATTTTGCACTATGGCCTATTTATTGCCTTACCTCTTTAACTTACTACATTTGCACACACTGTATATAGATTTTCTACTGTGTTATTGACTGTACGTTTTGTTTACCCCATATGTAACTCTGTTGTTTTTATCGTACTGCTTTGCTTTATCTTGGCCAGGTCGCAGTTGTAAATGAGAACTTGTTCTCAACTGCCCTACCTGGTTAAATAAAGGTTAAATAAATAAAAATAAATACAGATTGTTTCTAGCAAAACTACCAAAATTATTGTTGATGTTGAACCTGAACAATCAAAATAAAATAAAATGTAAGCGCCCCCGTATGTATGTATGTATGTATGTATGTATGTATGTATACATACGGGGGCATATGTATAGCCAGATGAGTTGTTTCCGGTGGTAGTTTAGGCTACTTTTATTCCAGTAAAACACAATTTTCAACAGTGCATTTGATAAAAAGAACCTACCAAATTAAATTGGTTGTCACTCAGCTAATAAAGCAAAATATTGCGCAAGCCATTTTACAAACATTTGAATGCTGAAGGTGACACGCATGATCAGGAATAGGCCTACCCCTTGTTAGTCAGCGCGCGAAGCTGAGCACAGTTTGACTAGGCTACTGATATTGCCTGGGGTTGATGCAAAATGACTTGTAGATCAATGACTGTCAACACAATTACTTCCGTAGTTCAACACTGAAGGAGAGGACACAGTTGTCACAAAAGAGGAGGTATTTTCAAAGGTAGAAAGAAAGTAATTTGAGCAACCCAAAAATTGTGAACCGGCGATTCGTAATGTTTGAATCGATGTTCTGACCGATGAATAATACATTTGGATCGGTTTCGGTCCCGCGGGCCGACACATTCATATCTTAGACATTTGAAACAGGGACCGATGCGTATCGGTGAATCCTTTAATCCGTCTGTCTTCATTCCATTTATCTTCCAATGTAGGAAGAAGACAAAGAGGAAGAAAAGGAAACAAATTATAAAAATGGAAGCGCAGCAAGACCCTGAAAAGCAGAAAGCTCCCAAGCGGAAATTTCCCAAGCAGCCAAAGAAACAATCACTGAAATGGATACCGCAAGTGGCAAAACTAAAAGCAGCTAAATCTAAAACAGCAAAACAACAGGCCATAGAGAAGAAACCCCAGCAGAAGACATTATCACAGCCACCCAGTGGTAAGATGGTACAAAACAAGGAGAATAGGCTTGCCGGGAAACTCAAGGGGTCCCCCAGTCAGCCAGCCACACCGCAGGGGCAGAGTGTAGCTCAGCCTCCCTGGCCAGAGTTTAGGGGACCCCCAGGTGGAACGTGGCACCCCTATAGTGAACACACCCAGTCCACATGGCCCCAGACCCATCAAGTTAGCAGTGATGACAATCCTCCAATATCTGACACTGGTGACAGAGGAAGGGGCTTCAAAGCTAGCAGGCCCAGTACATTTCATAAGAGCTTTAGGGGAGCTGGAGTAAATCCTGTGACTCCACCACCAGGCCAGCTGAGATGGCCTAAAACCAGCCAGTTTGGTTACGAGTTCTATGGGCAGGCACCCAGTGGGCCCACCCCCAGAAAGACCCAGGATATGGACTTCACTAGTGATCACCTACCTCCAAAAGGAGCGATCATCTTCAGCCAAGTGGAGGGACTTCCTGGTAGTACCCCTGCCCCCGTCTCTACCTCCAGCTCAGGTCCCTCTGGTCAGGGTGACAGCGACACTGGCCGGATACGGAGCGTGGACGTCACTGTGATGCTGCGTCAGGTCCGGAGAGCCCTGGGAGTGAGGGAGCCCCCAAGAGCCTCTTCCGTCACCCCGACTCTCACCACGACTCGGGGCCATCGCAAGGGGGCAGAGGTCGATGAGGGCCAAACCAAAAGGACACAGAGGACCAAGCGCGGAGAGGCGGCCACACCTCCACGTTCCGCAGTCAGCCAGTTCACCAGCCTCCCCTCCACCACCTCCTCCCTGCAGTCCCCACAGGTTAGTACTACCAGATCTGTGGCTTCAAGTGAAACGTGGCCTCTCCCTGGCAACCGAGCTCAACGAAGATCAACCCGACACCCCAAGGTAGAGGAAAACAGTAACTCACAGCCGACGAATAAAGGTGAGGGATTGGCTTCCGACACATACGGTCCGGTTTGCAGCCAAACGGATCCCCAGGAAGGGTCAACTGTGCCCCGACTGAGCACCCTGGCACTACCCGCCTCTCTGAAGAGGGACTTGACCCGACACATCAGCAAACCCGGCGCCCATGAGCCTAACCTGAACGCCGCTCGCCGGATACGGAAGGGCGAGGGGGAGAAGGAGACGGGGACCGGGGCGGGGCTCAAACCCACGCTGCAGAAGCTGCTCAGCTCAGCGGGGTCACAGAGGAAGGTCAACTGGAGGGAGATGTACCAGGAGGCCAACCGGAAGAAGCAGGACAAAGTCAAAGGCATGCCCAGGTGAGGGAGGGCAGCACTTAGGACTGGTTTCCTAAACCCAGGTTAAGCCTTGTCCTGGAGTAAAACACACTTTCAATGGATATTCTTCATTGAGAATGGTTGGTTTTTAGTCCATGACCAGGAAACATGTCCAGATTAGCAATTTGATTATTCTGGACCATTATGTGTGGGTTTTTTTTTTACGATGCAGTTTAAGACTAAGATAAGATCAAAATGTCTCTTTTTGACTGTTGCTCTGGAAGCATGCATCTGTTTTTCCCACTACGATATTCTCTCTAATTGGAAGGTAATGGTTTCATGTTGCAGGTTTGGCATTGAACTGGTGAATCCCCCCTCCGACCCAGAGGGCCTGGCCCTGGACGAAGACGAGGACCTCCCCCTAACAGAGGGCTTCCAATGGGAGTCTGCTTTCCCCGATGGAGCGCCGCCCCCTGCAGCCCTATCCACTCCCTCTCTCCCGCAGGCAACGCCTGCCAGTGATGTCATCAGAGAGCAACCACCAGAGGCTCGGATGCTGGGCTCGGAGCAGCCTAGCACTGCACTGTGGGATAGCAGGTCATCCCAAGCCCCTCGGTCTTTATGTGTGAAGACTGAACCAGAGCAGTACAGGGAGGCAGGAGTGGACAATGAACAGAGCGAGTTGAACACAAAGAGGAAAAAGAAGAAGCGGAAAGCGGTAAGGGGAGGAGTTATTAGACAATCAGGCTTCTTTCAAGTCTATTGATATTAACAAATGTGCTGGCTAGTGTTCACCCTTCTCTTTTGCTCTGTCTTTGTCTTAGTATAGTGACTTGGTAGACGCCTCTAGTGTGGATCAGAGTGGGAAAAAGCAAAAGGTTAAGTCAAACAGCGGTAAGTTGTTTCTTAAGAAATATTTAGTGATACCCTCCTTCTTCCTGAAATATGCCCATATTGTTACTTCTCTGTTTGTGTCTACGTTATAATCGGTTCTACCCCAGCTACCATAAAGAATGAGCCCGGTATTGTTAGTGGAACTATTGTAAACAGCATGGGTAGTAATTGCATAGCTTTAGATTCTGTCCCTGTAACCCCACCGAACGTAATAATTTTTGGTCATACATTTTGACAACCACACGGAGGCCAAATACCCCTGTGCGTTACCTCCAACTCCGGAGGTGCTTGCTGCTCACTAGTCAGTGAATAAAATGTCTGCACAGCCGCACTTAGCCAGGAATGAGCCGGCGTAGAGGGCTCAGGCACCAACGTACAGTCTCTCACCCAATAGCCAAATGCGCCGCATTGGTGACGAGGTTCGGTGGCTTTTCACTGCCGAATGTATTTGTTGTCAGATTTACCTCTCGGCTTGGTTTTGTTTTTGTTACTCTTGAGTCCATTACCGGTGCCTGGGATATGGGTAGCCGCGACTACACGCACTGCAAAGTGAGCGGAATTAGATTCCACTCTCAGTGTGGCTTGAACTATCTCTGCCCATGTGGAGTGTTGGTCCACCACCCCTGCAATAGCAGTCAAAGCAGAGGTAGAAATTACTGCACCTTCATTACCATTATCTGCTAGTGCCAGATGGGTGTGCAACGCGTCTTCCATCCTATCAACGTACTCACTTACCCAGTCCATTTGATGCTGAGTACATCTACTAATTGTGGTTCTATCATTTTTGTTTTTATGTTGATAGAACGCTAACATCAAAACGCTGGTGTATTGAGCTTTTTAGATTTTTGTTTTATGGCCAACTCAAAATAGCATCTCTGAATTCCTTATTAGATGGTCAGCAGTTAATCTGATCCAGTGTGCTACATTTTTCCCATATTCGAGCAGAATTGGTAGATTGCTCGTGTGCCTCTTTCAGCGCCTCTATGGCTTTGTTAAACTTTTGTACCTCTAGCCCCCCTTTAAAGGGAGGATCGGGGCCGCCGGTCACCATTTCAATAATTATTATTCCGACACCTCTCCCGACGGTGGCTAGGGTGTTTAGATTTCCTCACCTACGGCTCTAATACACGCAATTGTAACTATTTTTCTAGGTAGTCCACTTCCTGGAGAGTAGTTATGGTATAGGTGCCTAATAATTTGGTCACGGGACCTGATACCTTGTATTAAAAACGCGTCTGACAATTTACTACTAGAGAATATGGGAGACCTAATGTCTCATACCAGTGTCACGCCTCAAATATCACTGTTGTTGACAACACACATTACCAAAATTACTCAGTTGTCTTCCTATTTCCACATAATCTGTCACGGTTCCCCGCTCCAATCGGGCATATACCAACCTCTCTCATTATTACTACTGCTAATACACACATCACTTTCAAACAACTTTCTAATATCGTTTCGTTTTTCCAACCATGGAGGGTGCCCTCCTCCAGAACTTACAGGCAACCTTCTATCGCCATCCACATTCCCACTCACTGATCATGTTTCATCTTTAAGCACAGATATTCTCAGATATCTCCTGTTCTCCACCGTATGCACATCCTGCCTTTGTCCTTCTACATGGACTACTTCTCCACAACCTATCGTACTAGTACACAAGCATCACAATTTACCCATACATACACTTTATGGCCTCACGGCCATCGCGGCTGGGGCTTTCACCCCACTTACGGGTCTGGCAGGGAACCAACCCACTGGGACTTATCCTAGCCTGGAATTTACCTTACACCATAGGTTCACCCACAGCTGACCACCTATGGCCCTGGGACTTATCCTCCCTAAGAACTACCCTACCCCGTAAGCTCAATCTATGGTGCACACAGGAACCATCCCACTCGGGACTTACCCCCTAGGGACTTACCCTCCGCAGGGACCACCCTGTTCGGGATTTACCCTTCCGGTACTTACCCTATACCATAAATCTACATCCGGTCATAATACAATGGGACTACTGAATAAGATCAGGCTTTCTAGGTCAGTATCCTATAATTTGTATTCAGCCTACGACTATCATCTCCCCAAGATGTCAGAATGAATGGTAAAAGGTGTAGGAAAGGGACTGTGCCTACCTTGTTTTGGTGCCGGCTCCTTTTCCACTGATTCGGACTCTCCAATTCGACTGTAAATTGTGGTGAATCCATCCAAGAATCTGATTTTCTGCCGGAATCACTGGACCCTAGCGCCGGATCGCAACCAGCTTGCTGCAACCAAATGGCTGTTGTCGTTGGCTAATTACCATTGCCCCTTAGCAAGCACCAGTTAGCCTTGAGCTAGCCTCGAGCCAGGCCCATCTCCCGGCTATCTACCTCTGTCAACCGGACGGGACCTCCTAGTGTTGACACGGAGCCCCGCCGATCCAACACGACTGGTTTGCCGACGAAATCGTCTGATGTGGTTTCAACAGGCTTCCCGTTACGACAGATCCATCTGCTAGCCCCGGCCCGCTAGCACATTCAAGCCGGGCCTCTTGCTCGCCAGTGCTGTAGCAGCCCCCGAACTCTCCTATTGCTGTTCACCGGACCTTATGATAACTCAGCTATACAGCTGATGTCTGCTGGACTGTTCCTTTATACAGTACCGCATCCTGTTTATGTTTAGCCTCAGCCCAAACTTTGTCGCCATTACCAGCTGTTGTCTTAGCTCTCTCGAATAACACCTGTGATTGCTTTATGCCTCTCTCCCATGTCAATATGCCTTGCTTATTGCTGTTTCGGTTATTTTTTATTGTACTATTTCACTGTAGAGCCCCCAGCCCAGCTCAATCTGCCTTAGACAGCTCCTTTGTCCCACCCCCCATACACGCGGAGACCGACTCAATCGGTGCCTCCAGTGATGCTATCTCTTTCATCGTTACCCAACGCTTAGGTTTACCTCCACTGTACTCATATCCTTCCATATCCTTGTCTGTACATAATGCCCTGAATCTATTCTACAACGCCCGGAAATCTGCCCCTTTTTTTCTCTGTACCCAACGCACTAGAAGACCAGTTCTTAAAGCCTTTAGCCGTATCCTTATTCTACTCCTCCTCTGTTCCTCTGGTGATGTAGAGGTAAAAAAAATCCACCTTTCCAGAAATAAGTCTCTCACTGTTGCCGCTTTGCTACAGACTCCCCTCAGCCCCCAGTTGTGCCCTGGACACCATATGTGAATTGCTTGCCCCCCCATCTATCCTCAGAGTTCGTACTGCTTGGTGACCTAAACTGGGATATGCTTAACACCCCGGCCAACCTACAGTCTAAACTAGATGCCCTCAATCTCACACAAATTATCAACGAACCTACCAGGTACAACCCAAAATCTGTAAACATGGGCACCCTCATAGATATCATCCTGACAAATTTACCCTCTAAATACACCTCTGCTGTCTTCAACCAGGATCTCAGCGATCACTGCCTTATTGCCTGCGTCCGTAATGGGTCCGCAGTCAAACGACCACCCCTCGTCACTGTCAAACGCTCCCTAAAACACTTTAGCAAGCAGGCCTTTCTAATTGACCTGGCCCGGGTATCCTGGATGGATATTGACCTCATTCCGTCAGTAGAGGATGCCTGGTTGTTCTTTAAAAGTGCTTTCCTCTCCATCTTAAATAAGCATGCCCCATTCAAAAAATTCAGAACTAAGAACAGATATAGCCCCTGGTTCTCCTCAGACTTGACTGCCCTTGACCAGCACAAAAACATCCTGTGGCTTACTGCATTAGCATCGAACAGCCCCCGCGATATGCAACTTTTCAGGGAAGTCAGGAACCAATATACACAATCAGTTAGGAAAGCAAAGGCTAGATTTTTCAAACAGAAATTTGCATCCTGTAGCATTAGCTCCAAAAAGTTTTGGGACACTGTAAAGTCCATGGAGAATAAGAGCACCTCCTCCCAACTGCCCACTGCACTGAGGCTAGGAAACACTGTCACCACCGATAAATCTACAATAATCGAGAATGTCAACAAGCATTTTGCTACGGCTGGCCATGCTTTCCACCTGGCTACCACTACCCCGGCCACCAGCTCTGCACCCTCCGCTGCAATTTGTGGTCCTCTGTAGCTCAGCTGGTAGAGCACAGCGCTTGTAACGCCAAGGTAGTGGATTCGATCCCCGGGACCAACCATACACAAAAAAATAATGTATGCACGCATGACTGTATGTCGCTTTGGATAAAAGCGTCTGCTAAATGGCTTATTATTATTATTATTATTATTAATTAATTTGCCCATGCCTCCTTCACTCATGCTGCCAAACATGCCCTCGTAAAACTGACTATCCTACCGATCCTTTACTTCGGCGATGTCATTTACAAAATAGCCTCCAACACTCTACTCAGCAAATTGGATGTAGTCTATCACAGTGCCATCCATTTTGTCACCCAAAGCCCCATATACTACCCACCTTTGTGACCTGTACGCTCTTGTTGGCTGGCCCTCACTACATATTTGTCGCCAAACCCACTGGTCTCCAGGTCATCTATAAATCACTGCTAGGCAAATCCCCGTCTTATCTTAGCTCACTGGTCACCATAGCAACACCCCACCCGTAGTCTGCGCTCCAGCAGGTATATCTCACTGGTCATCCCCAAAGCCAACATCTCCTTTGGCCGCCATTCCTTCCAGTTCTCTGCTGCCAATGACTGGAACGAACTGCAAAAATCTCTGAAGCTGGAGACTCTTATCTCCCTCACTAACTTTAGGCGTCAGTTGTCAGCGCAGCTTACCGATCACTGCACCTGTACACAGCCCATCTGTAATTAGCCCATCCAACTACCTCATCCCCATATTGTTATTTATTTTGCTAATTTGCACCCCAGTATTTCTATTTGCACATCATCTTCTGCACATCTATCATTCCAGTGTTAATACGAAATTGTAACTATTTTGCACTATGGCCTATTTATTGCATTACCTCCATAATTTACTACATTCGCACACACTGTATATATATTTTCTGTTGTATTTTTGACTTTGTTTTATTTACCCCATATGTAACTCTGTGTTGTTGTTTTTATCGCACTGCTTTGCTTTATCTTGGCCAGGTCGCAGTTGTAAATGAGAACTTGTTCTCAACTGGCTTACCTGGTTAAATAAAGGTGAAATAAAAAATTAAAATCCAGCCGACAACGCCAACTGTTAGGTTCTGAACAAACAGAATAAAAACTCAAACGGATGACTAGAAAAAGCTCAAACCAAGGTTATTCAACCCACTGGGTGCTTCAGCTGCAAACACAACATACAAGTCACACATATGCACATATTTACACCTTCCGACTAGGCGGAGTCATCTCCTTGCATGTCTAAGATGGACACTCCTTCTCTGTTGTTAGTCAGAAATACAGTAGGTTCCTCTCACTGGTATTGTCATGGCCTAAGTTTAGGACCCTCATGGGCGTGGAAGTGTGTGTGTGTGTGTGAGATGGTCTTCGGGTGGGCCCCTGTGGCCCCCCCAAGCAGTGTCTTCTCTCATCAACTGTTGACCTTGTCTCGAGTTGAGTTCCACATCCCTCATGGTCCAGGTTCCGCAGCAACTGGACTGCCTTATCAAGAACTGAAACTAGACTGTTGCCCTTTGCCTCCCTCCTTAGGAACATTAATATTAAACAATAACATATTTGAACAGAATATTACCTTTCTGCACTTCCCCTTTTCTCACCCAGTAACTTTCCATATCACTCAGTAACTTTCCATACACAAAGTTCCTCTTTACCCTTCCTTGACCCCCAACATATACATTTCTTATACATGTAAAGTAATCACTAAGTTCTGGTATTTTAACATGAATAAGTATATTTCAAGCTAGAATCCAACAATTATAACTTTGCGCAATAGAGCTAAATGTCAACATGGGCAAATGTTTCTTTGCTCCACATGTTCCATATCACTGTTGTAACTCATTTGCACTTCCATAGTCAGTCGGTGTGATCACAGTTCTGTGAGTGCATCTCAATAGTCCAACGTGGCTTTTTTTCCTTGTCTCCCCTCCTTTACCTGCACTGTGAAAGAACTGGGCAGAACCGGGCAGGGGAAAGACACTCCCCAGTAGGACCGGGAAGTGGTAAGCCACTCTCCAGTAGGGTTGAACCGGGCAGGGGAAAGACACTCCCCAGTAGGACCGGGAAGTGGTAAGCCACTCTCCAGTAGGGTTGAACCGGGAAGGGGGAAGACACTCCACAGTAGGATTGAACTGGGAAGTGGGAAGTCACTCCACAGTAGGATTGAACTGGGAAGTGGGAAGTCACTCCACAGTAGGATTGAACCGGGTAAGGGGAAGACACTCCCCAGCAGGAATGAACTGGGAAGTGGGAAGTCACTCCACAGTAGGATTGAACTGGGAAGTGGGAAGTCACTCCACAGTAGGATTGAACTGGGAAGTGGGAAGTCACTCCACAGTAGGATTGAACCGGGTAGGGGGAAGACACTCCCCAGTAGAAATCTACCATATTGCTTTGACATGTCCTGTGTTCTCCAATTATTGCTGATGAAGGAGATGGGACTGGTAAAGACCCCCACATTAGACTATTGAGATTCACCCTGTGTCTGTTCGGTCGTTGCGTCCTGATTTACATCCCTTGTTCTATAGAAAATGTCCAGGTGGACCAGCTGCTAGCCGTGTCTCTGATGGAGGAGGAGCTGAGCGGCTCCCTACAGACCCTGGACACCTCCCTAATCCAGGCCCGCAACACCCTGCAGGTTGCCTACACAGAGGTGCAGCGCCTCCTACTGGTCAAACAGCAGGTACTACGCCCGGGACGCTCACTAGATCTACCTGGGTTGTGTTCAGTAGGGACGAAAAGGAAGGAAACCGAGTGAAACGGGGAGGTTCTACCTGGATTATTCTATTAAGATGCACATAGGAACGACCCTGATCACGACCCTGAAAACAAACCTGGCATAGAGGATGAATAGATGAAGTGTGGCATCGGTTTCACTTTTGTTGTCTATGTTTCAGGTTACCACGGAGATTAACGGTCTCCGAGCCAAGCGTATTGAGATCCTGCAGGGGATGCAAGGGGCGGTGGCAGCCGCTACGGTGCCTATGGTGTCCACCCAGCACCCCTCAAACCTTCCCCTGCCCAACCTCTGTATCCCCTCCCCCACCGGAGACACCGCTGCGGCACCCTTGTCTTCCTTTCCCAATCTGACCCCAGCTTACCCCTCCACCTCCTCTGCCATGCCCATCCTAAACCCCACCCCCTCCACCTCAGTGAGCCTGCCGGTCAAAAAAGAGCCTGTCTCTCTCAACAGCCAGTCTCGCGCCACCCCCTCCCACAGTCCTGTCATTTCCAACACACTCGTGAACCCTCCCTCCACCACCCCTGTCCTCCTTCCCACACCTCTACCCATACCCATCCCCGTCAACCCCCCTTCCACCACAGTGACCTTACCTGCAACTACACCACCTGCTTTTGCACCACTCAGCCAGCAAAGGGTGGTGGGTAGCTCCACCTCAGTGTCCACCAGCACCAAGCAGCAGGAGAAGCAGCTGAGGGGGAGGCTGACAGAGCGGCAGAAGAAGCAGAGGGTGGTGGGTAGCTCCACCTCAGTGTCCACCAGCACTGAGAAGCAGCTGAGTGGGAGGCAGAAGAAGCGGAGCGAGGAGGAGGCCGCCAGGAGGACCATGTCAACGCGGGAAGACGTTCAAGACCAGAGTTCAACCGCCAGTTCCACCACCAGCGACTCTGAGGACTGGGAGGACCAAGAGGGGCTCACCCTCACCTCAGTCGACCTCACACGGGGACGAAAAGACCCCGTATCGGGGCAGGAGAAGGACGGGGGGAAAGGGGGCGACGAGGGAGACAGCGACTGCTACGTCGAGGCGGTCACTGAAGAGCGCCAGCTGAGATCCAACATGGACGTCGTCGCCATCGATGACTCGGATGTCGAGGAGGAGCCGGAGGCTATTGTTCCCGTCGTCCACACCCCTACTCCCGCACAGCTCCCCTCCACCCCTTCTGCCCCACCTAGGTCTGTGTGTTTGGAGGTGAACTCTAGCAGTACCCAGACAGTCAAGGTAAAAGAGGACGTCAAACTAAAGGACACCAGCTACGGGTTAGTCTCTTTACTGGACATTTGCCATATGGTGTGTACAGGAATAAACAATAATATAATCTCAAGGACCTAGGTATCCATAACAGTAATGGAAGCAAACTAGTTTGGTAATTGCAAGATCAGTGTATCCAGGCATTATAGTGTATCCAGGTATTATATTTTAGCCCTTATCAGCGTATCAACCCACATCGTTGCATTAGAATCCTGCTCTTTTGAATGCAATGTCCCCCCCCCCCTAATGTGAAATACCTGTGGCTTCTGTTTCCCCAGCAAAAGCAAGTTACCCCCTGTAACTGTGAAAGAGCAAAATAGTTCCCCAAGTGAGTTACCTGCTTCATTTGTCCACTTCCACCACTTTTTGGCTGAAATGAAAGATAGGCAATTATGCATAAACTTTGAATGTTTTGTATGTCTGTTTGTTTGTAAGTCAGTCTACACGGTGTACGAGTTTCTGTCAGATAACCAGTATTTGTGATATGGCTCTGTTTCCTGGTTTGACCCTCTATCTCTCCCCCCTCAGAGTCTGCCGACGTGGCTGAGGAGCAGGAGCTGTCTCTGGGGAGCTTCGAGGGCCACACTGGTGCCGTCCATGACCTCCAGATCCACGGGGGCCTCCTGTATACGTGTTCAGGAGATAACACAGCACGAGCATATTGCCTAGTGGTGCGTATATACCAGGTGTATAGGACAGGGGTCTTCAACCTCTTCTTGCCCAGTGACCCCATTCCAGGCAACCGGCAACCCAGGGATCCCCATTATAAGTTAGCAAAAATTCACATCTTGTCTTATCATCATGTGATTGATCATGGCAAGGAGAAGTAATCAACATTTTAAAATGAATGGATTTGGTAGATCGTTTTTCAATATTTTGACCTACCCACATTATAATTGGAGGAAGTCTAAACTCTAACATAGCTTATTAGCTAGAAAGGTAACTCGAAACACATTTTCACTAAGAGCAGCTGTTTAGCTGGTTAAACAATGGTTTGCCATGTGTTGGTAAAAATTGATGTTCAAGTCAAGAAAGCTTGCCGCACTGGTAGCCTATTCGCCAGTGCTTTTTCAAAGTCTGTCAGGTACTCCAGTGAGTGTAATTGGCTCAAATAAGTGTAATTTGCTCAATATTAGGAGTTGAGAAATAAAGTTGCCTCGTCCCGCTGCGTCGTCCATTATTTCCAAGGTAATGTACAGAGCGTCAGCATGTAACCCGCTTATACCACAGTTGCCAATTAAAACAATATGAAAGCACACATTTACTTGTAGAAATACTTTTGTTGTTGATATTTTCATTTTTATAAGCAAATTCATACTTTTTCGTCTTTTGGTTGCCAGTCGTTGGTTCGATTAGTTCGATATTTAGGGACGTGACCCAGTCGTTCGTTCTTTATAACGTTCTTATCCCTTGCTTGTTGCTAGCTAGCCAACTAGCTACGGCCACACAGTCACTACCTCTGCAGCCAGAATAACAGCAAAGTTTATTCCATTGCGTTTGTTTAAGCGATTTATCCTGCTAATACCACAGTAGCCAAAGAAAACAATACTAAGCACACATTTACTTTGAAGAATCTCAAATATGAAATATTTTGATTTGTTTAACACTTTTCTGGTTACTAAATGATTCCATATGTGTTATTTCATAGTTTTGATGTCTTCACTGTTATTCTACAATGTAGAAAATAGTAAAAAATAAAGAAAAACCATTGAATGAGTAGGTGTGTCCAAACTTTTGACTGGTACTGTGTATATATATATATTTGTTACTGCTCGACTAAAAAAATCTCGGTCGACCAACAGCCTAACGACCAAACAATCGACCAGTCGACTAATTGGGGTCAGCCCTAAAGCTAATTCATACTTTTTCATATTTTTTGTTGCTAGAGATGCGACCCAGTCGTTCTTTCTTTATGTTCCGTTGCCATTCTCGCTGGCAATGTTCCTATCCCTGGCTTGCTGGTAGCCAGCTAGCTATGGCTGACACAGTCACGACATCGGCAGCCAGAATAACAGAAAAGTAGCTGTTTTCTATTGACATTCATTTGGATATATTCATAACATTGAGCTGATAATGCCCAATTTTCCCTGGCATAGCTAGAAAAGTTTGCCTTCTCGTCAGGGTACTCGTCAACACTGACTGTTAATTACGAGGAGATCATATTGCATATCAAACACTAGGCTAGAAGCTTGCTAAATAGTTTGTTGCTAGCAAACCTGCCAATATGACAACGGAATTCAGAAGTATCAGTTGCTGAAAAATTCATGTTCATCACTCACCACGTTAGGTCATCAGATGCTCCAAAAAAAATTCTCTGCAAAAACAAATAAATGCTAGCTAGCCACGTTTTTTTCCTCGTTGGACCTGCGTTTACAATGTATCCAATTTCAGTTTGTGTGGTTGTTGGTTTAGCTTTCTGTAACTTTGTAGCAGGCACGGTCTGCATGTGTAGGCGTATATTGCGTCATGATTGCAAGGTGTCCCGATATCTTTTCCAACTGTCCCGATATCTAGTTTTAATGTTCATTCTAGAATGCCCTTCTAGCCAATCAGAAACGAGTATTCAACAATGCTGTGGTATAATAAGGCACAAGGGGGTGTGGTATATGGCCAATATACCATTGCTAAGGGCTGTTCTTATGCACAACGCAACGCCTTATTGCTATTATAAACTGGTTACAAACATAATTAGAACAGTAAAAATAAAAAATGTATAATACCCGTGATATGCAGTCTCATATACCACTGCTTTCAGACAATCAGCATTCAGGGCTCGAACCACCCAGTTTATAATAAAATATATATATTCTTTGTTGTTGCTGACCACCTTCAGTACCTCCGTGGACCCTGGTTGAATACCGCTGGTATAGGACAAAGACTGAAGTGGAATATACTGTGTAAGGTACACAGTTGGACGAGGGATGGGTTGGTGCAGTAATGTGTGGCGACGTTTTGCCTTAATGCTGGGTCTCTAAGATGTTGGGATGTATGTGCAGCATACAGACGTATCCCTTTTACACCGATAATAATGTTGACTACAGATGTGTTTCACCCCAAAACATCTTACCAGGACACTATCCCAGAAAAAGAAAGAGGAGGACTCGGATGTCTGCAATGATCTTTGAAGTTTATTAGGGACATTGACTCCGGTACCCCCTGTATATAGCCTTGTTATTGTTATTTTGTTACTTTTTTTTACTTTAGTTTATTTAGTAAATATTTTCTTAACTCTTATTTTTCTTAACTGCATTGTTGGTTAAGGGCTTGTAAGTAAGCATTTCACCTGTTGTATTTGGCGCATGTGACGAATAACATTTGATTTGATTTGACAAACAGACAGGCTTACGATGCTGAGATACTGTATATTTGTCCCTGTGTGTGTTCAGAGCAAAGCGTGCCAAGCGGTGTTTGAGGGCCACACCAACAAGATCAACTGCCTGCTGGTGTCATCTCTGCCCGGCCTGCCAGCACGTCTCTACACCGGCTCCAGTGACCTCACCATCCGCTGCTACAGCATCAAGGTACCACACCCCTTTCATCACATAGTGCCTTCAGAAATTATTCACACCCCTTGACATTTTCCACATTTTTGTTGTGTTACAGCCTGAATTTAAAATGGATTAAATTGAGATTTTTTTTTGTCACTGGCCTACACACAATACCCCATAATGTCAAAGTGGAATAATGTTTTTAGAATTTTTTTACCAATTAATTAAAAATGAAAAGCTGAAATGTCTTGAGTCAATAAGTATTCAACCCCCATAAGTTGCATGGACTCGCACTGTGTGCAATGATAGTGTTTAACATTATTTTTTTATGACTACCTCATCTCTGTACCCATACTCATAATATAATCTGTAAGGTCCCTCAGTCGAGCAGTGAACTTCAAACACAGATTCAACCACAAAGACCAGGGAGGTTTTCCAATGCCTCGCAAAGAAGGGCACCTATTGGTATATGGGTAAAATATTTAAAAACAGACATTGAATATCCCTTTGAGCATGGTGAAGTTATTAATTACACTTTGGATGGTGTATCAATACACCGATACAGTCGTCCTTCCTGACCGGAGAGGAAGGAAACCGCTCAGGGATTTCACCATGAGGCCAATGGTGACTTTAAAACAGTTACAGAGTTTAACGGCTGTGATAGGTAGGGCTCACCCCATTTAGTCGACTGGTTGATTGTTTGGTCGATAGGCTGTTGGTCGACCGAGATTTCTTTAGTCCAGCAGTCACAATTTTTTATGGTGCAAAAGACACCTGTCTGATTCGTGTCTGTCTCGGTGGACTGATCCATTGCGGAGGCCACGGAGATGGCATCATCACTAAGACGTCACTATAATATGTTTAAAAAATAATGGTGCAACACAAATAAATCTAATATTATTTTATAACAAATGCGCTTTCTCTCATACGGTCGCTGCCCGCGGTTCTGAAACATAATCTTCAGTGCGCCATAGAATTGGCGCCTTTCCATATGTTGCTATGTGCATAATGGCAAAGTTAACCAGCGTATTGGGATTGAGAACAATGCGGCGGAGGCAGCAGCAGCAGAAACGAGGGAACAGCCCATGCCTTAGCCTAATTGTCCAAGAAAATTGAGGAGAGAGGAAACCCCAACTTAATTAGCTCTATAATCAATAGCCTAACTGTTAAATGTGCCTGGCTTTATAAATCATCCATATATCTACAGAAATAAGACAGATTCTGCTTTTGTTGCCTGTTTGAGTGTTTGTTAAATAGCCTACTGATTCCATGAGCACCAAGCCTCATGCAACGGCAAAATGTCGGATAAAGCAATTTCACAGATTCGGCTGTTGTTAATTTACATTTACATTTTAGTCATTTAGCAGACACTCTAATCCAGAGCGACTTACAGTTAGTGAGTGCATACATTTCTTTTTCTTTTTTCATACTGGCCCCCTGTGAGAATCGAACCCACAACCCTGGCGTTGCAAGCGCCATGCTCAACCAACTGAGCTACACGGGGCTCTTTGCTATGCTGTAATAAAGGCTTTAAAAAAAATTAAAAATAAACTTTAGGAGACTGGTATTAATTATAATTTAGTTAGTGTTTACACTGTTCCAAACAGACAGAAAAATAATATTGAAATATAACAGCACCTGTGTCACACATAATATGCACGCAGCTCTCGCTCCTATACCCTTTTCTTGATCTCATTTTTATAGTTATTATTACAATTATTATAATGATCATCATTATAATAATAATTAATGTCGTTATCATTAGTAGACTTTGTATAGGAGCCTTGTATAACCACCATCGAGCTGTAGGCCATACGAGATATTCTTGCATTTTAGTTTTTTAATTAAATAACCAAAGGGAGCTTTGAATATTTAGCCTAAACAAAAAATAAACCGCAATTCACGAATGCATGAAGCTGTTTTTAGTCTGCTGTAATAAAGGCTCTATATATATTTTTTTTGTTAGAACAGACTCTCTGGTACACTTACAGTGGGGGAAAAAAGTATTTAGTCAGCCACCAATTGCAAGTTCTCCCACTTAAAAAGATGAGAGAGGCCTGTAATTTTCATCATAGGTACACGTCAACTATGACAGACAAAATGAGGAAAAAAAATCCAGAAAATCACATTGTAGGATTTTTAATGAATTTATTTGCAAATTATGGTGGAAAATAAGTATTTGGTCAATAACAAAAGTTTCTCAATACTTTGTTATATACCCTTTGTTGGCAATGACACAGGTCAAACGTTTTCTGTAAATCTTCACAAGGTTTTCACACACTGTTGCTAGTATTTTGGCCCATTCCTCCATGCAGATCTCCTCTAGAGCAGTGATGTTTTGGGGCTGTCGCTGGGCAACACAGACTTTCAACTCCCTCCAAAGATTTTCTATGGGGTTGAGATCTGGAGACTGGCTAGGCCACTCCAGGACCTTGAAATGCTTCTTACGAAGCCACTCCTTCGTTGCCCGGGCGGTGTGTTTGGGATCATTGTCATGCTGAAAGACCCAGCCACGTTTCATCTTCAATGCCCTTGCTGATGGAAGGAGGTTTTCACTCAAAATCTCACGATACATGGCCCCATCATTCTTTCCTTTACACGGATCAGTCGTCCTGGTCCCTTTGCAGAAAAATAGCCCCAAAGCATGATGTTTCCACCCCCATGCTTCACAGTAGGTATGGTGTTCTTTGGATGCAACTCAGCATTCTTTGTCCTCCAAACACGACGAGTTGAGTTTTTACCAAAAAGTTCTATTTTGGTTTCATCTGACCATATGACATTCTCCCAATCCTCTTCTGGATCATCCAAATGCACTCTAGCAAACTTCAGACGGGCCTGGACATGTACTGGCTTAAGCAGGGGGACATGTCTGGCACTGCAGGATTTGAGTCCCTGGCGGCGTAGTGTGTTACTGATGGTAGGCTTTGTTACTTTGGTCCCAGCTCTCTGCAGGTCATTCACTAGGTCCCCCCGTGTGGTTCTGGGATTTTTGCTCTCCTTTCTTGTGATCATTTTGACCCCACGGGGTGAGATCTTGCGTGGAGCCCCAGATCGAGGGAGATTATCAGTGGTCTTGTATGTCTTCCATTTCCTAATAATTGCTCCCACAGTTGATTTCTTCAAACCAAGCTGCTTACCTATTGCAGATTAAGTCTTCCCAGCCTGGTGCAGGTCTACAATTTTGTTTCTGGTGTCCTTTGACAGCTCTTTGGTCTTGGCCATAGTGGAGTTTGGAGTGTGACTGTTTGAGGTTGTGGACAGGTGTCTTTTATACTGATAACAAGTTCAAACAGGTGCCATTAATACAGGTAACAAGTGGAGGACAGAGGAGCCTCTTAAAGAAGAAGTTACAGGTCTGTGAGAGCCAGAAATCTTGCTTGTTTGTAGGTGACCAAATACTTATTTTCCACCATAATTTGCAAATAAATTCATAAAAAATCCTACAATGTGATTTTCTGGAATTTTTTTCTCAATTTGTCTGTCATAGTTGACGTGTACCTATGATGAAAATTACTGGCCTCTCTCATCTTTTTAAGTGGGAGAACTTGCACAATTGGTGGCTGACTAAATACTTTTTTTCCCCACTGTATTTAGTGTTTACACTTCCAAACGGTCAGAAAAAATAATATTGTAATCTAACAGCAACTGTTTGGCACACATAATAATCACGCAACGCTTGCTCCTATACCCTCCTTTTTCTTGATCTCCAGTAGTTTCCACAACTAAGTCAAAATGTCTTCCACAGATCTGACTTCCCCTTTCCCTCCTCAGCAACCAGTAAACATTCGCCCATTTCGAGTTTATCTGCAGTGCATCTCCTCCTCATGGACTGCACCAGATTTGCCAGTTCTTGCTGTGAGATGTTACCCCACTCTTCCACCAAGGCACCTGCAAGTTCCCTGACATTTCTGGGGGGAATGGCCCTAGCCCTCACCCTCCGATCCAACAGGTCCCAGACGTGCTCAATGGAACACATTTTTTTCGGGGACAGCCCTAGTGATAGGAGAAAACTGAGGATGGATCAACAACATTGTAGTTACTCCACAATACTAACCTAATTGACAGTGAAAAGAAGGAAGCCTGTACAGAATAAAAACGTACCCAGAAAGACTCACATCTGTCATCGCTGCCTAAGGTGGTTCTACGAAGTTTTGACTCAGGGGTGTGAATACTTGTGTATTTCATTTTCAATATAGTTGCTAAGATTTCTTCAAAAATATTCACTTTGTCATTATGATATATTGTGTATAGATGGGTCATCTTTTGATTGGAGAATTCTCATCCTATACATCACTTACCCTCTCCCTACTGCATATCTGTTGTGTTCATCTTCCTCCTGGCCCTCTTCAGTCAAAGAAGTGCCTTGAGCAGATCTCTCTGTCCGACCGTGTGCTGTGTCTGCACATTCATTGGAACATTCTGTACGTAGGCCTGGCAAATGGATCCGTGGTCAGCTTTGAGCTCAAGGTGAGTGTGTCAAGCCTTGAGTCCAGGTCCTGTATTCATAAAGCATCTCAGAGTAGGAGTGCTGATCTGGGATCAGGTCCCCCTTATCCATATCATTTTATTCTCTCTCCATTACGATCAAAAAGGCACAACCGATCCTAGATTGGAACTCCTTCTCTGAGACGCTTTGATTGGTCCAGGTCCTAACCTCTATTCAACATAGTAGTTCCTAGTTATAGCTTGGGTCAGAATAGGATACAAACATTTCCATTCTCCCTCTCTTTCTCACTCTTCCCCTCCTTCTTCCTCTTCCTCTCCTCCCTCCCTCCCTCTCTCTCCCCTGCAGACCCAGAGGCAGCTGGATGTGTTTGAGTGCCACGGCCCACGGGGGGTGAGCTGCCTGGGCACGTCCCAGGAGGGAGCGCGGCGGGTGCTGCTGGTGGGCTCTTACGACAGCACCATCAGCGTACGTGATGCCAAGAGCGGTCTGCTGCTGCGCTCGCTGCAGGGCCACACCAAGACCGTCCTCTGTATGAAGGTGAGGAGTCAGGTAGTTCATATTATCTAAAAGGTCAATGTTATCGTATATCAGCACTGTGTCCTTGGGTCAGGGGTCAATTCCATTTTAATTCGGTCCATTCAGGGAGTCCAGTGGAATTGGAATTGAGTGTTCACTTCCCGAATTGAAATGTAATTGACCCCGACCCTTTACCGAGAACACATTTCCCTCTTAGGCCATATGGACAGGAGGGACCTGATCCTGGATCAGCGTTCCTACTCTGACACTGCATATTTCAGGGTTTGTTCCCCTGTAGCGGTCTAAATGTGATGCAAACAGTGTTTTCTTCTCATTTTGGGCACTTGAGTTAACACTTGGCATTTTAATGTAACGTAATGTTAATTTGTTGGTGATCTTGAAGGGACACCTCTGACTCTGCCTGTCAGGTATGATCATTCTTTCCCCATTTGTCTGACGTTAGGTGGTGAATGACCTGGTCTTCAGCGGCTCCAGTGATACGTCTGTCCACGCCCACAACATCCACGTGAGTGTCAAACCCTTCCCCTCACTTCCCTTTTTCACAGCATCATCGTAACATTCATTCCTACATAAAGGAACGGTCACATAATCATCGTAACATATTCATTCCTACATAAAGGAACGGTCACATAATCATCGTAACATTCATTCCTACATGAAGGAACGGTCACATAATCATCGTAACATATTCATTCCTACATAAAGGAACGGTCACATAATCTGTGAATGTAGTTGATTTATTTGATTCCTGTCTTTTTGGTTGACCTCTTCCTCGCTCCCTCTGTCTGTCTGTGCATGCGTAGACGGGTGAGCTGGTCCGTATCTATAAGGGTCACAGCCACGCAGTCACGGCGTTAGCCATCTTGGGGAAGGTCATGGTGACAGCCTGCCTGGACAAGTTGGTGCGCGTCTACGAGTTACAGGTGGGTCTGCCTCATCCTACACTCTTTCAATGGCTTTATCCACTCACTCAGATTACAAGCTTATCTGTCCCTCACTCTGTCTCTGTCTGTCTCTGTCTCTCTCTGTCTCTGTCTCTGTCTGTTTCTCTCTGTCTCTGTCTGTCTCTGTCTGTCTCTGTCTGTCTCTCTCTGTCTCTGTCTCGCTCTCTCTGTCTCTGTATCTCTCTGTCTCTGTATCTCTCTGTCTGTCTCTCTCTGTCTCTGTATCTCTCTGTCTCTCTCTCTCTGTCTGTCTCGCTCTCTCTCTGTCTCTGTCTGTCTCGCTCTGTCGGTCTCTCTCTGTCTGTCTCGCTCTCTCCGTCTCTGTTTCTCTCTCTCTCCGTCTCTCTCTCTCCGTCTCTGTCTCTCTTCGTCTGTCTCTCTCCGTCTCTCTGTTTCTCTCTCTCTCCGTCTCTGTCTCTCTTTCTGTCTCTCTCTCTCTCTTTCTGTCTGTCTGTCTGTCTCTTTCTCTGTCTGTCTGTCTCTCTGTCTGTCTCTTTCTCTCTCTCTCCGTCTGTCTCTCTGTCTCTGTCTCTCTCTCGCTGTCTCTCTCTCTCGCTGTCTCTCTCTCTCGCTGTCTCTCTCTCTCGCTGTCTCTCTCTCTCTCTCTCTCTCTCTCTCTCTCTCTCTGTCTGTCTCTTTCTCTCTCTCTCCGTCTGTCTCTCTCTCCGTCTGTCTCGCTCTCTCTGTCTCTGTATCTCTCTGTCTCTGTATCTCTCTGTCTCTGTCTGTCTGTCTGTCTCGCTCTCTCTCTGTCTCTGTCTGTCTCGCTCTCTCTGTCTCTGTATCTCTCTGTCTCTCTCTGTCTCTGTCTCTCTCTGTCTCTGTCTCTCTCTGTCTCTCTCTCTCTCTCTGTCTCTGTCTGTCTCGCTCTCTCTGTCTCTGTCTCTCTCTGTCTCTCTCTGTCTCTGTCTCTCTCTGTCTCTGTCCCGCTCTCTCTGTCTCTGTATCTCTCTGTCTGTCTCTGTCTCTCTCTGTCTCTCTCTGTCTCTCTCTGTCTATGTCTGTCTCGCTCTCTCTGTCTCTGTATCTCTCTGTCTCTGTCTGTCTCTGTCTGTCTGTCTCTCTCTGTCAGTCTCGCTCTCTCCGTCTCTGTTTCTCTCTCTCTTCGTCTGTCTCTCTCCGTCTCTCTGTTTCTCTCTCTCTCCGTCTCTGTCTCTCTTTCTGTCTCTCTCTCTCTCTTTCTGTCTGTCTGTCTGTCTCTTTCTCTGTCTGTCTGTCTCTGTCTGTCTCTTTCTCTCTCTCTCCGTCTGTCTCTCTGTCTCTGTCTCTCTCTGTCTGTCTCTCTCTCTTTCTGTCTGTCTCTCTGTCTCCTTGTCTCTCTCTCTGCTGTCGTCTCTCTCTCTCTGGTCTGTCTCTCTCTCTCTGCCCTTCCCTTGTTGGTCTGTCTTCTTTGCCCTTCTTCCTGTGTTTTTTTCGGCCCTCTCTGCCCCGGGTTTTCCTTCTTTCTTCTCTCTCTTCCTTCTCTCTCTGTTCTTCGTCCCTTTTCCTTGTTTTCTCCCCCGCTTTTTTGGTCTGTCTCTCTGTGGGGTCTCTCTGGTCTGTGGTTCTCTTTTTGTCGGTCTTTTGTGTCTGTCTTCTCTGCTTTCTCGGTCTCTTCTGTCTCTCTCTCTCTCTCTGTGTCTCTCTCTCCGTCTGTGTCTGTGTCTGTCTGTCGGTCTCTCTCTCTGTCGGTCTCTCTGTCTGTCGCTCTCTCTCTGTTTGTCTCTGTCTGTCTCTGTCTGTCTCTCTGTCTCTGTCTGTCTCTCTCTCTGTGTCTCTCCGTCTGTCTCCGTCTGTCTCTCTCTCTATCGGTCTCTCTCTCTGTCGGTCTCTCTCTGTCGGTCTCTGTCTCTCTCTCCTCACTGTCTCTCTCTCCTCACTGTCTCTCTGAATCAAATCATACTTGATTTAAAGTATTAATAGAAGAACAGACACAATATAAGATGATGAACCATCTCTGTCCTGCGATCCTCCCTCTCTTTCTCTCTCCACAGTCCCACGACCGGCTACAGGTGTACGGGGGCCACCATGACATGGTGATGTGTATGGCCATCCATAAGAGTGTGGTAAGGGAGCCTGTTTAGTCAGCCCAAAAGCCAAACCTGGCGCCTGTGGGCCTAGAGGGAATATGGAGAACACATCTACATGCAGTACATTGGAAAGGGGACTAATTTGAAAGCATTGTACAGTTGATAGAATTGACAAAATTGAAAAGAGAGAAGTTGTTCCGTTTTCTGTGTATGGACAATAAACTACTCTTCTCTCCCGATGCAATGTAGATCTATACAGGCTGCTACGACGGGACCGTCCAGGCCGTGAAACTCAACTTGATGCAAAACTACCGCTGCTGGGTAAGAAACACACACGCACTGGGATTTACCTTTAGAATATTTCCTATCATTTTTGTCTGACAGATTAATTTCTGACCTGACCTTTGTGTGCAGTGGCACAGTTGCTCGCTGATCTTCGGCATGGGGGAGCACCTCCGGCAGCACCTGCTCACCGACCACAGCAACCCACACCTGCAGACCTTCAAGTGTCGCTGGAGGAATTGCGACGCCTTCTTCACGACACGAGACTCCTCCCAGCTGGTAAGAGAGAGACAGGCTGACAGGAAGGCTGACTGACGGACAAAGACAGACAGATAGTAGCTGCTTGGCTAACCTGAATTACAGATGGATTAATATTATATTATAGATTATTATCTTGTCAGAAATGCAGAATTTGAGAGTTGTTTGTATATTAGGAAGAGAGGGGGTTATTGTTAATGTCTCAGTATCTGGTCTCCCCCGTGTCTCTACAGGACCTGCCTAGCCACATGCAGACACACGTAGAGATGGACAGCAAGCTGAAGACATGACAGTAGAGAATACATGCTGTTTCTCCAGCGCTTACTCCTGCGGATGTGCGGTGCTGAGTTTTGACTTTGTGGTCTCTCACCATTAGAATCAATGGCTCCATACATGGAGCTAGGGTTGAATTCTGGCATTCATTCTTCAGCTGGGAAGTGGCCCTTGGATAGTTTGAGTTCGGGCCCCATTCAGTAGGCAAACGTTGAGGAAGGATGCGGATAGAAATGTCATAAACTGAACTGTTTTATTGTTTAGAGTAATTTCTCGCTTTGTTCATCCTTTAACCCCCTGCTCTTCCCTTTATGGTAAGAGGACACAAGTACGACTCCTAAAGGTTGTGTGACATGTTTTACATGGACCTTGGCTTACACCAGGGATCATCAACTAGATTAAGCCGCGGCATTATTTTATTTTCTTGAGTGGATTAACATAATTACGAATAATTTGTTGACTGCAAATTGACCGCAAGAAGCCCAAACAAATATATTTGACTAAAACATAATCATTTCAAACCTTGTTTCCATTTTTTTTTTTTTTAATAAGATAACTTGGGGGGCTAAATAAAATCACCTGCGGCCGCCAGTTGGGGAACCCAGGCATACACCATTCTTCAAGGCTATGGCTTAACTTCAGCAATTGTATTGGAACACTGGCTAAATAGCCCATACTGGACTTGCCTCTACACACACACACACACACACACAGACACACACACACAGCATATAGATGATCATTGCATAACCACACTGTAACTGATGTGTTCACATGGGCTGGTCAAACATAACTACGTACTATACACACACTATGGACAGTCTTGTGTAATTGCGCCCAAGGACGGTCTATTTCATACATTCACACATCTATGGCGCATGTACAGGTAACTGCCAAAATAAAGGAAACACTTGAGTAAATGAGGGATACAAAGTATATTGAAAGCAGGTGCTTCCACACAGGTGTAGTTCTTGAGTAAATTAAGCAGTTAACATCCCATCATGCTTAGGGCCATGTATAAAAATGACCAGTTGCCCATTATTTGGGCTACCATGGCTAGAAGAGATCTCGGTGACTGAAAGAGGAGTATCAAAGGAGCATAGGGGGTTTAAAGTTTCTCAGTCACCAGATCTCAGCCCAATTGAACACTTATGGGAGATTCTGGAGCGGCGCCTGAGACAGCATTTTCCACCACCATCAACAAAACACCAAAATGGTGGAATTTCTCGTAGAAGAATGGAGCATCCCTCCAATAGAGTTCCAGATACTTGTAGAATCTATGCCAAGGTCCATTGAAGCTGTTCTGGTGGCCTTATTAAGACACTTTATGTTGGGTGTTTCCTTTATTTTGGTAGTTACCTGTATGTACCTCATATGCTGAGCGTGTGCACTCAGGTACAGCAACAGAAGGAACACATTTTATAAATTCTGAAGATTTTATTTGGTTCTGTTGGGAAGGACAATTTTTTCCCATTTCAGTGCTCTTTGTGGAAAGACAACGAGACCAATGCTTACTGTAGAAGCACAGACTTAAGGATGATGTGCACAATGGTTTTTGAAGGGTTTTGTATTTGCTGTAATGTGAGTGACCAACTCCTAACACACACATGTCTGTTTAGACGTCATTTTCCAGTCTATATGGAAGGGGCTCACTAGTAAGCTGCAACAGGGGGGGACGGCCCAACCAAATTCACAAAGAAATGTGAGTTATCGATCTGTCATTCTCATTGAAAGCAAGTCTAAGAAGCACTAGATCTGTTCTATGTGCACTATTTCTATGCTTCCCGTTCTTAAGTTTAGTTTTTGTCTTTTACTTTCTGTTTTACACCAGCTTCAAACGTCTGAATGTACAATATTGAAAGGATATTTCAGTGTTTTAGATCGTACAATGATTCTCTACACAAAATTGCTTGTTTTGTCACAAACTGTAATTAGGCCGACTATTAAAATTATTTTGCAACCATTAAATGGCGGAGTGATTTCTGCATATTGGACCTTTTTAAAAGCCTAGAAAGGACCACCCATTTCTTTAAGGTGTGAAATAAATACATAGTATATATGCCATGTGGCAGCTTGAAATGCGCTACGGTGGAGTTCTGAATATTTGATTGAATTGCTATGTGATGGGGTATTCAACTCTTACCCTATGAGGTCCGGAGCCTGCTGGTTTTCTGTTCTACCTGACAATTAATTGCATCCACCTGATGTCCCAGGTCTAAATCGGTCCCTGATTGGAGGGGAACAATGAAAAAACACAGTGGAACTGGCTTTGAGGTCCAGAGTTTGAGGGTTATATGAACTTAGTTATTCAGAACCAACCAGACTGATATGGAGTTTTGGTCATCAACAACTGTGATACACAGTGGGGAAATGGACACAAATGTGACGTAGGCTGTCTTTTTCACTAGTTAGTTTTTAATAAATGTTTTATCATTTAAGAGATGGGCATTGTGAATAGTCCATCACTCATACAACTGTTCAAAAGCATGTAGGCTCACTATGCAGGTTTCTGTTCTAGCTGGCCATTTACACTGTGCAAGCGGCACTCGCCTATCCATCGCAAGAGCACTGGGCCCCATTGCAAAAATCCTTAGGACATTACATTTACTGTTAGCCATGCCTAGCTACTAGCAGTAGGTGTTATATTTAGAATTAGCAATCTAGCTAATGTGTTTTGTGTTTCCACTTCCTCAGGTGGTGAGTTAGCGCTAATTGAATTAGGTCTATATATAATCTCAATGCACATAAAGATTAAGGCAAATTCATCTCTATTGAACAAAAAAAAAATCAACATTTGGGAGCCCTATTTTGACAGTAAAGTATAATGAAAAAATCCTAATTGTCAACCCAAAATACATGACAATTGCTGGATTAGGTTGCTTATCAAAATATTTTAAACACCATTCTTAATAAATCATTGTGAATGACTTAATGATTTTATAAGATTACTAAAATCTATTCTATTGTGTGACGCTGCAAGAATACTTTTTTTTGGTACCACCAAATCATGAGCTGGTGCCACCAACTGAAAAAATGAGTGGCACCAGTAGAACATGTTAGTCTAGAGCCCTGTTCATGATAGACCAGCTAACCGTTGTTCAGTTCTGTTGGAGAAAACCAATCCGCCTTATTGGGTAGATGAGTTATTGGGTAATTGTGGCAATGCTTAATTTACATCATATTTATTTGTTTGGAATCCAAAAACATTCATTACACAATTCAACCTGGGCTCACATCCAGAGATTTGGTTTAGCGTTGACGACTCGACAACGCTTATCCCATACTGGGACACATTCGTACAAGTTTGATTTGAATGAATTTAAATAAAAAATGCTTCTGAAACAATCCAACGGCATCATCACTGTCTCTCGAGACCTGAGTATCCACATTATATTATCACAGAGACTTACAGAAACACTTTGATTTTGTAATGTAGTTTCCACCAATGACAAAGGGGAATGGAAACACTTAAGGAAGTAAAGCTAAGCAACGATATGTATTCAATACACTAATACTAAACATGTTATTTACAGTTACAGTGAGCTGGCGTTCTAAAACCTTCCCCTTTAAGGACAGGCAATAACACTTGAAGGCTTGTGGTTAAAGCACTAGCCAAATGTACTGGAGCAAGGGTTCCCCATTCAAGTCCCTCAGTGCTGTCCTGTCTGCTGGTGCTGCCAAGGTGCTACCTCTCACCAGTCAAAGTTCACATTCCAGGTGGTCTTTTTCTCCAGCCAAGCTGTGCGTCTTAGAAGACTGCTATATCGTATTAATGTAGTTTCTTGAGACATCACACACTTCTCTCAGCGTTGTGAGATATATCGTCTCTGCAGAATGACTGCAGAAAAGATCACCATTGCATATAATTTGTATTCTATGCTAGAATGAGAGTAATGGCAATGTCGTCTTGTCAGAGAGAGAACATGGGGAATTGGCTGAGGTAGAGGAAGGCGATGTTGGTAGAAGCATGGCTGTGGGTAGACGAGAGCAGAATGCATCTGATGGCTGGGTGATCTAAGCATACATGGTCAACTGGAGCCACTGTAACGAGAGGACAGGAGATGAAAGAAACAGAAGAGGACGAGTTAATGGAGTGAATTCCCCTTTGTAGGGACGTGATGTGACCTTTGTAGCACAGTGGCCTACTGGGCTTACCTCGAGGACGTTGAGCTTGATTATACCGTCTCCGTCTCTGTCAAAGGCATGGAACGTCCCTGCGAAGAGACCCCTTACAGATCAAACAGTACCTCTACCAGTGGAGGCTGCTGAGGGGAGGACGGATCATAATAATGGCCGGAATGGAGCAAATGGAATGGCATAAACACATGGAAACCATGTGTTTGATACCATTCCACCAATAGCGCTCCAGCCCTTACCACGAGTCCGTCCTCCCCAATTAAGGTGCCACCAACCTCCTGTGACATCCACATTTTTGTCATTTTAGCAGATACTCTTATCCAGAGCAACTTACAGTTAGTGAGTGCATATATTTTCATACTGGCCCCCCCGTGGGAATCGAACCCACAACCCTGGCGTTGCAAGCTCCATGCTCTACCAACTGAGCTACACGTGACCTCCACCTATCTTTCTCTGTTTTCTCTGACTCTTATTCAATGAGACATGAATGCGTGTTGATGTTTCTGGTGGAATTTACATTAATCAAACCAGTGTGTACTTACTGAACATGCCCTCTAGCCTGACGAAGCAGCAGATGAAGCTGTCAAAGTCGATATTGAGGTGCTCGTCAGCGTAGCGCATGGTGATGATGTCATACAGCTGGTTGTTTAGACGGAACCCTAAGTGGGATGGAGGGAAAAAAAGTGGAATGGATACAAGATGAAGGATTTGCTGTAACGACAGTGGAAGATATTTTAATGTTTTTTTTTCATGTGCAAAGTACAGTAAAATGCCTTGCATGCTCTTTCCCAACAATGCAATAATCAATATACTGTATGTAGTACAACAAAAAAATACAAAAGTCAAGAACAACTGTGATGGAAAATGTTCTCGTGTGAAGAGACAGCCTTGAAAAAGTTAATTTTGTATTTCGTGTCGTAAATAATCCTTGGTTCCTGCCTGTGCTTGGTAAAGATATGAGGGGGGGGTGACATGACCCCCTCCTTAAAACCATCTGGCAGAATGCCCAGAATATGTTCTATAAGTTAAGATAGGAGACGGAGCCAGACACATGCAGGAACCAACCCTATGAACCATGCAAATACAACTTCTCTGTAAGCAGTATATAAGAGAACTAACGGGACTTTTAAGCAGGTCAACATTCACAAGGCCGCAGAGCCAGACGGATTACCAGGACGCGTACTCCGAGCATGCGCTGACCAACTGGCAAGTGTCTTCACTGACATTTTCAACATGTCTCTGACTGAGTCTGTAATACCAACATGTTTCAAGCAGATCACCATAGACCCTGTGCCCAAGAACACTAAGATAACCTGCCTAAATGAGTACCGACCCGTAGCACTGACGTCTGTAGACTTGAAGTGCTTTGAAAAGCTGATCATGGCTCACATCAACACCATTATTCCAGACCCACTGAATTTGCATACCACCCCAACAGATCCACAGATGATGCAATCTCTATTGCACTCCACACTGCCCTTTCCCACCTGGACAAGAGGAACACCTACGTGAGAATGCTATTCATTGACTACAGCTCAGCGTTCAACACCATAGTGCCCTCAAAGCTCATCACTAAGCTAAGGACCCTGGGACTAAACACCTCCCTCTGCAACTGGATCCTGGACTTCCTGACGGGCCGCCCCCAGGTGGTAAGGGTAGGTAACAACATCTGCCACGCTGATCCTCAACACAGGGGCCCCTCAGGGGTGCGTGCTCAGTCCCCTACTGTACTCCCTGTTCACCCATGACTGCATAGCCAGGCACGACTCCAACACCATCATTAAGTTTGCAGACGACACAACAGTGGTAGGCCTGATCACCGACAACGATGAGACAGCCTATAGGGAGGAGGTCAGAGACCTGGCCGTGTGGTGCCAGGATAACAACCTCTCCCTCAACGTGATCAAGACAAAGGAGATGATTGTGGACTACAGGGGAAAAAAAGAGGACTGGGCACGCCCCCATTCTCATCGACGGGGCTGTAGTGGAACAGGTTGAGAGCTTCATGTTCCTTGGTGTCCACATCACCAACAAACTATCATGGTCCAAACACACCAAGACAGTCGTGAAAAGGGCACGACAAAGCCTATTCCCCCTCAGATCCTCAAAAAGTTCTACAGCTGCACCATCGAGAGCATTTAATTATTTGTATTTTTTACTTCACTTACAGTGAGGGAAAAAAGTATTTGATCCCCTGCTGATTTTGTACGTTTGCCCACTGACAAAGAAATGATCAGTCTATCATTTTAATGGTAGGTTTATTTGAACAGTGAGAGACAGAATAACAACAACAAAATCCAGAAAAACGCATGTCAAAAATGTTATAAATTGATTTGCATTTTAATGAGGGAAATAAGTATTTGACCCCTATGCAAAACATGACTTAGTACTTGTTGGCAATCACAGAGGTCAGACGTTTCTTGTAGTTGGCCCATTTTCAATGCCCTGGCTGAGGGAAGGAGGTTCTCACCCAAGATTTGACCGTACATGGCCCCGTCCATCGTCCCTTTGATGCGGTGAAGTTGTCGTGTCCCCTTAGCAGAAAAACACCCCCAAAGCAGAATGTTTCCACCTCCATGTTTGACGGTGGGGATGGTGTTCTTGGGGTCATAGGCAGCATTCCTCCTCCTCCAAACACGGCGAGTTGAGTTGATGCCAAAGAGCTCAATTTTGGTCTCATCTGACCACAACACTTTCACCCAGTTCAATTTAAAGTCAATTTAAATGATTCTGTATAAAAATAAATAATAAAACCAATAAAACTGAACAATAAAAAAAAGTACCCATAGTCTTATGAGAAAGCTATTCACTAGTCTTATGGTGAGAAGACTAGAGCGAGGGCGAGTAACGGTACCATGGAAAGCCCCGCTGACAGCTGTCTGTAGGTAGTGTCTACGTGGTCTGCAGCCACTACTAATAGCACGTGGTGTTATTATATATGTATAGGAGGTAGCGGCAAGAGAACTTGTTGAAGATACATATGGTGCATAGGAAGTAATAACAAGAGAATCGTTGAAGATGCACATGGGGTAATAAGGGAGATTACCGAGTGTGTTTGGGAATAGTACTAAGTGAATGTGGATGTGAAAGTTGTGTGAGTGTGGAAAGGACGTGTTGATCTGATTGAAATGTGGATATTACGCTGATTGACATTTGTATAACAAGATAATTGAAATGTGGATAATAAGCTGATTGAAATTTGGATAATAAGAGGTTTGAAATTTTGCTATTAAGTACTGAGTGAGTGAGAGCTGTCAGGGGACGAGCTCCGATGTGAAAGAGTTGAATGAACACCCCAAACAATTGTGTGAGCTGAGTTTTTTTAATCTATAATGTCATCTACGGTTCTGTCCACCACTGCCAGTCGGATCTACAGGTAGAGGATAACATGTCTCAGGATCCCAATCGAGGGTAACATGTCTCAGAGGATAACATGTCTCATTAGTAATGAGGATAACATAACATGTCTCATTAGAGGATCACATGATAACACGTCTCATTAGTAACGAGGATAACATGTCTCAGGAGGGTAACATGATAACACGTCTCATTAGTAACGAGGATAACATGTCTCAGGAGGGTAACATGTCTTATTAGTAATGAGGATAACATGTCGCAGGAGGGTAACATGACTCATTAGAGATAGCGAGGATAACATGTCTCATCAGTGGAGTTTGATGGTATATAAAAAAGAAACGTCCTCTCACTGTCAACTGCATTTATTGTGCCCATAGGCGACATTGTTGCCAGTGATGTCTGGTGAGGACCTGCCTTACAACAGGGCTACAAGCCATCAGTCCAGTCTCTCTCAGCCTATTGCGGACAGTCTGAGCACTGATGGAGGGATTGTGCGTTCCTGGTGTAACTTGGGCAGTTGTTGCCATCCTGTACCTGTCCCACAGGTGTGATGTTCGGATGTACCGATCCTGTGCAGGTGTTGTTACACGTGGGCTGCCACTGCGAGAACGATCAGCTGTCCGTCCTGTCTCCCTGTAGTGCTGTCTTAGGCGTCTCACAGTACGGACATTGCAATTTATTGCCCTGGCCACATCTGCAGTCCTCACGCCTCCTTGCAGCATGCCTAAGGCACATTCACGCAGATGAGCAGGGACCCTGGGCATCTTTCTTTTGGTGTTTTTCAGAGTCAGTAGAAAGGCCTCTTTAGTGCCCTAAGTTTTCATAACTGTGACCTTAATTACCTACCATCTGTAAGCTGTTAGTGTCTTAACGACCGTTCCACAGGTGCATGTTCATTAATTGTTTATGGTTAATTGAACAAGCATGGGAAACAGTGTTTAAACCCTTTGCATTTTACATTTACATTTTAGTCATTTAGCAGACGCTCTTATCCAGAGCGACTTACAGTTAGAGTGCATACATTTTTTCATTTTTATAATTTACAATGAGGATCTGAAATTATTTGCATTTTTACAAATTATCTTTGAAAGACAGGGTCCTGAAAAAGGGACATTTCTTTTTTTGCTGAGTTTAGTTATTATGTGTGTGGAGATATGAAAGGAGAAAGTACTATTCCCGAATATGCTGTTACTAGAGATAGTAACATATGAAGAGTATAATGGGTTACTAGAGATTTGATGAAGTAACAATAGAAAAAATAATATACAACTTGCACACCCACACGTAGACGTACGTAAGTGGTGTAAAAAGTATTAAGATAAATTAATAGTATAATGGGTTACTAGATTTGATAAAGTAACAACGTATCAATGTATAATGGGTTACTAGAGTTTAACTTGCTTGGTAGAGACTTATTATGGACAGAGCACGCCATCTATAGGAGACTGATACAGTGCCAGCCCAGTTATAGTGAAAGTTGATCCCAGAAATGTGATCTCTTCCCTTCTGAATTAGCCGATGCATTTTATAAATTCGGCGCATTACATGTTAATCTCAAAATAAGACATTTAATAAGTGTGAAGCAGAAAGTGAATATCCAACAGAAATTGGTAGTAAATATTAAAGAGTAACATTGTTTGTTTTTTTGGGGGGGGGGGATGGATCAGCTTAATATTGCAGATAGATTTTATCTTCTATCAATGTAATTGTCTGCATCACTTCCAATCCCCCATGTTTTTTATATATATACTCCCCTTTATTAATTTTCAACCCCGCCATCCTTTCCCTACTTGGAGTAAATTAGTGAACAACAATGCCCAGGCCTCTACTTCTGGTCTATACTTACTATCTACACCTTATGGACACAGTTAATTTTACAATTTTTATATATATATATATATATATATATTTATTTATTTTGCTCCTGAACTTCTTCTACTCTCAACCTCTCCGATCATTTTCATGATGTCCATCCGGTTTGCTTCTATATGCCATATCTTTCCAACTGTGCTCTTTCCCAAAAGCTCCCAACATACAACCTATATACTTATTATGGACACAGTATGCTTACATTATTAGCTATCTTTGTTATTATTTGTTGTTATTTGTTATTAGTCCCATCCTTCAACTCTATTCAATACCTCCCATCTATCTCTTAACATCATCCATATAGGATTTCTATAAGAGTAACATTGTTAGGGTAGACTAAAATGAAAACAATGCCTTCCAATACGGAGAAAGTTATCATGTTTGTTTTGTTTTAAACCTTACAATTGGGGTGAAAGCAGAACAGTGTTTGAGAGTGATCCGTGTGTATTAGCCGTAGTGATTGAGAAGGTCTTCCTATTGGGAAGGGAGTCCTGGTTATGGAGACTAGTGAAAGTTACAAAGTGAATGGCAATATTAGTGTCTTAGTAATTTGAAGAAGTAAATGTTTCAATACAAGGTCACATGATGAACAGAGGGATTGAGCATTGGGACTGATATTAAATTAGAGGCCGCCATCTGTTGTTTGGGTTAAAGATAAGCTTCCTGTGGAAAATAAGTAGTTCTCACTGAACTCAAACAGGCTGTAAGGGACACAGTGGGACATTTGGGACAGAGGTATGAATAATTGAATAAGATACTTTTTTGACCATTTCCAATTATTATTACTCAATTCTATAGATTTAAGTAAGAAGGTCATGTCATCTAAAACAATGATCTGTTTCCATTACGAGGAACTGTGTCCAGATTTGAAGTAGATCCAAGTAAATGTTTTTAGTACCGAATATTGAGCTGATAAGCCAGCAACAACTTTTTGAAGGTCCTAACAGATTTGTTAAACAACAGGTTTTATATTTTGGCTAGTTGATGTCACAGGTACCGAACATATGTCAATGCAGCAGGAAAAAATGACGAGATTACAGGAGAGGGGCTCTGGGATTGTTTAGTTTAGAAGGTGCCTATTTCTGCTTGACGGGACACTGTATCATCTGATGTGTCTGAAGTATTATTTTGTATATGGATGGTTTTATCAAGACTTCCTGCCCAAGATACAGTAAAGCTCAATTTTATACACCTGTCAGCAACAGGTGTGGCTGAAATAGCCGAATCCATTTGAAGGGGTGTCCACATACTTTTGTATTTATAGTGTATGTATAGGGGTAAAGTGACATCAAATAGAATGGTCAATGCAGATTGTTCGTGTAGCCATTTTATTAGCCATTTAGCAGTATTTAGCTGTATGGGACGGCTGTCAATCCTTTGGTCCTTAAATGAAACTGATATACTTTTTTATTTATCACAGTTTTCCTTAACCAATTATGTTCTTTAATGCAAGGCCGACAGACAAGTTCCTTACTTTCTCCCCCTTCCACTTTCCTCTTCCATCTTTGCGGTAAGGCTGCAATTATTTGGTTGTAATTTTGGGTAGAGCAGACATTTCCATATGTTTTTGTTAGCTGCATGTGCAACATAACTCCACCAGTCCTACCGATGATATCATTTACGAAGATTATACCTTTTTTAAACATTCTGTCAAAAAATAAAGTTTTTTTGTCAATTAGTATATTTGAATTTAACCACAATATTTGTTGCATTATTTGTTCTGTCGTTTCTGGAGGATTAAATTGAAACCAACTTTCTATGGCTTGTTTTAGAAATAGTGATATTTGGGAGATGATTTCCTTTTCAAATAACTGAAAGTGAGTGGTTGTAATCTGAATAAAGGGAAAAAGGCCATTCTTGAACATTGGGTGAGACAATCTTACTAATTTGCTTGAGAACCAGTTCGGATTGAAGTATAACTTTTGTATGACTGAAGCTTTTAGTGATAGGTCTAATGCTTTAATATTTAATCATTTCTGTCCTCCGAATTCATATTCATTATATAAATAGGCCCGTTTAATTTTGTCTGGCTTGCCGTTCCAAATAAAATGGAATCTTTTTTTCTCATATAATTTAAAAAACTGTTCGCTAGGCGTAGGCAAGACCATAAGCAAATAGGTAAACTGGGATAATACTAAAGAGTTAATCAGGGTGATTTTTCCACAAATTGACAGGTATTTACCTTTCCATGGTAGCAAGATCTTATCTATTTTTGCTAACTTTCTATTAAAATGTATTGAAGTGAGATCATTTATTTCCTTTGGGATATGTATTCCGAGTATATCCACATCACCATCAGACCATTTTATTGGTAAACTACATGGTAAAGTAACATTTTTATTTTTTAGTGATCCAATACGTAGTATTGTACATTTGTCATAATTCGGTTGTAATCCAGAGAGGTTAGAAAATGTATCTAGATCCTCTGAGGCTGTGGAGGGATTCTAGTTGTGGATTTAAAAGAAAACATGAATCATCAGTGTACAATGACACCTTTGTTTTTAAGCCCTGGATTTCTAATCCTCTGATATTATAGATATGCCGATAGTGGACAACCTTGTTTCACTCCTCTTGACAGTTTAAAACTTTCTGAGAAATAGCCATTATTTACTATTTTACACCTAGGGTTACTATACATGATTTTGACCCATTTTATAAGAGATTCTCCAAAATTGAAATGCTCCAGACATTTATATATAAACCCCAGTCGTACTTTATCAAATGCCTTTTCGAAGTCTGCTATGAATAGCAGGCCTGGTTTCCCAGATTTTCCATAGTGTTCTATTGTTTCCAATACTTGCCTTATATTATCTCCAATGTATCTTCCATGTAAAAAACCTGTCTGATTAGAATCAATAATATTCGACAATACCTTTTTAATTCTATGCGCTATACATTTTGCTAGAATTTTTGCAATATTTAGCAGTCTTATTGCTTGGGAATAGAAGCTGTTCAGGAGCCTGTTGGTGTCAGACTTGAATCACCAGTATTGCTTGCTGTGCGGAAGCAGAGAGAACAGTCTATTTTATTTTTTTATTTTTATTTCACCTTTATTTAACCAGGTAAACCAGTTGAGAACAAGTTCTCATTTACAACTGCGACCTGGCCAAGATAAAGCAAAGCAGTGCGATAAAAACAACAACACAGAGTTACATATGGGGTAAAACAAAACAAAGTAAAAAAAAATACAACAGAAATACATATATACAGTGTGTGCAAATTTAGCAAGTTATGGAGGTAAGGCAATAAAATAGGCTATAGTGCAAAATAATTACAATTAGTATTAACACTGGAATGATAGATGTGCAAGAGATGATGTGCAAATAGAGATACTGGGGTACAAATGAGCTAAATAAATAACAATATAGGGATGAGGTAGTTGGGCGGGCTAATTTCAGATGGGCTGTGTACAGGTGCAGTGATCGGTAAGGTGCTCTGACAACTGATGCTTAAAGTTAGTGAGGGAGATAAGTGTCTCCAGCTTCAGAGATTTTTGCAATTTGTTCCAGTCATTGGCAGCAGAGAACTGGAAGGAATTGCGGCCAAAGGAGGTGTTGGCTTTGGGGATGACCAGTGAGATATACCCGCTGGAGCGCAGACTACGGGTGGGTGTTGCTATGGTGACCAATGAGCTAAGATAAGGCGGGGATTTGCCTAGCAGTGATTTATAGATGGCCTGGAGCCAGTGGGTTTGGCGACGAATATGTAGTGAGGACCAGCCAACAAGAGCGTACAGGTCACAGTGGTGGGTATTATATGGGGCTTTGGAGACAAAACGGATGGCACTGTGATAGACTACATCCAATTTGCTGAGTAGAGTGTTGGAGGCTATTTTATAAATGACATCGCCGAAGTCAAGGATCGGTAGGATAGTCAGTTTTACGAGGGCATGTTTGGCAGCATGAGTGAAGGAGGCTTTGTTGCGAAATAGGAAACCGATTCTAGATTTAACTTTGGATTGGAGATTCTTAATGTGAGTCTGGAAGGAGAGTTTACAGTCTAACCAGACACCTAGATATTTGTAGTTGTCCACATACTCTAGGTCAGACCCGTCGAGTGTAGTGATTCTAGTCGGGTGGGCGGGTGCAAGCAGCGTTCGGTTGAAGAGCATGCATTTAGTTTTACTAGTGTTTAAGAGCAGTTGGAGGCTACTGAAGGAGTGTTGTATGGAATTGAAGCTCGTTTGGAGGTTTGTTAACACAGTGTCCAATGAAGGGCCAGATGTATACAAAATGGTGTCGTCTGCGTAGAGGTGGATCTGAGAGTCACCAGCAGCAAGAGCGACGTCATTGATATACACAGAGAAAAGAGTCGGCCCAAGAATTGAACCCTGTGGCACCCCCATAGAGACTGCCATAGGTCCAGACAACAGGCCCTCCGATTTGACACATTGAACTCTATCTGAGAAGTAGTTGGTGAACCAGGCGAGGCAGTCATTTGAGAAACCAAGGCTATTTAGTCTGCCAATAAGAATGCGGTGGTTGACAGAGTCGAAAGCCTTGGCCAGGTCAATGAAAACGGCTGCACAGTACTGTCTATTATCGATCACGGTTATAATATCGTTTAGGACCTTGAGCGTGGCTGAAGTGCACCCATGACCAGCTCGGAAACCGGATTGCATAGCGGAGAAGGTACGGTGGGATTCGAAATGGTCGGTGATCTGTTTGTTGACTTGGCTTTCAAAAACTTTTGAAAGGCAGGGCAGGATGGATATGGGTCTGTAACAGTTTGGATCTAGAGTGTCACCCCCTTTGAAGAGGGGGATGACCGCGGCAGCTTTCCAATCTCTGGGGATCACAGACGTTACGAAAGAGAGGTTGAACGGTGGCTGGAGTGGCTGGGTGGCTGGAGTCTTTAACAATTTTCCGGGCCTTCCTTTCACACTGCCTGGTATAGAGGACCTGGATGGCAGGGAGCTCGGCCCCAGTGATGCACTGGACTGTCTGCACCATAGCCAGTCAAGATGCTTTCAATTGTGCAGCTGTAGAACTTTTAGAGGATTTGAGGGCCCATGTCAAATCCTTTCAACCTCCTGACTGTTTGTGTGTGTGGACCATTTTATAGGAGGTCCATAATACCCTTTTTACACTAGTACTGAGCCAAGAAAAAAAGAGTCTAGTCAACTCATGGCTCTCAGGGAAGACTTCTAAGTCCATTCACCTGGAGGCAAGTTCAGCAGAATGAAACGTTTTGAAACGTTCAGATATAAATATGTAGAACAAACATGCCTCTGACATGTAGAATAATGAATCACGTCGGCTCGAATCATGATATTTCTATCTGTAACGTTAGAAAACGTTTGGCAACTGAACGTGGCCCTGCAAGGGCTGAACAAGTTTGTCCATGGAGCTCACCTGCGTCATTGACTGCGTTCCTCATCTCAAAGCTGCTGATGGTGCTGGATTTGTCCTTGTCATACTTCTTGAAGATCAGCTGCACACAGTGAACACATGATGGTCAATCTCAATTAATGACTGTTTGAATATTGTGCTGAAAATGTGTATTATCTGCTGATGATCGCTGTTGGGCGAATCTATTGCTCTCAAACTCTAGGCGGCATTCTGCTTTCTTCCTACAGTTTTCAGCCATTACCTTCGCCCACGATTACCTCGTGAACTAAAATCCCCACGCTGTGTTTTAACGTTTACAAACGTAAATAATCATTGCTTGTGTTATGGCTTTCAATACAAACAGCCTTTATCTTTCATCAGCAAGAAAGAATCCTTCAAATAAAAAAGATGCAGTTACAGATCCATACAGCTATGGGTGCCTCCATCTGACGAAAATTACACTTCCACTACTCTTCCCGAGTTACGCTTACTCACAGGTGTCCGGAGCATGCTAGATAGCTAATTAGCACAGGTGGTCACCTCTTGTCTTCCATCTGTTTTCTGTAAACAAGTGCTGTAACATGGAGTTATGGCCACGTGGGAACACTAACCCTATCAAGGTGTGTATCAATTTAACCTTTTATTTTTTGAAAATTATTGATGAGGTCCTTATGCTTCCAAAACCTTACTGAAGCGATGCATGTTAATTTTCAGTTTGAGCGTCGGGGCTCTAAACAAAACTCCCCCATACAGAAGGCGCCTTCATCCTAACTTCCACTTAAGTCCAAATTTCACTTAGCAGTGATGGCAACGGGAGACTAAGAGTAAATTCGACTTAAATGGAAGTTAGGATTTGCCCCTAAACCATCAGGCTCTGGAGAGTTATGGACAGGAAGATCCTACCTGCCACGCTTTGATCTTACTCCACAGGTGTTTGAACTCCTGCAGGTTCAGTTTTCCTGTGCCGTCCGTCTGAGAAGTAGTTAGGGTAGAAACACAGGCAATATTTCTCTCTTGGGCGTTTCCGTGTGAAGCAGTGGAGGCTGGTGGGAGGAGCTATAGGGGGACGGGCTCATTGTAATGGCTGGAATGGAATGAATGGAACGGAGTCCAGTTATGTGGTTTCCATGTTTGATGTGTATGATACCGTTCCATTAATGCCCTTCCAGCCATTACAATAAGCCTGTCCTCCCATAGGTCCTCCCACCAGCCTCCACTGGTGTGAAGAACTGCATTTCATAGAATTGTATATATTTTGAACTACTGCTTTTACTACTGTATCCGTCCGTACCTTTAACATTGTTGTTTGCTCTGTGTTTACATAGATAGGCAACCAGAGTAGCAGACAGAGATGGTCTCAGAAACGTTCAAATAGAGTTCCAGTATAAATCACATGGAAGGATACGTCCATCAAAGCGATCATGCTCCGGCAACTCTCTAAGCTCAAGCCGTCCGTCTTCATGTCATTATCTGTGGAGAAAAATATCATTTAGAAGATAAGTGCATACTACAGAGTGGACACTATGTGACAAGTGTACAGAAAGGACATGGCAGGTGGCCATCACAGGCGGTTGGTGGCACCTTAATTGGGGGAGGACAGACTCGTGGTAATGGCTGGAGCGGAATAAGTGGAATAGTATCAAATACTTCAAACATTTCCATTTCCATTTCTTTAATGCCATTCCATTCGCTCCGTTCCAGCCATTTTGATGAGCCGTCCTCCCCTCAGCATCTTCCAATGGTGGACATAGTGGGCACAAGGGAAGAGGAAGGGTCCGGCATTAAAAATGAGGGATCATGACAGCACTCACGTTTTTCCAGTACCCTTTTCATGACCACCTTGAGCTCGTTGGCACAGATCTGCATGTCCTAGAGAGGGGACATATCTCCTTTGAGCTGTGTGCATGTAGACCTCTCAGAATACCCTATCCTTATCGGCCCAATCCCATATCAAACCTCTACCTCTAACCCCCTATGCACTTGTGAAGATCTGAGAGGATTAGATTCGTATAAACAACATGCTCATTGGGTTTACTTACATTCAATTACCCTGACCAATGCTCCCACTTTCCCCAGTCACACCAGCACTCACCTCCCCAGCAATCTGCTGGTAAATGGCCCTGAACATTTTGTGTTCTCCGCTCTCCTCATCCGGTTGCTGTGGTTTTGGCTGATTGGGAAAGTGAAAGATAGAAACTTTTAGAAAGATCGATGGAAGTGAAGGCATGATGTTATCAGGTTTCAGGCTGGTTTAAAAAGTGTTATATCCCAACATGCACTACACAAAGCCATGCTAATTTTGATTGTATTGTGGACATCAGTAGACAAATGGCAAAAGTCAAATCTGCCCTAAATGTCTATCATTTGTTTATTCATTACCCCTTTCGACCAGAGGAGGAGGAACCATGGTAACCAAACAACAGCAAATATGAGTATGTAAATACACAGTTCTGAGAACAAGTGCATTGTTACTGGAGATTGGTTGACCTTCTAGAGCTGATTGTGGATCCGTGGGGGTGTCTGGTGGTCTCTCCCTGGTCAGGATAGGACAGGAGATGTTTTGTGGGCTGGGGTAGATTGGGTTTCAGTCCTATGACTGACCCCGTATTTTGTTAGGTCAGAGGTTACACTATGCTAATAGTTACATTGGAGAACGCAACATGGTGTAAAATGCCTACAGGTGGAATTGTGTCAAGTGCAACTTGACTGGCATCGTTTGGGTGCGTGCACACACACCTACACACACCTACACACATATACATTCATGCTACACACACATCACAACTGCTGCTACCAGACTCTTATTATTTTGGCTAAATTCCGCCCAATTTAAACACTTATCCCCCAATCCCCTCCCTGTCTTGGCCACCTTGACAAACACATGCCATCACAATAGGTTTCACCACAATCACCCCTCCCCTCTGCCCCCCTCCTCTCTCAAAGGAGAACACCCCTCCCCTCTGCCCCCCTCCTCTCTCAAAGGAGAACACCCCTCCCCTCTGCCCCCCTCCTCTCTTAGAGGAGAACACCCCTCCCCTCTGCCCCCCTCCTCTCTTAAAGGAGAACACCCCTCCCCTCTGCCCCCCTCCTCTCTTAATGGAGAACACCCCTCCCCTCTGCCCCCCTCCTCCCTTAAAGGAGAACACCCCTCCCCTCTGCCCCCCTCCTCCCTTAAAGGAGAACACCCCTCCCCTCTGCCCCCCTCCTCTCTTAAAGGAGAACACCCCTCCCCTTTGAACAACCTTGACTTTCTCTTTCTGCTCCTTCTCAACCTCGATGTCATCTTGCTCAATCTCCTTGTTGGCCTTCGCTCTGTCTGATACAAACACGATGGGCTGGGGGTGGTAGTGGTGGGGTGGATGGGTGGGGGGGTGGTGAGTGGTGGGGTGGAGGTGGGTGGAGTGGGGGTGGGGGTAGTGGTGGGGTGGAGCGGGTGGTGGAGTGGGGGGTGGAGTGGTGGGGTGGAGGTGGGTGGAGTGGGGGGGTGGGTAGTGGTGGGGTGGACGGTGGTGGAGTGGGGTGGTAGTGGTGGGTGGAGGTGGTGGAGTGGGGTGGTAGTGGGGTGGACGGTAGTGGGTGGGGGTGGTAGGTGGTGGAGGTGGGTGGGTGTGGTGGGGGTGGAGGGGGGGTAGTGTGGGGGGTGGGGTGGGTGGTAGTGGTGGGGTGGACGGTGGTGGAGTGGGGGTGGTAGTGGTGGGGTGGACGGTGGTGGAGTGGGGTGGGTAGGTGGTGGGGTGGCGGTAGTGGGGTGGGGTGGTAGTGGTGGGGTGGATGGTGGTGGAGTGGGGTAGTAGTGTGGGGTGGAGGTGGGTAGTGTGGGTGGTGGTGAGTGGGGTGGTAGTGGTGGGTGGACGGGGTGGGGGTAGTGGGGGGTGGTAGTGTGGGGTGGGGTGGTGGTGGGTGTGGGGTGGAGGGGGAGTGGGGTGGAGTGGGGTGGTAGTGGTGGGTGGACGGTGGTGGAGTGGGGGTGGTAGGTGGGGGGTGGTAGTTGGTGGGAGTGGGGGTAGGTGGGTGAGTGGTGGAGGTGGTGGGTAGTGGGGTGGCGTGGGGGGTGGTAGTGGTGGGGTGGACGGTTTTGGGGTGGGTGGTGGTGGGTGGATTGGTGGGTAGTGGTGGGGGGGTGGAAGGTGGGGGGGTGGATGGTGGGGGGGTTGTAGTGGTGGGGTGGGGGTGGACAGTGGGGGGGGTTAGAGGTGACCAGAGGTAAGGGGAGAAGGTGGATTGGGACGTGTGACACACAGGGGTTAGAGGTGAAAGACAGAATAGAAGAAGAAAATGACAGTAAGCTCATTGGACGTAGACCAACATTCCATTACCCTGGATCCCTATCTGTTTGTGCTGTATCTCCAACTCCTATGTTTGGTATAGTAACGGCCGTAGGAGTTGGGCTTCACAGCCCGAACAGATCAGGGACCACCAGGCTAATATTCAATTGGCTTCAAGTCTACATGTGAAATGACACTGGTTGCAATGGTAATTTATTTAATCTAGCGAGAAGTGAAAGAGGATGTCGTGAAAAACATCCTATATTCAATGTCTCGGTCATAATTTGGTTAAAACCAAAGAGACTATGATGATGCATGCACACACAGTACCTTTCCTTTCTTTGTCCTGTTTTTGCCTTGCTGTCGGCGTGAGGCAGAAATGGAAAATAAACATAGAAATGAAATGGAGAAGTTAACATTGAAATGAACAATGAACAATCAAACCCTGTTCCGTAATAGTGACAAAGAGAGAGGGGGAGATAGGGAGAGAGAGACAGACACAGAGACAGACAGATTCAGACAGACAGAAAGACAAAGAGAGCGAGAGACACAGACAGAGATTGTCAGTGGTGGGACTATATTCTTCATTCAAGTTTGAGTGATGTATTTTTGGTAGGTGGAGGACAAAGACGCAGACATACAGACATGAACAGGTGCATATGGACAACAGGTGGATTTTTATTTTATTTTATTTATTAGGATCCCCATTAGCCGACGCCAATGGCGACAGCTAGTCTTACTGGTGTCCGACATACAGTGCCAGTCAAAAGTTTGGACACACCTACTCATTCCAGGGTTTTTCTTTATTTTTACTATTTTCTACATTGTAGAATAATAGTGAAGACATCAAAACTATGAAATAACACATATGGAATTATGTAGTAACCAAAAAAGTGTTAAACAAATCAAAATGTATTTGAGATGAGATTCTTCAAAGTAGCCACCCATTGCCTTGATGACAGCTTTGCACACTCTTGGCGTTCTCTCAGCCAGCTTCATGAGGTAGTCACCTGGAATGCATTTAAATTATCAGGTGTGCCTTGTTAAAAGTTAATTTGTGGAATTTCTTTCCTTCTTAATGCGTTTGAGCCAATCAGTTGTGTTGTGACAAGGTAGGGTGGGTATACAGAAGATAGCCCTATTTGGTAAAAGACCAAGTCCATATTATGGCAAGAACAGCTGAAATAAGCAAAGAGAAATGACAGTCCATCATTACTTCAAGACATGAAGGTCAGTCAATTTGGAAAACTTTAAGGACTTTGGAAGTTTCTTCAAGTGCAGTCGCAAAAACCATCAAGCGCTATGATGAAACTGGTTCTCATGAGGACCGCCACAGGAAAGGAAGACCCAGAGTTCATTAGAGTTAACTGCACCTCAGATTGCAGCCCAAATAAATGCTTCACAGAGTTCAAGTAACAGACACATCTCAACATCAACTGTTTAGAGGAGACTGCGTGAATCAGGCCTTCATGGTCGAATTGCTGCAAAGAAACCACTACTAAAGGACATTAGACTGGTGGAAATCTGTCCATTGGTCTGATGAGTCCAAATTTGAGATTTATGGTTCTAACTGCCGAGTCTTTGTGAGACGCAGAGTAGGTGAACGGATGATCTCCAGATGACGTGGCCTCCACAATCACCTGACCTCAACCCAATTGAGATGTTTTGGGATGAGTTGGACCGCAGAGTGAAGGAAAAGCAGCCAACAAGTGCTCAGCATATGTGGGAACTCCTTCAAGACTGTTGGAAAAGCATTCCAGGTGATGTCCCCTGTAGCTCAGTTGGTAGAGCATGGCGCTTGCAACGCCAGGGTTGTGGGTTCGTTTCCCACGGTGGGGCAGTAAGTCGCTCTGGATAAGAGCGTCTGCTAAATGACTAAAATGTAAAATGTAAGCTGGTTGAGAGAATGCCAAGAGTGTGCAAAGCTGTCATCAAGGCAAAGGGTGGCTACTTTGAAGAATTTGTTTAACACTTTTTTGGTTACCACATGATTCCATATGTGTTATTTCATTTTGATGTCTTCACTATTATTCTACAATGTAGAAAATAGTAAAAATTAAGAAAAACCCTTGAATGAGTAGGTGTGTCCAAACTTTTGACTGGTACTGTAAATGAAAAAGACATTACAGACATTTACAATTTAAATACATTAAAAAACATTAACATGTAGTTTGTGTGTGCATCTATCAGTTACACATACATGTCAGTATATACACACAACAAGTAGGTCACATGGGGGAGAGGCATGTGCCATGAGGTGTTGCTTTATTTGTTTTTTTAAACCAGGTTTGCTGTTCACTTGGGCTATATAAGACGGAAGGGAGTTCCATGCACTCATGGCTCTGTATAATACTGTACATTTCCCTGAATTTGTTCTGGACCTGGGGACTGTGAAAAGACCCCTGGTGGCATGTCTGGTGGGGTAAGTGTGTGTCAGTGCTGTGTGTAAGTTGACTATGCAAACAATTAGGGAATTCCAACACATTAATGTTTCTTATAAAAACAAGAAGTGACACATTCAGTTTTTTCTCAACTCTTAGCCCAGAAAGACTCACATGCATAGTATTAGTATTAGCCCTGTGATTACAATGAAGAGCAAGACGTGCCGCTCTGTTCTGGGCCAGCTGCAGCTTAACTAGGTCCTTCTTTGCAGTACTTGACCATATGACTGGACAATAATCAAGATAAGATCAAACTAGAGCCTGCAGGACTTGCTTTGTGGAGTGTGGTGTCAAAAAACACCAAGTAATTTAGTCTCCTCAACTTGTTCAACAGCCACACCATTCATTACCAGATTCAACTGAGGTCTAGAACGTAGGGAATGATTTGTACCAAATACAATGCTCTTAGTTTTAGAGATGTTCAGGACCAGTTTATTACTGGCCACCCATTCCAAAGGAGACTGCAACTCTTTGTTAAGGGTTTCAGTGACTTCATTAGCTGTGGTTGCTGATGCGTATATGGTTGAATCATCAGCATACATGGACACACATGCTTGTTTAATGCCAGTGGCAGGTCAGAGAGAGAGGAGAGAGAGACGCGGGTCCATTTACTAACCTCTATTTGGTCTGACCTAATTGTGTTTTCGGTTTCCCTGAGAGAGAACAGACAGACGTTACTCATCACCATGGCAGAAGATCGAAGGCATGGAAGCTTAATATATACTGCCACTCTTGGGTGGGTGGCATGCCACTCTTGACTGGCATGGAGGCTTAACTTTTACTGCTACTCTTGGGTGGGTGGCATGCCACTCTTGACTGGCATGGAGGCTTAATCTTTAATGCTACTCTTGACTGGCATGCCACCCACACATGCCCCCACATGCAGACTCTCACATTCAGACACACACACACACACAGACACACAAATGGCCACCCACAGAAACAAATTCATTCACACAAACACACACACACACACACACAAACTCCCTAACCCCTCCACCATAGCAGCCCCTCTCTCCCTCCCCTCCCAGTCACTCACTCTGAGGTGCTGTTCTTCTCGGAGAAGACTCTGAGGATGAACTCTCCCTCCTCGTGGGGTTCAAAGGTCGAAGGGATGATCACGTACTCCCCAGGGGGCAGGCAGAATCGCTCGCTCACCTCACGCAGGTTGATGTAGGACTTGCATTTGGCCTTGGAGGCATTGTAAAGGAAGAAGTCTTTCTGCAGGTGCTGCTGGCTCCCAACCATCTGTAGCGAGAGAGGGGGATAGAGGGATAGAAAGAGAGGGGGGACAGAGGGGTGATGCACTGGCACTGACTTATCATACTATAAAAAGGGATCTGACTTATCATACTATAAAAAGGAATCTGACTTATCATACTATAAAAAATAATTTTTAAAAATTACTTAATCAGTATAATAGAATAAAACAAATGTCTAAGGCAGACCTGGGTAGAATATTTTCAAGTATTTCACATATTTATTTGACGCAGTTCTGCTAAAATAATATGTATTGTTATCTGAACATCTCTTGTGTATTTTTGGTGTGTTGTGTGTAGGCTATTTTATAGCTAAGGTGGCATGTTGAACACTAGTAACACCAAGACACAGCTTCAAGTTAAGACAGAGGTACACCTAGTTTTAAGTTCTGAAGCAGAGGCAGACTGACACACATAAGTAGCACTTTGACCACAGTCAGGTGACTACTGGGACAGCCCTGACATCAGCTCTGACATCATCACACCAAGGTCCTCCTTCACCTGGCCATCATACCTCTTTGGGCACCTGAGGACAAGAAACAACAAAGAAAAGTCAGTATCACCATGACTACAGTGCCTATTCATATATGGAATGAAAGTGTACCCAAACACCCTCCAGACCAGCTTGAACAAAAAAGGGAATTAGGTGCTCAACTGAGGGCCGTTCCTTACCCCAGGACACGTCAACGGGTGACTATAAAGAAAAGGGAGCACTTTGTTTCTGTATAGATTTGATAATTTATTGACGGGACAGACAAACAGGCTAACGTATCAAGCGATTAACCTATTTGGATGTCCTGCCAATAAATTATCAGCTTTGGCTGAGAGTTTCCTTTTGCGAGGGTGGAGACATCGCAAACCAGAAATCTCAATTTTTAACACGCTTCCCTCCAGAACCTAATTGAGCATCTGACCAAATTATGCACAATTTTAATTCTGGGTTAACCAAGATTAATATATGACTGATTTTATTTTAAATGCTAGGGCTAGGAGTTTTTCCTAACCAGTAGGGCGCACCGTAGCAACACGTTTTGAGATGGTAACTAAATGTGACTGTTTCTTCAGTAGTATCTCCCCCTTTCACTCAGTTTCGAAAATGTGTATCTTGTTTTATACCGACTGGTCACAACCCAGAAGAACATCCGAGCATTTATCCTGGTTAGGTGATCAAGAATACCTCCAGTTATGTCCTGTGATTGTGGTTTGGTTTATCAGGAGGTATATCCCACCTCGTAGATGGAGAACCCGATGGTGTAGAGCTTGGCACCCTTGTTGCGGTCTTTCCTCCGGCCCTTCTGCATCAGGGCCACCATGACGGTGCATGCCACATGCTCGGGGTCGTCGGGGTCGTCGTCCTCCTCGTACAGACGCATGCGGTACTGCGGGTTGGTCCAGAACGTGTCTGTGGGACATCAGATAGGAGACGTGGTCAGTGGGGGTCAACGTCTTCATTCTTTCTATGTACTACTTTTGGCTACCAAGCAGCTGAGAAAGTGTGTAGTTAAAGCAGAATGAAGCAGGCATCATAACCATGATGTGCACAACTACAAATCAGTATAGTTCAAACACTCTTTTTTACAGCCCAAAGTCAACCTTGTACCTGGGAAGTTCCTGCAGCCTCCGGCGGAGCTGCCTCGTACCCAGCGGCCCTCGTTGACCGCCACAGTCCACCTATGGGACTTGTCGTCTAGCAGTGCGTCAGGGGTCAGGTTACAGATCTCCAGCTTGGTGAAGTTCTTTTTGAAGTCCTCAAAGGATATCCTATAAGGAAAATAGAGTAGAATAGAATAGAGTACAATAGATTGTTGTTTATCCATTTGCACAGAAATCCTTTGTTACAGTGCCCAGCCCTAATGTCTGAGACATTGACATTTATCAGAGGGCTTCGTTCAGCTCACCAAGTCTCGCTCGTCTCAACCGTCTTCTTCTTCAGCCTGGCCTTGTCTGAGCTGGAGATGGTGGACCATTCTTTGGACCTGTGGAGAGAAAATAACCAAAGTCACCTTGTTACATGTAGGCTGCGTTGTTATGTTATGTATTTTATGTTTCTCTTGCTGCACAACCAGTTTCTCCCTGGAAGAATAAAAATGATTGATTGTTTATTGATTGAAGGATTGATTGGTTGATTGGTTGGTTGATTGATTCTAGGCTTTAGAATGTCTGCACTCACTTTGCATTCCATGGCCCTTTCCATAGCACCATCCCCCAGGGGTTCCGCATTTGAACTAGGCGAATCTTGGTATCCTTGGTAACCTTAAGCTTGTCACACTAAGAAAGATACCCTTGGTCAGCAGCGAAAGATAATTTAGTTTGGCCCGCACCTCATATTAGTAGATACTGTGTTGTAACATATTCATAGAGTTGTTCTTTCTTTCTTTCTTTCTTTCTTTCTTTCTTTCTTTCTTTCTTTCTTTCTTTCTTTCTTTCTTTCTTTTATACCAGGTTTTAATTTATGCTATTGTCAGAGTGCAATGTACAGATTCAGTCAACAACAATACAATAACATTGATTCAGGTTGTTTGTCTTTCTAATAATGTAAAGTGATAAGTTACAGTTTGGTAGAGGTTTGACCAGAGGCTTCAGCTTTGACTGTGGCTCCATGACCATAACCATACCTCCTCTAGCGCAGTGATAGAGTAGGCGTGGCCCCTGACCAGTCCATTTGCAGTTTCAGTCTCACAGTGACTCGGCAACAGGTCCTGCGAGAGATAGGATGGACAGAACATCAGAACAGAGATACACGGTCGTGTGGCGCCTTTGTTCGGACCCCGGTCACTCACAGTAGCACACAGAAGAAGGCAGAAGGCATGGAGCAGACTGACTCACGTCTATGGAACAGCCCATCAGAGAGCCTCTCTCCAGGGCTTTCTTCATGATCCTGTAGAGTTCTTTTGGAGCCTCTGAGATCTCAAAGAACTCTGTCACACCCCCAGTGAAGTCCTCCATGGCCTCCAGGGTGTTGCCACCTTTCAGGGCCTCGTAGGAACCGTGCAACCTGACCAGGAGACAACCATACAGTTTATGATTTCATAATAACCATTGCAAATTGTACATCATCTTGCCTGATTAAGTGGAGAATACAAAGGTGTGAATTAACTTTGGTCAATTGGAACCAGGTTATACAGGTCGACAGTGACGCAGAGGCTGGGTTGTCGTTGCTGCTGTTGTTGTTGTTGTTGAGCACCCTTCTTTTCCACAGGGTGTATTATTAATAGACTTGTGTTGTGGCATCATCATTCACACTTACTTGGCATAAGCCTTCTCCAGCAGAGCGCTCCAGAACTCGTTCTTCCTAAAAGACTTGGTAAACACCAGGTGGTTATTGGAGGTGGGGATACGGTCATCCACCACAACGTCCACCCATTCGCCATAACGCCAGAACTGCGGGGAACAGCGAGACAATGGACAGCATGGGAGGTGATGAGAGGGAGTGAGAGCTGGGTTGTGTTCAGTAGGAAGAAAATGAGAAGGAAACAGTGACACAGGGAGGTTCGACCTAAACTTGTCCAATTAGATCACAGAATTTCGTATTCCATTGCACTTTTTTTTATTTTTTTAAGTGTGCCCTACTGAAGGTTCAGTGATTTATAATTCAGTACAGGGTTGTTGTTGTTGTTTTTTTTTTGGGGGGGGGGGCAAACATGAATAAGATATAGTAGGTCCTGAGTCTACATAGATTGATTGAATAGTTCCCAGGTGATATTGACCATGACCATACAGTACCTGGAAATGGAAGATACCAGCGTAGTTCTCTGTGAAACTCTGGTCTGGTGGGATAACTCTGTACAGCAGCTTGTCATTCAGTGTCAGACAGGCAATAGCAGCGAGCAGCCAGCAGTCACCTGCAGGAAACAACGAAACGTTTAGCCTCGGGAAAGAAAAATTAGCGTTTTATTATTGGTCAAGTTCAGGTAGTCTCGGCCCATTTCAGGACCCATATACTACTGACTCCTTACACAGGCTTATGTAAGGGTATCCACTTGCATGGCTATTTTCTGAACTGTGTCAAAAACATGGACTGGTGTAGCTTGACCCGGCAGCCCCAGTGCGTTCTCAAGCGGGCATTTAGCAGATGTTATGGGAGAGGGGTTTCTGTTACACAGCACTCAAACGCACATGCATGCCACACGCGCTCACACACCACGCACGCCGCGCGCGCACACACACCACGCGCGCGCACACATACCCTGCTGCAGGTGTCAGTCCTTTACAGCGAGCAGTGTGGTTACCGGGGGTAACTTTTCGTCTCTCGTGGCTTAAATTCTCACACCATCTTTCCATCCTCACTCTCTCTTCTAACAGGAGAGCTCCTTGATTGCATCCCCAGCTGTCTGTGCTTCTCAAACGTTGTCTGCCCTCTCTTTTGCTTTTCACTGTGCCAAGATACTATGGCTTCAGTTTGAACAGGGATCGCTAAATAGTGAATGCTATTTGTGCTGTTAGTTAACACCTGTCTAACTTTTGATCTCCTCACATCCTGGTCTCGCATGACTCAAGGCTGAATCCTCACTGTCTACTTTTACTTGTCTACATTACTGTGCAGATGTTATTAGTCAGATGTTGCTGCTTCATACCATCGACCATGAGCATACTTTAGCAGCAAGAGTCTTACCCAGGGATTTCATACAGTGCATGATTTCTGTGGTCTTACCCAGCTCTCCTTGACAGATGTCTGTCCTACTGGCTCCGTCTATGATGAACTGGGGGTTGTCACAGATTTCCTGCCAAACAAAGAAAGAGAAAAACAGCTGTAGCCATAGGAATGTTGTTGTGATGTTCTACTGGGGTGTGGAACATCTTGTGAGAGCTTCAATCTATTATCAGATAGTACTATGTCTTGAGAGGAGAGAGGAATATCTTGACTGTACCATGATAACAACATGACTTAAAAAGATATCAAGCTACATTAGTAGATGGCCTGTGTACTTTGACAGCAACTAAGATAAGTTTATTTTATACAATCTCCTATGGTGATAAACAGGCATAAAACATTGGTCAAAACACATGAACTCAAAACTGGAGTCAACCTCACTTTTCAATTATGTCTTCATGAGTGGAATATGAAGGAGGGATGCAAGGCCCTGCCAAAAACCTCTTTGCACAACGTAAGTGATAAGTGATAGATCCATAGGGGAAACACAGTGACAGTAGACCAAGTCATCTGTTCACAGCTATTTTAAGTGCTACAACGAAATGCAATAGCGGCCTTAAAGTGGGGTCCTCATACCAAACATAGAAATAGTTGTTCTACTGTATTTCTACGATGCCAAAAGAGCTGGGAAGGGCTGGCACAAAGAGGTATTGTGTTAAACTTTACATCCGGTTTTATAGTAAAACATAGCTGGTGACTGGATGTAAACTCTGTCATGTAAAGGTCTAACAGTATAAACATACTGTAGGTTTGCTTGTACAGTCATTTCAAGACGGGATTCAAAATAGGAAAAGCACTGCAGTTGTGTGGTCAATTATTACATAATGACTTAAAATAAAATAAAAACCATGCATACAAACAAATGATACCACCCGACAAATGCAGTGTGCAGGTTTTTCTTCAAAACAAAATGACAAAAATAGGACAAATTTGCACCGTTGCAGTCTGGCTACAGGAAAAGATAGAAGAGGAGAGGTCTTGACCCCTGGGGAGAGGACTTGACCCCTGGGGTTGTGTCAGAGTCTGGTTGGTTGCTCTTATTCTCTGGCTGGGTTGAAGAATACTAGTTGCAATCTAGTGAATTATGATCTCTGCCATAATAGCAGCTGTAACAGGTCACGACCTCTAGAGTTTTCCCACCAAGGGTTAATGTATTTGGTAATACCTCTGGACTTCTCACTTCACCGGGACAAAGATTGAGTGCCCAAGGATCTACGTTGAGGGGACCTGGGTTCAAATAGTTTGGCCTGCCTGGAGTGCCAGAAGGGTGGGGTTTGTACTTTTGGGACTATTCCATTGGTTCCATTGCACCAAGAAAGCTCAATCAAGCACAGCTAAAATATTTTTCTAATATTATTTGACCCCAGGTCTTGATCTCATTATTGATGATAGAGTTTGTTGATAGAGAAAGTGAAAGTCCATCTACAGTACATAATAATGCCTGAATGAAATGTGAGGTTCTGTCATTAGTGTGGATATACTTTTGTGTTTGTAGGACTGCATAGTGGTCACATTTGTTTATGGAAGCATATGTTAAAGCAGTATTGGAGGAGGTCGTTATAAAAAAGGGCTTGAGTTTCACGACTCAAGGGGCTGAGTCAGCAAATTGACAAATACTTGGATCCGATCCACATGCACCAACATGATTTCTCCACACCTTTAAGTGTGCCAAGAACGATTGCTTCACCACCTTCTTAGACCAGTCTTACTGCCGACCTCACTTGGGCTCAAAATGGTTGCACTCCTGGTGGATTTATGAATGTATAGTTTTGACCCAATGGCAAGTTCATCAAAATTGTTCTGCAACCTGATCAAGGCCAAATTACGGAGCTCCCTGGGATGGTTATATATAATATACAGTATGGTAGTTCAAAAAATATCCACCATCTGGAAAAGTAGCTTGGATATACTGTTGGTACATACCACCTTCATCGAAAGATGTCTCAAGACATCTTGAGACATAAAATTAAGATGTATTGAGACAGTTTGAGACGTAGCCATTTTTCAAGACATCTAAAGGTGCAATCAGCAGTTGAAAACAATAACAAAGTCCACACCCCGCCTCTGTTTTGGTAAAAAGCTGAGGGATGGACCTGGAGAAATGTAACCGATCTCAAATTCATGGACAGAGATAGGACTGACCAGCCAAGATATCAAAATGATAGTTTTAACCATGTTTTGAGGCTATACATTGTTCACATTTTACTAAACATTGGAGTAAAACAAGCTTAAGAAAGTTGAACTAAGCTCATGAGGCATTTATAAGTTATATTCTTCAAGAATCAGTGGGTATATATTATTAATTTATTAGTCAAAAAAATGTATGTAGCAACTTCAGATTGCTCCTTTAAGATAAATTTTGAAGACATGTCTTTTAACGTCTCAAGGCATGGTAATGAATGGGTATGTATGGTTGACATGGTGTGGTATAGTTTTTTACACTTGGGACGAAAGCGTACCAAAACACACTTCAGACCAGCTTGAACAAAAAGAGAATCTGGTGCTCAAATGACGGTCTTGATAATCCAAAAAAAGCATTCCTTACCTTAGGACACTTTATGAAGTGACTATCCCAGAATGAAATAAAGGTGTTAAATGCCTGAATGAGGCAGGTGCAAAGATTGCATCTGATGCAAAGGCTTAGTAAATCTGGGCCTTCGACCAAGTTTTCAATATCCTGTAGTAAAGATCTGAGTTATGGTGGATAGTATGTTGGGTCAGCCTGTTCACTCCAGCAGTAAACCCCTCTTTGGCTCCTTCCTCATCACATGAGGTGCCCCTTGGGTTCACAAGAAGGCTAACCTCATACCCCTGATTTAGACCTTGGATAATGTTGACCCTTTGGCTTTAGCTGGGACTTGGTCACATTGACGTCAAGCTATCATGACTGCAAGTCAGTAAGACTCCATTAGTCCTGTGACATTCCATGACTGGAAAACATCTGAGTAACACCAACTTTGGGCTTAAGCAATTTTATGCACTAATATGAGTCACTCCCGATTAGAGCTTTTGCTAAATGACTAATGTGTTACACAGAAATGCAAACACACCCATGTATGAGCCTTCACAATGTCTTATTATAAGGCTTCTTATGAGGTTTATAATATGTTATGTCTCTCTATGAATGAAACGTTCAACTGACTCAAAATGGCTGTTATTTTATTTAGTCAGGATCATTAAGAGATGATAATAAGACATGGGGTTGTGCATGCTTATGACAGGTGTTATGCATTATAATGCATTACACTTGCAGGCTTTGAGGTAAAGTGCTACCCTATCATTATTTTCATCTTGGAATGAGAACCCGCTGACAACTGCAACATAAGATTCACATACGGTTGACTTAAATGAATACCAAGACTGCAAAGTCTAGAATACACAGGTTTTGCCAGTCAGAGAGTCTTGTAACGGCACACTGCCTGACAAGGCTGATTATTGGTTGACTATGATATCCCAGATCTACCTCTGATCTCTCGCTGTCAGCCTCGTGGCATGCCTGTTGGTTCTGTGGTGAGGCCTGCCTATTGCAGAGTCTCAGCTGTCTGTGATTCTAGAACCTGATGATCCTCAGCTATGCGCCCATAAACATGCAGCAGAATCTCTTTCGCGTTCCCCCAGGTTATTTACCAGGAAGTGATGTCACAACAATGTTTTTGCAGCTAATGAAGAGAGATTTGATCTTAGGCTGAGGGATAATACCTTACCACAAATGGGTTGCTGTTTTTGTTAATCTACTTGTCTGCAGCCTTCAGCCCTAATATGTTTTTTAGTCTGACACACTTCATCAAGAGCTGGGCTGGTAGGTGTAACAGAGTAGGTCCCATCCTTGGCCCGACTTGGGCTCGAACCAGGGACCCATCGAACAAAATCATTTCTTACTCAAGAAGGACAGTTATGTTCTCTAGTACAACCTGTCAATTTCTTTTCCTTTTGTGAAACAGTGGTTCAGTCTTCATTGCAATATGAGTTCCATCTTAACAGCATGACAATTTGTATATGTTTTTCTAGCCCTGATAAATATGTTCTGATAGCACCTTCAATTGACTATCTAAATGTATACATCTCCTACCCCAACATACACGTACAGTTCCAACCTTGAGGCAAGGCGTACTTCTCCCCTACTAGTGGGAAAACAGATGGCACTCACCGTTGGGCGCTTCCACTCAAAGTCAATGGGAAATTTGCTACTGTACCAAAGAGAAGAATCATTGGCTGGGAACAGAGGGTCTTCAAACAGGACCTTCTTTTGTACGTATTTGTCTCGCAACTCCAAGAAGTTCTTCAGGCGTTTGGCATCTTTGACGGCCTCGTTTCTGCTCAAAATGGCGGTGTAGATACTGTTGCTGGCCGTGAAGGGGTAGTCAGTCTTACCCTGAGGCACCTCAGGTGATGCTTCAGTTTCCAACGCCACCTTCACTGAAGTTTCCTCAACAAGGGCCATCTTGGCTTTTTTTCTTTTTTCTTATGCGTGTCCTCGTTCCCCCTATCAGTGTGAGCTGCCCCCTTTAGTATGTACGTTAGTCAAAAGTCCAAATGAATGAAAGTGAGGAATATTTTCAGATTTCAATGCAAGAGCATGAACTTGCAAAACAGCCCTGATAAACTTCCCTTCTTCTTTCCGCGTGCTTTCTTCTCACTCTCAGTTCCTTTATATGCTGGGGGCACTCGCAATACCAAACACTCCCTCCAACCCACACCCATAGACACACACTGACACTTTCGCCTTTACGGGTCTATAAATAGGCCCCTTGAAAAGACGGGAAGAGGCCGCTCTGAAAAGGACTACCTCTCCCATAATTTCCAGTCTACAGTGTAGGTCTACAATTCACTAGGTGGGAGATGGCAGCTTGGGAAAGCAGGCTTGGGCGTGGGAAAGCAGGCCCCACATACCAATGCCCCATATTATACATGCCATACCATGTAACGATAACTACACTCACTTTACCATGTCTTTCCCTGATATCAGCTACAGTCAAGAACAATTTTGCTGATTGCATTTGCACTGTTGTTGGGTTGTGACACATATATGTACATTATACTTGATGAAATGGATTCGTGGTGGCCCAGTACTGTAGATGATGATGATGAATTTAACCTGTGGATTGCAAAGCATTTTATATGACTCTCTGTCGTTCTCCGCGTCCAATGTGTAGTCTGTCCATCTGGGTGGTGTGCACTGAAGCGCTGTATGCACCAGCCAGAGCGTTGAATTCTCACATCTGGAGAGGTGAACCATCTTTAGCTGAGGGAAACCATGGCCATGGGATATACAGTGCATTCAGAAAGTATTCAGACCCCTTCCCTTTTTCCACATTTTGTTACGTTACAGCCTTATTCTAAAATTGATTAAATAAACATTTTCCTCATCAATCTACACACAATACCCCATAATGACAAAGCAAAAACAGGTTTTTAGAAATGTTTGCACATTTCTTTAAAATAAAAAACAGAAATACCTTATTTACATAAATATTCAGACCCTTTGCTATGAGACTCGAAATGGAGCTCAGGTGCATCCTGTTTCCATTGAGATGTTTCTACAACTTGATTGGAGTCCTCCTGTGGTAAATTCAATTGATTGGACATGATTTGGAAAGGCACACACAAGCGTCACGTCTGGAGGAAACCTGGCACCATCCCTACGGTGAAGCATGGTGGTGGCAGCATCATGCTGGGGGATGATTTTCAGCAGCAGGGACTGGGAGACTAGTCAGGATCGAGGAAAAGAGGAACGGAGCAAGGTACAGAGAGATCCTTGATGAAAACCTGCTCCAGAGCGCTCAGGACCTCAGACTGGGGCGAAGGTTCACCTTCCAACAGGGCAACGACCCTAAGCACACAGCCAAGTCAACGTCGGAGTGGCTTCGGAACAAGTCTCTGAATGTCCTTGAGTGGCCCAGCCAGAGCCCGGACTTGAACCCGATCGAACATCTCTGGAGACACCTGAAAATAGCTGTGCAGCGACGGTCCCCATCCAACCTGACAGAGCTTGAGAGGATCTGCAGAGAAGAATGGGAGAAACTCCCCAAATACAGGTGTGCCAAGCTTGTAGCGTCCTACCCAAGAAGACTCGAGGCAATCATCGCTGCCAAAGGTGCTTCAACAAAGTACTGGGTAAAGAGTCTGAATACTTATGTAAATGTGATATTTCAGTTTTATTTTCTTTTAAAAATGTGCAAACATTTCTATAAACTTGTTTTTGCTTTGTCATTATGGGGTATTGTGTGTAGATTGATGAGTGAAAAAAAAAACAATTTAATCCATTTTAGAATAAGGCTGTAATGTAACAAAATGTGGAAAAAGTAAAGGGGTCTGGATACTTTCCTAATGCACTGTATGATAGGGCCAATGTCATATGGCAACTCCTGCTCACACACACACACACACACACACACACTTGTCAGGCTCTCAGAATGTCTTATTTGAAGGATGAATTACTAGAATCTAAACGTGATTCTGTGGAATAAGAATGTCTCTGCGTGGGGCAAATGGGATATGCTAAAGGTATGAGTGTCCTCTACTGGCCTAGTAATGCCACTTCAAGCAGCGGATTTATACACTGCTCAAAAAAATAAAGGGAACACTAAAATAACACATCCTAGATCTGAATGAATGTAATAATCTTATTAAATACTTTTTTCTTTACATAGTTGAATGTGCTGACAACAAAATCACACAAAAATTATCAATGGAAATCAAATTTATCAACCCATGGAGGTCTGGATTTGGAGTCACCCTCAAAATTTAAGTGGAAAACCACACTACAGGCTGATCCAACTTTGATGTAATGTCCTTAAAACAAGTCAAAATGAGGCTCAGTAGTGTGTGGCCTCCACGTGCCTGTATGACCTCCCTACAACGCCTGGGCATGCTCCTGATGAGGTGGCGGATGGTCTCCTGAGGGATCTCCTCCCAGACCTGGACTAAAGCATCCGCCAACTCCTGGACAGTCTGTGGTGCAACGTGGCGTTGGTGGATGGAGCGAGACATGATGTCCCAGATGTGCTCAATTGGATTCAGGTCTGGGGAACGGGCGGGCCAGTCCATAGCATCAATGCCTTCCTCTTGCAGGAACTGCTGACACACTCCAGCCACATGAGGTCTAGCATTGTCTTGCATTAGGAGGAACCCAGGGCCAACCGTACCAGCATATGGTCTCACAAGGGGTCTGAGGATCTCATCTCGGTACCTAATGGCAGTCAGGCTACCTCTGGCGAGCACATGGAGGGCTGTGCGGCCCCCCAAAGAAATGCCACCCCACACCATGACTGACCCACCGCCAAACCGGTCATGCTGGAGGATGTTGCAGGCAGCAGAACGTTCTCCACGGCGTCTCCAGACTCTGTCACGTCTGTCACATGTGCTCAGTGTGAACCTGCTTTCATCTGTGAAGAGCACAGGGCGCCAGTGGCGATGTGCACATTTGTGGCCTGCTGGAGGTCATTTTGCAGGGCTCTGGCAGTGCTCCTCCTGCTCCTCCTTGCACAAAGGCGGAGGTAGCAGTCCTGCTGCTGGGTTGTTGCCCTCCTATGGCCACCTCCACGTCTCCTGATGTACTGGCCTGTCTCCTGGTAGCGCCTCCATGCTCTGGACACTACGCTGACAGACACAGCAAACCTTCTTGCCACAGCTCGCATTGATGTGCCATCCTGGATGAGCTGCACTACCTGAGCCACTTGTGTGGGTTCTCATGCTACCACTATAGTGAAAGCACCGCCAGCATTCAAAAGTGACCAAAACATCAGCCAGAAAGCATAGGAACTGAGAAGTGGTCTGTGGTCACCACCTGCAAAACCAGTCCTTTATTGGGGGGTGTCTTGCTAATTGCCTATAATTTCCACCTGTTGTCTATTCCATTTGCACAACAGCATGTGAAATTTATTGTCAATCAGTGTTGCTTCCTAAGTGGACAGTTTGATTTCACAGAAGTGTGATTGACTGGGAGTTACATTGTGTTGTTTAAGTGTTCCCTTTATTCTTTTGAGCAGTGTATATTTTCAGAAGTCCTGACTCATCTACCCTGGTTGCAACCTGTCAGTTCATAGCAGAGAGTTGCAGGGCAGTGTGTTGTATGTCGCAATCTCGGTTTGAGATGCACTTGATAGTTGATAAATTGTTGTGTAATGAAGTAGTTACCCCGCGTGTTTTCAGAGCTGCCAACTTTCACGCTTTCGCCGTGTGACACACGTTTTTGCCTGTTTTCACACGCACTCACGCCACACATCCAATTTCTCACGCAAAAAAAATCGGCCGAGACTAGTTCGTTCCTTTTTTCAAACTCCCCGACGGTAGATGGCGCTGATGAGCACCACTGAACCATATGCGCTGCACCCCGAAGTTAGCGACAGAAAAAGACAACAGGAGAAGAAACGGTCACTACCTCAAGAAGTCTGATAAGAAGCTGAGCTGAGACTAGGTATGGTAACAATGAAATGTCGTCCAATTGAGTACTCACTCTCTTAAACTTTAAATCTTGAAATAAATTATTTGTTTGTGCGTGTGAACATGATTTAGTGTGGTGAATGTAAACTCAGCTGATTTCGAACAGGTAAGATGTATTCCAAAGAATTTAACATAAATACAGGAAATGTGTGCAATAGAGACTTGTGCAGACATTCACTGACCCCATGACAGAAGTGTACCTGCTGTTCTTCCAAGCCACCGTACCAACTTTCACTTCTTTCAACTTACTACTTCAGAGAGAGCAGTCATCAATATTTTTGTTACATGATGAGGTGGGATTGGATTTTGCAGTTTTTTCCCATTCTGTGTTTCTTGCTGATATCTGCAGGGATCCTCTAAAACAGGTTTCACCTACTATTTTTGTAAATGTCTGTTATAGATGGTGAAATTCGTACGCAAGCTATGTTCCAAGTTTATGGTTCCAGCAGCTCTGCAGTGCCATGAGGAGCCTTGTGAAATTGCCTTTAAAGAAAAGGCAAACCATTTACCAGGTTAGTATTTGACTATTATTATGATCAAACACTGTGATATGTGATATTTAGCCTTGTACCTTATACCGATATGCTGTATCTGTGACAGGAAGAAAGTTGAACATTGGGTTCACAACCAGGGCTAAATTTAACAGATTACTCGACGAGGCTAACATCACACCACAGCAGGTGGATTCATTCCATGAAGCTGTGTTGTGTTTCCTGACAAGTGCTGTGGACTATGCACTTAAGAAGCTGCCACTGGAAGAGCCACTGATCAAGCACGCACAATTTGTAGATGTACGGCAGAGGGCTGAAAGTGACATCGAAGATGTCCTGTACTTTGTTGAAAGGTTCGTTTTTTTTCTCTAATTATTGTCTATCATCTTAGCTAAAATACCCTGTGTTTTATGATGAGGTGTGTTCACTCCTAAACTGCACATGATATATTCTTATGTGGCTTCTCCTCAAAGATGTGTATGAACTGCTGCTGGTTGATGACTATATACCTAAAACGTAACAACTTGTAACTCTACTTTCATAAATAGGTTTCCCCATCTCCTCCCATACCATGGGCCAGAGGAGCATGACCTTCTGGGTGAGGAGTTTCTAAATTATCAGACCATGCCAATGATATCCCTGCAGGACGAAACTGAAATGGAAAGCTTCTGGGCTGAAATGGCAACCCGGAAGCATAAGGTAAACATTTTTTCCTTTTTTGACTTTCCTTTTGGCAGGTGTGGCTTGGCTACATCTGTTGCTTAAAATCGTTGCATGCATATATGTGTCATGCATGTTGCAAATTATGCATGTTTTTATCTGAACTTTGTTAATGGATCAACCTACAGTATACTTACAGTATTAATCAATCAAAAATCAAGGTATGTTTTTCCATTGTGTTTTGGTGCATTTTCCATAGGTGACAGGAGCCAAAGAATTCGAGAGGCTTGCTGCCGTCGCCAAGCTTGTCCTGGTGTTTCCCCATGCAAACGCAGATGCTGAGAGGGGGTTTTCAGTTGTGGGACTGAACAAAACCAAGAGAAGAAACGGCCTAGCATTGGATGGCACCTTGTCCTCAATAATGACCATAAAGATGGCCAATCTGGAGCCCTGCTTCAAATGGGAGCCCCCCTCCGATATCATCAAGGCCTCCAAGAAGGCCACAGGCCAGTATAACCATGCCGACAGATCATAGACAAGAGGCTCATTTGAGATGAGCCAGGTCTGCGCAGAATCGATCACCGGCGATCACCGCCCAATGCATGCTGGTTAGATTTGTGTCCGACTTAATCCCGACTTTCTCTGACGTCATGCACACGAGGGCAACGATAACCTCATGAGATCAAGGCGGCCGCAGTTCTGAGACGCAGGCAGTGCAATTGCTTTTCACCGACTGCAGGAACCAGGCGGACTCAGGACAAAATCTCACTCCAAGGTTTTTTGAAAAGTTGGCAGGTATGGTTTTCCCTTTTGAACCTACAAAAAATAATAATACCTCTGTGAAAAGGTAGCTAGGCCTCACCATAGATTTATCTTGGGCCCATTGATAGGGCCTAACCCACAGTGACCATCGCCACACTTATACTGACCACTAGTGGCGATGAAAAAAGAATGCATGTCTGGCCCAATAATTTGTTTCCTCCCCTACTGTAGGAGTGGTCTACTAGAATGGCAACAGTAACTCTGACCAATCAAAAAGCATATTTTAATAATTGGTACTATGATTCGTCATATGAAATGTCAATCTAGACTCTCACCGAATAAGAAAACAATGTGGAAGGCAATCAATGCCCACTGCGGTCTCTGCTTTGATAGTGACGTGAGCAGGTGTGTGTCGCCATTATTTTATCAACCGGTTCATAGTAACCTATTGCCTTATAATTGTGATATAAAAAATGATTTCGATTGTTTTTTTTTCTCCAACATAGGACTTTGATATTTTTGCAACAACTACAGTACTATAGGATATAACTAGCTAACAGTTTCTCGTTAGCTTGGCTGACTGACTGACTGGCCGGCCATCTAGCTAGGGACAAGGCTTGCAAAAATCTAGCATAATCTGTCATTTTTGTTTTAACATAGCAGCAATTCGGCGTGTTAAGTAGTTGGTGAGGTTCGCTAACTAACTAGCTGTCAACTTGCCTTTTGGTTAGCTAATATCCTCAAGCCGGCAGATCACGACATTATAGTTACGTTAACCGGTGGTGGCTACATAGGTAGTAGCTACAGTAGCTTGTTAGCAAATCGTATTTCCACAAGGATTCAAAAGTAGTTTGTAGTTGGAGTCTACTGATACGGAGCTGGCAACATCATTCAAGTTTGCAAGGTAGGTAACTATGCTAGCTAGCTACCTTCATGTTAGCCATTTTAGAGGGGCCCTTCCTTGGCCTGTCTGAAATAAGCAGTCAGCTAGTCAGGCACGTCCTATCAGGTGCGTGGGCAATATCAGGTTGAACGCTGTTGAAGTAACGTAGCTAAATTCAACTCAATTTGAGAGAGTGCCTCAGTAATAAATATTATATCCGGGGTGGCTATACTGTGTGTGTCTACACAATACATTTTACTCTTCTGGCAATGATGCATATAGCCTTTGAGTCAACAATTTGTCGGATTTTGCAGTAGGTGGCCAAGCCTGACAAGATGTCAGAGGGAGAAGGGAAGCAGGCGTCGGACTCTGTCCAGGAGGGGAAAACAGAGGCTATGGTCTCTGCCCCCACTGGTCAGAGCGTGTCATCCGTGTCCCCCCCAGTGTCCACTGTGACACAGCCCCCTGCCACAGCAGCGACAGAGGACGAGGAAGAGGAGAGCGAGGACGAGTCAGAGATTCTGGAGGAGAGCCCTTGCGGACGCTGGCAGAAACGTAGAGAGGAGGTATGCAATGAACATGTGCTGGAGACAAGAAAATTGTTACTTTTTGTGTTTTTAGTCTTGTTTTTTTACACAACTATTGTTAAATCAGATGGAGAATATTAGTGTAATCCAACACTTTGTTCCTCGTTTTAGGTGAACCAGCGCAATGTCCCTGGGATTGACAACGCCTACCTGGCCATGGACACCGAGGAGGGCGTGGAGGTGGTGTGGAATGAGGTCATGTTCTCAGAGCGGAAGAACTTCAAATTGCAGGAGGTGGGTTGAGTTCTCAGCCAGGGCTCAGCTGCAACAGAACCATGCGCTATGTGATGGCATAATGATCAGTTATCACCCATTCATCACCACCTCTGCTGACCATCTAGCTATCACATCCTCTCATGACTGCGGCTGCCCATCTGCTTCAAGAAGCACTCAAACAGACTTGATCAAGCTGATCTAGCTACTGTTGGAGCATATATTTATTTTTAAATTACTTGTTGTTCATTTGGTTTAACATGCACTTTGAGATTGTCTAATGAACAATGCAGAGTTGAAAAGTAAGAACAATTTGTAAAAAAAAAAAAAAAAAAAAAGGATATATACAAGGAGTACTGGTACCGAAATGTGCAGGGGTTCGAGGTAGTTGAGGTAATATGTACATGCAGATAGGGGTAAAAGTGGCTAGGCCATCAGGATAGATGATAAAGAGTAGCAGCAGCGTGTGTAGAGTCCTGTGAGTGTGCATAGTCAGTGCCACCCCCCCCCATTTTTTTTGGGGTCAATGCAAATAGTCTGGTAGATATGTGATTAACTGTTCAGCAGTCTTATGGCTTGGGGGTAGAAGCTGTTTAGGAGCCTTTTGGTCCCAGACTTGGCGCTCCGGTACCGCTTGTTGTGCGGTAGCAGAAAGATCAGTCTATGACTAGGGTGGCTGGAGTCTTTGACAATTTTTAGGGCCTTCCTCTGACACCGCCTGGTATAGATGTTCTGGATGGCAGGGAGCTCTGCCCCAGTGATGCACTGGACAGTATGCACTACCCTCTGTAGTGCCTTACGGTTGGATGCCAAGCAGTTGCCATACCAAATGGTGATGCAACCAGTCAAGATGCTCTCAATGGTCCAACTGTATAACTTTTTGTGGAATTGAGGGCCCATGCCAAATCTTTTCAGCCTCCTGAGGGGGAAGAGGTGTTGCCAGCTCCTGTAGTCCACGATCAGCTCCTTTGTCTTGCTGGCGTTGAGGGAGAGCTTGTTGTCCTGGTACCACACTGCCAGGTCTCTGGCTTCCTCCCTATAGGCTGTCTCATCGTCGTCGGTGATCAGGCCCACCACCATCATAACGTTGGCAAACTTAATGATGGTGTTGGAGTCGTGAGCGGCCACGCAGTAATGGGTGAACAGAGAGTACAGGAGGGACTAAGCATGCACCCCTGAGTGGCCCTGTAATTGATGCTTTGCCTTTTTGATGGATCGTCGGAGGACGTAGCGGGATTTCTTATAAGCATCCGGATTAGTGTCCCACTCCTTGAAAGCAGCAGCTCTAGCCTTTAGCTCAGTGTGGATGTTGCCTGTAATCATTGGTGTTGAGCATGTCACTGGTTTTCCTGTTTGAGTTTTTGCTTGTAAGCCAGAATCAGGATGATAGCGTTATGGTCAGATTTTCCAAATGGAGGGCGAGGCAGAGCTTTGTTTCAACTCTGTGTGGATTAAGGGTGATCTAGAGTATTTGTCGCCTCTATTTGCACAGGTGACATGCTGGTAGAAATTAGGTAAGACTGATTTAAGTTTTCCTGAATTTAAATCACTGACCACTAGTCAGCGCCGCCTCTGGGTTAGTCTTTTCTGTTTGCTTATGGCCCTATACAGCTCGTTGAGTGCGGTCTTAGGGCCAGCATCAGTTTTGTGGTGGTGAATAGACAGCTAATAATTGTTTTAATGAAAACTCTCTTGGTAAATAGTGTGGTCTACAGCTTATCATGAGCTATTCTAACTCAGGTGAGCAGAACCTCAAGGCTTACTTAATAGTAGAGATCGTGCAGCAGCTGTTGTTGACATAGGATATTTGTTTTTTAGATCATGTTCATAAAATAGAATTGAACGGAGATCATCTAGTTTATTGTCTACTGATTGCAAGTTTGCCAAGCGCTACGGCGGGTGGAGGCGGCGTAGTCTCATCAGGTATCTCGCACGCTAGCCTCTAACGCTGTCTCTTCCTTTTTTGAGTGTCGGGGATTTGCCGCCAGGTCCAGGATGAGCAGCATAGCCTTCGCTGCCGACTCATTGAAGTAAAAATCCTCATCCAAATCGAGGTTAGCTCTTTTCGGTCATAGGAAACGCGCAAAACACACAAAGTAGCCCAATTCGTCAGGAGCCTGTAAACGGCTGCTATTCCCTCCAGTGCCATTCTTTTCACCTTGCATCATAAATAACTTATTTTGCCATTTAATTGTGATCTAAAAGGCAAAACTGATCCTAGATCAGCACTCTTACTCTGAGACAGTTGATACGTACGGCCCCAGATCCTAGAAATAGGAGAACACATAGTGTTATAACAGTAATCCTTCTACCCCCACCCCCCATGGATAAGAGCGTCTGCTAAATGACTTGAATGTAAATGTAAATAGTGGTCTTTGCTCTGGCTTGGAGCTCATCAGCTCCAGGCAGAGGTGAATCAGTATTAGTTTTTCTCTTGTCCTAAGCTCCTTAGTGCTCAGATGCACCAGTAACGTTTGCTGGGCCAGAGTACTTCATTTGCGAACCGTAATTTTGAGAACCGAGTGAGCACCGATTTCTGCATGTAGATTTGTGTGAAAATGTCGTCATTCAGACGTCTACAGCATATGGTCCCTAAAACACAGCGCGCTGAACCATCGGCACACGAATGCAAGATCCACATTTGGAGTAGTCCTACCCGTTGCTACCAAACCTATAGGAAAGTACACTCTCTTTACCAAGTTTTAATAAAACCGTTCATAGAAACTGAGACACAGGTTGTTGAGTAATCCTCAGGCACAATCCTCTCGCACATTAGGTTTTTAAACCTTTTTCTGTGGGCTGGGTCATGTTCATAAGGGTGCATAACGTTTTAAAATGTTTTGAGGGGAAAACAAAAATGAGCATTTCTTATTGGACAAGTGCAGGTCCATCTTCTGTTGGGTGCTAAATGAACACGACCCTGTTCTTGGCTGTGTTCCTCTCTGTGACTGTCTAGGCCCTGAGCAGTCTGTTTGGAGCTTGTCAGTGTTCTCTCAGACAGTGTAGTCTGCCTTCTGTTCTGCATGTTGACACGCTGTGTTGGCGTCTGTTGAACACCGGCTGAGCATTGAGTAGGATGAGCTACCTTTTTAGTTTGAATAGTTTTTAATAGTTCCTGGAAGTCTCCAGATGTTGCGCTTCTGAGTTTAGGTGGCAGGTAGCCTAGCGGTTAGAGTGTTGGGCCAGTAACCGAAAGGTCACTGGTTCGAATACCTGAGCTGACAAGATAAATCTGTCGACGTGCCCGTGAGCAAGGCACTTAACCCTAATTTGCTTCGAGGGTGCCGTACTATTATTGCTGACCCTGTAAAACAACACATTTCACTGCACCTAATGTATGTGACAACTTTTTATTTTATTTGTATTAGTATTTTATTTGTTTTACTCTGTGGAGAAAGTATGACTTGCAGAGATGCTGAACTAACCTTTGCTTTACCTTTTGTTTGGCAAGAGCGAGACCGGATCATATTCTGAGTAGTTGGAGTTGATACCGTCCAGCGTAATATGTGCAAGAACATTCTTGTCTTTCCTTTAGAAGTCAGGATTGTCATCTGTTGTCAGACATATAAGCCCTAGTTATTCAAAATCTCCTGTGGCCACATCGCCCACAATCAAACAAATGTAGACCGGGTTAGACAATGTAAAAATACAAATGACATCCCCATGAAAAGAAACAGAAACACAGACATTATCCCAGGCTAAGGGGTTTAGTTTGTTATAATGACTTTGTCTTAATTGGGCTTAACTGCATCCGGTAATACCTTAGCAGATGACAAGCGAGAGAATGTAAATTTGGACTGAAGTGTTGAGCTCCTTGACATCAATCATGCTTATTAGTTGATGATTGTGAGGAATGTTTGATTGATTGCAAATATATTGATATTTTCTTTCTCCTTTTTCTCACTGTCTGTCCATCAGGAGAAAGTCAAAGCGGTGTTTGACAACTTGATCCAGTTGGAGCATCTGAACATTGTCAAGTTTCACAAGTACTGGGCTGATGTGAAGGAAAATAGGGCCAGGGTAAGAGAGATTTTAAATGCTGTAAAATAACTACCTTTTTAATAGTAAGAAATTAACTGAATGTATTACACAGGAAATGTATAAGTTTTTCCACTCGCAGGTCATTTTCATCACAGAATACATGTCTTCAGGAAGCCTGAAGCAGTTTCTGAAAAAGACCAAGAAAAACCACAAGACGATGAATGAGAAGGTACGGATGGATTGTTAGTCTGTTTTGATCTTAAAGGGGCTGTGATTGCTGCATACATTTTCTTACTTTTAAATTAATGATACAGTGCATTCGGAAAGTATTCAGACCCCTTCACGTTTTCCACATTTTGTCATGTTACGGCCTTATTCTAAAATTGATTTAATAATACCCCATAATGACAAAGCAAAAACAGGTTTTTAGAAATGTTTGCTAATATATTAAAAATGTAAAACTGAAATTACATTTACACAAGTATTCTGACTCTTTACTCAGTACTTTGTTGAAGCACATTTGGCAGGGATTTAGCCTCAAGTCTTCTTGGGTATGATGCGACAAGCTTGGCACACCTGTATTTGGGGAGTCTGGGCTCTGGCTGGGACATTGAGACTTGTCCCGAAGCCACTCCTGCGTTGTCTTGGCTGTGTGCTTAGGGTCGTTGTCCTGTTGGAAGGTGAACCTTCACCCCAGTCTGAGGTCCTAAGCGCTCTGGAGCAGGTTTTCATCAAGGATCTCGCTGTACTTTGCTTCATTAATCTTTCCCTTGATCCTGACTAGTCTCCCAGTCCCTGCTGCTGAGAAACATCCCCACAGCATGATGCGTCCACCACCATGCTTCACCTTAGAGATGGTATTGGTCAGGTGATGAGCGGTGCCTGGTTTCCTCCAGACGTGACGCTTGGTATTCAGGCCAAAGCGTTCAATCTTGGTTTCATCAGACCAGAGAATCTTGTTTCTCATGGTCTGAGAGTCCTTTAGGTGCCTTTTGGCAAACTCCAAGTGGGCTGTCATTTACCTTTTGCTGAGGAGTGGCTTCTGTCTGACCACTCTACCATAAAGTCCTGGTTGGTGGAGTGCTGCAGAGATGGTTGGTTGTCCTTCTGGAAGGTTCTCCCATCTCCGCAGAGGGACTCTGGAGCTCTGTCAGAGTGACCATCGAGTGGTACCTCCCTGACCAAGGCCCTTCCACCGATTGCTCAGTTTGGCCGGGCGGCCAGCTCTAGGAAGAGTCTTGGTGGTTCCAAACTTCTTCCACTTAAGAATGAGGGAGGCCACTGTGTTCTTGGGGACCTTCAATGCTGCAGAAATGTTTTGGTACTCTTCCCCAGATCTGTGCCTCGACACAATCCTGTCTCGGAGCTCTACGGACAATTCCTTTGACCTCATGGCTTGGTTTTTGCTCTGACATGCACTGTCAACTGTGGGACCTTATATAGACAGGTGTGTGTGTGCCTTTCCAAATCATGTCCAATCAATTGAATTTACCACAGGTGGACTCCAATCAAGTTGTATAAACATCTCATGGATGATCAATGTAAACAGGATGCACTTGAGCTCAATTTCGAGTCTCATAGCAAAGTTTTTTTTTTTTTTTTTTTATATTTAATGAATTTGCAAAAATGTCAAACCTGTTTTTGCTTTGTCATTATGGGGTATTGTGTGTAGATTGATGAGGAAAATGTTTTATTTAATCCATTTTAGAAAAAGGCTGTAATGTAACAAAGTTGAAAAAGTCAAGTTGTCTGAATACTTTCCGAATGCACTGTGTGTGTGTGTGTGTGTATATATATCCATTGATTCTTTAAGAATACCACTTATAAATACGTAGAAATGTATGCACACATGACTGTAAGTTGCTTTGGATAAAAGCGTCTGCTAAATGGCATTATTATTATTATAAAGGCCTCATGTGCTTAGTATAACTGTCGTGCCCCATCAGAACCTTGTTTGTAAGAAATGTAATTTTAAACACACTGTATCCTCTAAACATGGTTAAAAATGTTGATATCATGGATGGGCAGTCCTTGCATCCATAGCTTCGTATATGAATTTGAGTGGTTACATTTCTCCAGCCCCACCCAAATCAAAGTTTATTGGTCTTGTACACAGATTTTTTTCCCCTCAGCTCTTTACCGAAACAGTGGCGGGGTGTTCGCTTTGCTATTGTTTGAACTACAGATTGCCCCTTAAAGAACTGATTTTAAATTAAATGAACAAACAGAAATGAATACAGGACGAGCGGAAACAAGACTGACCCAAATGGAGCTGTAAGCAGAATGTACTGTGCCTTGCAAAAGTATTCATCCCCTTTGGCGTTTTTCCTATTTTGTTGCATTACAACCTGTAATTTAAATTGATTTTTATTTGGATTGCATGTAATGGACATACACAAAATAGTCCAAATTGGTGAAGTGAAATGAAAAAAATAACTTGTTTCAAAAAATTCTAAAAAATTAATAACGGAAAAGTGGTGCGTGCATATGTATTCACCCCCTTTGCTATGAAGCCCCTAAATAAGATCTGGTGCAACCAATTACCTTCAGAAGTTACATAATTAGTTAAATAAAGTCCACCTGTGTGCAATCTAAGTGTCACATGATCTCAGTATATATACACCTGTTCTGAAAGGCCCCAGAGTCTGCAACACCACTAAGCAATGGGCCACCACCAAACAAGCGGCACCATGAAGACCAAGGAGCTCTCCAAACAGGTCAGGGGAAAAAGTTGTGTAGAAGTACAGATCAGGGTTGGGTTGTAAATTTTTTTATCAGAAACTTTGAACATCCCACGGAGCACCATTAAATCCATTATTAAAAAATGGAAAGAATATGGCACCACAACAAACCTGCCAAGAGAGGGCCGTCCACCAAAACTCACAGACCTAATCAGAGAGGCAACAAAGAGACCAATGTTAACCCTGAAGGAGCTGCAAAGCTCCACAGCGGAGATTGGAGTATCTGTCCTTAGGACCACTTTAAGCCATACACTCCACAGAGCTGGGCTTTACAGAAGAGTGGCCAGAAAAAATCCATTGCTTAAAGAAAAAAATAAGCATGTGGGAGACTCCCCGAACATATGGAAGAAGGTACTCTGGTCAGATGAGACTAAAATTGAACTTTTTGGCCATCAAGGAAAACGCTATGTCTGGTGCAAACCCAACACCTCTCATCACCCCGAGAACACCATCCCTACAGTGAAGCATGGTGGTGGCAGCATCATGCTGTGGGGATGTTTTTCATCGGCAGGGACTGGGAAACAGGTCAGAATTTGAAGGAATGATGTATGGTGCTAAATACAGGGAAATTCTTGAGGGAAACCTGTTTCAGTCTTCCAGAGATTTGAGACTGGGACGGAGGTTCACCTTCCAGCAGGACAATGACCCTAAGCATACTGCTAAAGCAACACTTGAGTGGTTTAAGGGGAAACATTTAAATGTCTTGGAATGGCCTAGTCAAAGCCCAGACCTCAATCCAATTGAGAATCTGTGGTATGACTTAAAGATTGCTGTACACCAGCGGAACCCATCCAACTTGAAGGAGCTGGAGCAGTTTTGCCTTGAAGAATGGGGAAAAATCCCAGTGGCTAGATGTGCCAAGCTTATAGAGACATACCCCAAGAGACTTGCAGCTGTAATTACTGCAAAAGGTGGCTCTACAAAGTGGGGTGGGGGGGGGGGGGGGGGTGAATAGTTATGCACGCTCAAGTTTTCTGTTTTTTTGTCTTATTGTTTGTTTCACAATAAAAATATTTTGCATCTTCAAAGTGGTAGGCATGTTGTGTAAATCAAATGATACAAAAAATCTATTTTAATTTCAGGTTGAAAGGCAACAAATATGAAAAATGCCAAGGGGGGTGAATACTTTCGCAAGCCACTGTATGTCACCTGTATGCTCTGCCTTGGTTTCCCATAGCTCAGTTAAATATTCCCACTCATTTTGGCTGCAGGCGGGGGCTGTGTCCCATTTATTTGGTCTTGTGACAGCCCTATTTGAATTAACCTACTGTTAATGCATACATTTCCCGCTGTTGCAACAACAAAAAAAATCAAACCTAATCTGGTTATTTACAGAAGTAACACTTCAAGAACCACATGGTAATCGCATGTCAAGTAGGTTTGAATGTAATCTCTGCTGTCTCTGTTGTACTTCACTTCTCTATCAGGCCTGGAAGCGCTGGTGTACACAGATACTGTCTGCTCTCAGGTCAGTCACTCACTCACACACAGCAGTACATATATCCATATTGGACTAAGCTCCCCTTTGAGGCCCCTGGAGCCAGTTCTGTTTTTTCAAAACTCACACTTCTCTTGAAGCATCCTGTAAACTTTCTCTCCTCTCCCTAGCTATCTTCACTCCTGTGACCCTCCCATCATCCACGGCAACCTGACCTGTGACACCATCTTCATCCAGCATAATGGCCTCATTAAGATTGGCTCAGGTGGGTCTCATATCCGTCAATCACGCTAAATGTCAACCCTTTCAGAGAAGGGAGTATTTTGAGAGAATGGTATTTAGAAGGGGGTCTTTTCAGAGAAGGGTATTTTTAGTCTCTTTAAAACCAGGGCCTTGTTCAGTAGGGAGGAAACAATTTGAAATGGAGTAAAATGGGGACGTATTAGCTGAACACAGATTTCATTATCCATTGCAAAACGTTTTGCTATGGTGCGCCCTACTGAACATACCCCAGGTGGCACTTGCAGGCCTGTCCCAAGCCTAACGTTCCCCATTCCCTTTGGGCTAATTTGTGACTTGTCTGTTACAGTGGCCCCAGACACCATCAACAACCATGTCAAGACCTGTCGGGAGGAGCAGAAGAGCCTGCACTTCTTTGCTCCCGAGTATGGAGGTAGGTAACCTTTGACCAATTGTCTCTTTTGAGAAACCGTGTAGTGGAGCTGGTTTTCTAGTGACATTGATTGACGTTGGTCTTTTTCTAGCTGTTGCAGACGTCACCACTGCAGTGGACATTTATTCCTTTGGAATGTGTGCCTTAGAGGTCAGTGAAGAATGTTGACTTGTTTCTGTTTTGTTATTCTCACAAAAAAGAAACTGAAAGAATTTAAATGAAAATGAAGTTAATCATGAAGTCGATGGCTATAGCCTTGCTCCATGGCAACTAGAAATGTTGTAGTCCAACAGTCTACTTCTAGTCCTGTTTCTAATCTTCTATTCCCCACACCACCTCGTCTATTCCCCACACCACCTCGTCTCTTCCCCACACCACCTCGTCTCTTCCCCACACCACCTCGTCTCTTCCCCACACCACCTCGTCTCTTCCCCACACCACCTCGTCTCTTCCCCACACCACCTCGTCTCTTCCCCACACCACCTCGTCTCTTCCCCACACCACCTCGTCTCTTCCCCACACCACCTCGTCTCTTCCCCACACCACCTCTTCTATTCCCCACACCACCTCGTCTCTTCCCCACACCACCTCTTCTATTCCCCACACCACCTCGTCTCTTCCCCACACCACCTCGTCTCTTCCCCACACCACCTCGTCTCTTCCCCACACCACCTCTTCTATTCCCCACACCACCTCGTCTCTTCCCCACACCACCTCGTCTCTTCCCCACACCACCTCGTCTCTTCCCCACACCACCTCGTCTCTTCCCCACACCACCTCTTCTATTCCCCACACCACCTCGTCTCTTCCCCACACCACCTCGTCTCTTCAGATGGCTGTACTGGAGATCCAGAGCAACGGCGAGTCGTCGTACGTGTCCCAAGAAGCCATCAACAGTGCCATTCAGTTCCTGGAGGATCCGCTGCAGAGGGTGAGTTGGGGGCCCTGGCCTAGTAGCAAACACAACTGATTCCTTAAGAGACACTACATTATGCATACTGCAACCAAGGGATGTGTTGCATTGAAATACAGAATTGGTTTGTCCTGAAGGGTATTACCCAGTCCAGCCATAACATAACTATAGTCTATATAGACGGGTTGCCTGACAACGTCACAAAAATGATGCGCTTGCATGACAGGGGTAAAAGGCGTTTATGATTCTGAACGGACAGATAGCTAGCAACAATGACAAGTAGCATCCATGTAGGGAATCGTAGGTTGCTCGTTTCGGCTCGTATCTTGTTCTTGACACAATGTCTTGTTTTTGAGGTGTTTTGACTGTCTATGCTTATATGGCAAACATTCGCTAGCTACCTAACCAACCAGTGTAACAATGTTTGAGAGACGAGTGCTTGTTGTGCGAATGCATTTATTTTTTCAATAAACATTTGGAGACTAAATAGTTTACTTGTTGTCCATAATCCTTTGAATGTAAGCCAACCCTGTCTGTTTTGCCCCAAAGTTGCGCATGCGTTGGTTTTGTTGCTAAACAAACCACTATAGTTCATAGTGTTCTTAAAGGGATAGTTCACTGTCTGTTTTCAGACCTGGTCTAATGTCCAAGTGAGTCCATGTCACTAGACCATTTTTGAGCTCTGAAAACATTTGACAAACTTTGATTTTATTATTTACATTTCTCTATCACCTGTATGTGTGTTTTGCCTGTAGCAGGAGTTCATCCAGGCATGACATTTCTCTTTTAATGCCTGTGTTGTCCAGGACTGAACATTCTCCATTTTAATACCTGTGTTGTTCAGGACTGAACATTCTCCATTTTAATACCTGTGGTAGGAGTTCATCCAGAAGTGTCTGGAGCAGGACCCCAGCAAGCGGCCCACGGCCAAAGAGCTGCTGTTCCACCAGGCCCTGTTTGAGGTGCCCTTGCTGAAGCTGCTGGCAGCGCACTGCATCGTCAGCCACCAGCGTGAGTAACAAGACACACACACACACACACATACACTGCGACACACACACACACACACAGAAATTGACACTGACACACACAAACTGTCATTGGACTATCCCTGTCTCCGTCGTGTAGACATGATTCCAGAAAATGCTCTAGAGGACATGACGAAGAACATGGACCTCAACCTGGTGATCGTGGAGTGCAAGGACGGAGTTCAGATGAAGTGAGTCTTAGATCAACTATCTATTCTATCTCTTGGAATCCAAAAATGATTGACATTTTTTAAATCTTAAATGACGTTCAGATTTTTAGCCATCTCCACTAGCACATAACTGAGAAGGGAAGCAACACATGGTCCCCAACTGCTGTTTATTCTCCTATTGAGACATGGTTGATGTTGAAGTGACTTGACAGCGGACCAACCAGGAACAATCTGTTGATGTCCACAGGCTTTCCCAGTTCCCTGCTCTTGAGCTGGACAAGTTCCTGGAAGATGTGAGGTAGGGGAACGTGTGTGTGTGTGTGTGTGTGTTTCTGTAGAGGTGTGTGTGTTTCTGTAGAGGTGTGTGTGTGTGTGTGTGTGTGTGTGTGTGTGTTTCTGTAGAGATGTGTGTATGAGACGTCTAACTCACGGCCCCCCCGCTCTCTGGTGTTTCAGGAATGGGATCTACCCGCTGACAGCTTTTGGGGTGCCTGGCCCCAAGCAGCCAGAGCAGGAAGCAGTGAAGTCCCCCATCGTGCCCCCATCAGTCAAAAGCCCCACCCCCGAGCCTGCAGAGCTGGAGACCAGAAAGGTAAGACCTAAAGGAGGAGGGGAGGGGACAGAGATGGATTGAAAGTGTAGGTAGTAGTATGATAGACCATATGTGGTACATTTTTAAATAAATAGATCAATGGGTGAGTGATTAAAAAGGGAGCTATTTATTTTTGTCCAAATATGTAGTCTACTGTTTTAATTTCTGCCCAGGTCCTACAGATGCAGTGCAACATCGAGCCTGTTGACGAGGGCGCCAAACATCACGTAAGTCTCATGACTATTCATAAATGCTGATCTAAGATCAGGTTAACCCCGTCCATGTAATCTTATTCATTATGATCTAAAAGGAAAAACGGATCCTAGATTAGCCCTCCAACTCTAAGACGCTTTGTAAATACAGCCCGGGGTAAGTGGCCTGTCTGTTCAGTTCAGATTTCAAACCTAAAAAATAATAATTTACACTACCGTTCAAAAGTTTGGGGTCACTTAGAAATGTCCTTGTTTTGGAAAGAAAAGCCATTTTTTTTGTCCATTTAAAATAACATCAAATTGATCAGAAATACAGTGTAGACATTGTTAATGTTGTAAATGGCTATTGTAGCTGGAAACTGCTGATTGTTAATGGAATATCTACATAGGCCTACAGAGGCCCATTATCCGCAACCATCAGTCCTGTGTTCCAATGGCACGTTGTGTTTGCTAATCCAAGTTTATCATTTTAAAAGGCTAATTGATCATTAGAAAACCATTTTTCAATTATGTTAGCACAGCTGAAAACTGTTGTGCTGATTAAAGAAGCAATAAAACTGGCCTTCTTGAGACTAGTTGAGTATCTTGAGCATCAGCAATTGTGGGTTGGATTACAGGCTCAAAATGGCCAGAAACAAGTAATGCGAGAAATTGCCAAGAAACTGAAGATCTTGTACAACGCTGTGTACTACTCCCTTCACAGAACAGCGCAAACTGGCTCTAACCAGATTAGAAAGAGGAGTGGGAGGCCCCGGTGCACAACTGAGCAAGAGGACAAATACATTAGTGTCTAGTTTGAGAAACAAACGCCTCACAGGTCCTCAACTGGCAGCTTCATTAAATAGTACCCACAAAACACCAGTCTCAACGTCAACAGTGAAGAGGCGACTCCGGGATGCTGACCTTCTAGGCAGAGTTGCAAAGAAAAAGCCATATCTCAGACTGCCCATCTTAATCTTTATTTTTACGGTAGTGTGTATATATAATCTATATACATACACACACATCTCTATCTTGCTTATTTTTTCAGCTTACGCTGTTGCTGAAACTTGAGGACAAGTTGAACAGGCACTTAAGTTGTGATTTGTTACCAAGTAAGTATCCACACACGCTTAGTCCATGCTAGGGTTGATTTGGGGGTGTTCAGAGCTATATTTTGCATGCTGTATTTATAAATACTTAGGCATTTGGATTGATGTTTAAAAATATACAGATGAGCTGGTTAAGAAGCTAAGAGATAAAGTTGGCTTTTTCTACAGAAACAGATGGTGCCTTTCTCTAAGCAGTAGGAAGCAGATAATTCAGTCAACCTTTTATCTGTTCTTGATTATGGTGATATTACTCTTAAACTACTACTCTTAACCCTTTGGATGCCATCTACCATACTCTTGAGCTTCCTAGGGTCTCCACAGCTAAGTGAATCTGCTTTTAGTTTTAATGCACCTTTTTGCTGGAACAAAATTCTAAATATATTTAATGTTGATGTACTGGTGCCGTTCGGTCAATTTAAAGTATTGATTGGGGATTTATTTGTGGATGAATGTGACTGTTTTTATTTGTGCTTACCATGATTGTGTTTTTGTGTTCTTGTGTGTCTCCTTTTATATGTATATTCATGTGTATTTGATATTGAATGATACAGGGCGCATTTGGAAAAGAGACCTCTGTCTTCCCTGTCAAAATAAAGGTTCAATAAAATATAAATATTACACATCGAGAGTGATGTTGTACTTTACCTTAAATGTATTTTCAGATTTTTCTGAGAGAATGAGTGGGGAAAGATGGTTGTCAAAGGGCAGTAGGACGGATTCAAACCTATGCCCACACTGTAGCCATGTGTGCCGGTTGGCGCAGCATTATCGCTAGACCAGCCAGGTCACAGGGTTGTTGACTTGTGTGTTTTGTGTACAGATGAGAACGTGCAGGAGCTGGCCGTGGAGCTCGTTCAGCTGGGATTCATCAGCGAGGTAAGACAAGGGGTCACGACCCCTGTGACCTCACAGCACGCCTGCAGCCCCAGGCTCAAAACACTCCAGCACCAGCAGGATTAAGAGGGCTGAGGATGAGGCATTCTGACAATTTGCCTTTCAAATGGGGTCCTGAATTGTCTTTTTTTCTCGACCAGGGCGACCAGCCACGACTCGCTTCGGTTCTGGAAGAGGCCTTCTCCAAGTTCTACAGCCGGAACGGCTTCTTGAATCCGGTCACCGTCTCCTCATAGCAGAGGAGCCTCACCCCCCCCCCCCTCTCCTCAACCATCCCCCTCGTTCTCATCCTCTCCCACAGGACTTCGGTGTCCCTGCCTTGGCCTGTCCCCCCCCCCCCCCCCCCCCCTAGGTGTTTTAGTCTTTTTGTACTTATGCTTCTATTTTATCTTGTGTAGCCATTTGCTTCTCTGTTTTAAAAGAAGAAGAAAAACGACTCGGTTGTCACTTTAGTCAGTATTATGAGCTATATTATGAACGTTTTTAAGGAGTTTTTACGCAAAACTGTATGCGAGCGACAATATCTTCGGTCTCGTGTACTCAGATGTACTTATGCATGGTGCTGTGTGTGGGCGGAGTCTGGTTGTGATTGGTCCTCTTATCTACTTTCTCTTTCTCCCACTGAACCAGGCGTCTTCCTTTGATGCATCAGAAGATGCGAGTGTCAATGTCCCCCCCCCCCTACACTTTTGTATTATCAGAAGGATATGTAACTGTAGTTATGACGACACCTTTACCCAATCCACCGGAGTTCAGGTGGTGAGTGGGAGAGATGATTGCAGTCCAAATGTTGGGATGATTAATAAGTACGGTCTATCAGGAACTTTCAGCACAGAGCCGGTTGGTTCTTTTAGTGAATATTTAGTTTAGTTTTGTGTGGTTTATTAGGATCCCCATTAGCTGTTGCACATGCAGAAGCTACTCTTCCTGGGGTCCACATACACGTGTCAATTTGAATCATTCTATGAGAAGGAACTTTGTCACTCGACTGATGTTTCTTAATGTAACGTTTTTATTTTGCAAATGTTCGAAAGTGGTGGTACATTTTCTCCAATGTATGTTTTGATGCCATTTCAGACACGGTGAAACAGTATTCATATAAGGATCTCTGGTTTACACTTTTAAGACTATTGGCTTTTCTCACAACTCAATAGTCTACATTCCTTAACAAATATATTGACTCATAACATGTACTGAATGCACTCTGTATACCTTAAACTAAACTGTCCGCAAGTTAACAATTATCACTCCCTAATTGACGACACTAAATTCCTATTCTATCAACCATTGTGAAGGGAAGGTATTTTTTTATTTACAGAAACTAAACGACGAATGTGGTGTGGGAGAAGGCCTGTGTGTTAAACTGAGAATAACTTCTTGTCATAACGTACATGCAGTATCAGTGTGGGAGTTACAGGACCTGAGTGGCGCAGTGGTCTCACTGCATCGCAGTGCGTGCCACTAGAAGTTCATCATGGCGCGTTGCCAGCTGCCGGGTATGGAGGAATGCGAGGAAGCTCGTTATCAGCATGTGTTTGCAACCCGGGTGTGGTTCGTTTCACGGGGGCCAGTATAAAAATTAATACAAAAATGTTCACTAAGTAAGTCCTCTGGATAAGAGCGTCTGCAAAGACTAAATGAATGTAATGATCGCTGAAGCACACGTTCTGCATTCAATGCAGCCAAATACGCTAAAGTCCGAAGCACCTGTCCTATACTGTTAGCAACTGCTGCTAGTTTGCACTAATGTACTGTTTTGGTTGTTTTAACTCGTCTTTCAAATACAGTAGCTACTATTGCCTAGGTATGGTTTAGACCAGCAATGGACCGATTTGCATGTGTTAGGGGGAGGGAGGGGTGTGGGTTTGATAAGTGGTCGTAGAATGTTCCAGTTATGGTGGGTTGTAGAAATCAGCCTCTATCCATCGATGGGCAATAAAATGTGATTTGATTTAGAATGTCTGTTTTCATTTACAGGAATAAGGTATTGGTCTTATAGAGTGCATGTCATGCTGGACATAATGCTGTGTCTCAGGGGTAGGAAACCCTGGTCTTGGAGGGCCGCAGGCACTTCCTGTTTTTAATTTAACCAAACTGGGAGACCAGGTGTGTTGAATTTAGGCAATCACTGAACTGATCAATTAGCTCAGTTGGTCGGGTGTGGTGCCTAGTTGGAACAAAATGTAAATGCATTCCAGGAACAGGGTTGCCTACCCCTGCTGTATCTGGCTCTGCAACACCTTTCTCCTCTTGTTTTTTTAATTCCACTTCCTGAAATAAACACGACACTTAGCACTTCAAAAACGTGTCTGCCCTGTTGGTCGCCCTTCTGGTTTCTGTTGACCTAGATTGTCTATGTATTTTATGTAGTAGTGTTTTCCATTGAATGTATGTCTGCTGAAGCCCTGTGTAGCTCAGTTGGTAGAGCATGGCGCTTGCAACGCCAGGGTTGTGGGTTTGAATCCCACGGGGGGCCAGTATGAAGAAACATTTACGCACTCACTAACTGTAACTCACTCTGGATAAGAGCGTCTGCTAAATGACTAAAATGTAAAGAATAGATAAATGGATGACTTGCACACAAGGTTAGGGTCAATTCCAATTCAGTCAGTTCAGTCCGTAAACTGAAATTCCAAATCTTTTCATAGAATTTGGTATTGGAATTTCAGTTGACTTCCAGAATTTAAAATGGAATTGACTCCAACCCTGCTCAAATGAAATGAAACTCCAGCAAACTGGTGATGCTCCACTGATGGAATGGCTCTTTATAATCAACGTTTTGGTCTCAATAGACCTTAATTCAGGGGTTTTCTGCAAAGCTCATTTCATGCTTAAGGAAAAACGTAAGAAAAAGCAAGTTCAGTGGTAACTGGTAAACATTTTTTTTATTATCAACTGTTTCATCAGAATTGTAAGAAGAATAACTGGAGCCCTTGAACGATAATATGTATGTACTGCACAATCTTTAGTCACAAATGACATTGTGCCCAAAGAAATGGACCTGTATTACACACGCCAGTGTCATGCTGACAAAAACATTGATTGACCAAATTAAAGCAGTAAACTTCCATGTGAAAAGTACATCAAGCCTAAAAAGTATTGTTTTGATAGAAAACTGTAAACACTAAATCTAACAGAGACAAATTGTAAGATCAACTTCATTAGTTTTCATCAATTTGAAAAACAATTCGGGGTGTTTTTTCAATTTCTTTACATTGTGTGTGTGTGTCTATGTGTGTAAAAAAATGTTTTCAAAAACATTACAAATCACTTCAATTCAAACACATTACTGTCTCACATTAAATAGTGTTTTACCTCCTATTTTGAAATTAATGTGTGTAGGCACATTCAATTTACGGGTACTTTTGCACATCGCTGCACAATTTTTGGTCCACAAAATTCCATGTTATTCACAACGCTGCCAAACTTTTATAGACAATTTCAATTTTCCGATTACTTAACATGACTGGTAAATGGTAGTGGTTTCAACCACATCTGGGTTCAAATACTATTTGAAATCTTTGAAATACTTTAGCGTTTGCTTTAGTCTGTCTGGAAGAGTTCAAACCCAGATGGTCTGGGTTTGAACTTGAAGCAACTAAGCTATTGGTTCCATTGTCCCAGACAAGCTCAAGAAAGCATTTGAAATTATTGCAAATAGTATTTGAACCCAGGTCTGGTGTGACCTGATCATCCTTTGTCTTGAAGAGACACTGTCCAAAGGAACCAAAGGTTGATAATCAAGGCCAGGGGTTTGCCCACTGGCAATACATGCATTGAATAAACGTTGCCCGTCAATATAAGGCAAATTAATAGGAGAGAAACCCAAAACAACAATATAAGGACAAAGAGTTGCTAAGGTGAGCTCAGACAGTCCAGCCAATCTCTTCCAACCTAGTCTTGCTCGACCCAAATCACATTACACGGTTCATTGTGCCATGATTCTGAATTGAAAAGCCAATAGTGTCCTAACGGACGAGCACCTATGAAATGTGATATTTACTGTAGCCAAGGGAGCTCGACATCACATTTACACATCACCGTCGGCATCAGTAATCTCACAAGTCCTCTGAATTCAAATACTTCTTCAGAGGAAAGACAGGAATATGTGCCTTGTGAATTAAGCACCTGCGAAGCAGACAAAGGCATTTTGTTTCTCACCTCGCCAATGATTTATGGAGGATTACTGAGAAGGTAATCATCTGACAGTTTATGTTTTGTGAGAACTACTGTATACAAATCCTTGAGACAGAGAATGTCATTGAGCACTGTGATATCATCGCCACATCCAGGAAGTCTCTTGGGTGCTCTCCGTCCCTCTAGGAGATAGAGAATGCTTAAGATGGTCTACCGCATGTTTTCAACAGGCCGTGATGGATTCTTATTTCTTAAGACACTGGTACATCAGCGCCCGTGGGTTGAGCACATAGCGCTCTGAGTTGAGGAACTTGGTGAGGTACTGCGGTACGGCGGGCCGTGGCGTCATGAAGGACATGCCGGGACTGACGGCCATGACCTCGGCGATCTTCCGTTTCATCTCGCCAATCTCCTTATCCTGCTTGAGTACTTTTCCTGTGGGACAGAGGTACAGTAGAGGCGCGATAAGCGACGGAGGAGTCATAGACACAAATAAATAATAATAATGATTTATGAAGTCACTGAATTACTGTAGCTAAACTCTCCTTACAATGCCAAATCCTCACATAATAATTGGGCATATAACGGGAACATTCAAGCAAATCTTCCATTGATATCAATGCACGATTTAAGCGAAAGTTCAAGCTACACGCGTATAACTGATGTGGAATCGGCTCAGCAAGCTATAATAGAGCTTATAGAGCAAATTCATAGAATTATCTGAGTCAAATCTAGAGCTTAAAGGCAAACATAAGCTAATAGATGTTCATCATCAACATAATTCTATAGAGCTATAACATAATTTTATAAGCTATATACATAATTCTATAGAGCTATAACAAATTCTAAGAGCTATAACATAATTCTATAGGTCTATACATACTCTATAAGAGCTCTAACCATTCATACAGCTAACCAACATAATTCTATAGAGCTATAACATAATTCTATAGAGCTATAACATAATTCTATAGAGCTCATAACCTTACTATAGAGCTCATAACATAAATTCTCATAAGCCTCTAACATAATTATGATAGAGCTCTAAACATAAATTCTATAGAAGCTCTAACATAATTCTACAGAGCTATAACATTCTTTAAAGCTATAACATAATTCTATAAATCTATAACATAATTCTATAGAGCTCTAACATAATTCTATAGAGCTCTAACATAATTCTTCAGAGCTATAACATTCTATAAAGCTATAACATAATTCTATAAATCTATAACATAATTCTATAGAGCTATAACATAATTCTACAGAGCTATAACATTCTATAAAGCTATAACATAATTCTATAATTCTATAAATCTATAACAATTCTATAGAGCTATAACATTATTCTATAGAGCTCTAACATAATTCTATAGAGCTATAACATTCTATAAAGCTATAACATAATTCTATAAAGCTATAACATAATTCTATAGAGCTATAACATTCTATAGAGCTATAACATAATTCTATAGAGCTATAACATAATTCTATAAAGCTATAACATAATTCTATAGAGCTCTAACATAATTCTATAGAGCTCTAACATAATTCTATAGAGCTATAACATAATTCTATAGAGCTATAACATAATTCTATAGAGCTATAACATAATTCTATAAAGCTATAACATAATTATATAAAGCTATAACATAATTCTATAGAGCTCTAACATAATTCTACAGAGCTATAACATTCTATAAAGCTATAACATAATTCTATAAATCTATAACATAATTCTATAAAGCTATAACATAATTCTATAAAGCTATAACATAATTCTATAGAGGTATAACATTCTATAAAAGCTATAACATAATTCTATAAATCTATAACATAATTCTATAGAGATATAACATATTTCTATAAAGCTATAACATAATTCTATAGAGCTCTAACATAATTCTATAGAGCTATAACATAATTCTATAAATCCATAACATAATTCTATAAATCTATAACATAATTCTATAAATCTATAACATAATTCTAGAGCTATAACATAATTCTATAGAGCTCTAATATAATTCTATAGAGCTATAACATAATTCTATAAATCTATGACATAATTCTATAGAGCTATAACATAACTCTATAGAGCTATAACATAATTCTATAGAGCTATAACATAATTCTATAGAGCTATAACATAATTCTATAAATCCATAACATAATTCTATAAATCTATAACATAATTCTATAAATCTATAACATAATTCTAGAGCTATAACATAATTCTATAGAGCTCTAACATAATTCTATAAAGCTATAACATAATTATTTAGAGCTATAACATTCTATAGAGCTATAACATAATTCTATAGAGCTATAACATAATTCTATAGAGCTATAACATAATTATACAAAGCTATAACATAATTCTATAGAACTATAACATAATTCGATAGAGCTTTAACATAAATGGGGAGGGGGACCTTGTGCTATCTCCAGCTGCCTGCGGGCGTCTCCCAGGGCTGAGAATAGGTCCAGTTTGATGCGCGTCTCGGCGCTCAGGTTGTACTCCAGGTGCTGAGCCTTGTCCTGTAGGCCCGACAAGGCGGAGAGCAGCACGTCCTGTTCCTCCTGTTCCACACAACGATACTTCCCAAGGGCCTGGGATGGGATCAAGGAGAGAGAAACTCGCAATAGCCCCAGGGCTACATAGAAGCAGACTGGCTGGCACCCAAATTGATTTTGCTACGTTTCACTGTTGTTGTAAAGCGAAACGATGGTGAAACGTAGCAAATTCAGTTTGGATGCCAGGCTAACACAGGAGTGTGGACTAACTGGGCAGTGTTCAGTAGGCACGAAACAGGAGAAAACTGAGTGTAACGGGGTGGTTCTGCCTGGAGTTGTCCAATAAGAAATGATTGGTTTCGTTTTCAGTTTGAAAACGTTTTAAACCATGTGTCCTACTGAACATGACCCTGGTGGTCCAGCAGTCATTCTGAGGTACTCCTTGCTTTTAACAGGATGTGCTTTGGTTCCCCAAACTTGTAGAATGCATTTATTTTGTTTTATACTACTTTTTGTGTGCTGAAGAATTGCAATGCCCTCATTAGAAACCCAGTTTCCCCAGTTAGGGAACCAACGCACCACATGACAACAATATTCATTTCCAACAGTGATGGTGGATTGGTGGATGGCCAGCCATTCAAAAAACAATGTGAGCTGAATAATTTATTTTAAAATTCAGGGTTTTTTGTTAAAATTGGTTTTTAAAGTTAAGTGGAGGGAGTAACAGTTGTATTGGGTTGTATTACTAAATAACTAACTAGTAACCTATGAAGAATTCACTTTAAGATGTACAATGTTTTATGAAAGACTTGGCTTCTGCCTCTGCAATGTCTGCATGCTTCATGGAGTATATGTCACCACAAAAAAAACAATAATCACAAACGACAAGATATAAAATATATGTGGAACGAATACAGTTAGAATACAGTATTGATCAATGCAAAGACAAAGTGCCCACGTTACAGTACGTTGTGTTCAGGCCAACACAAAAAAACGGATGATCTGAAAGTCCTCAAAGCACTGGCCCAAACACCATTTCCTGCTACTCAAATCCACAAACACAAATAATGACACAGATAGTCACTTGCAACAAGCCACAACTCTACAAAACGGCATATCCAAAAACACAAGACAACAGAGTATCACTTCAACAACGAGCAAGACGTGAAAACTCACAACCTCGACACGTACATTCGTACGGAACCCACTAATGTGAAAGAGTAGTATTTATTTTTTACCTCCACTTCATTCACTAGAGCTATCACACGCCCCTCTTTCCCTTGACTCTCCAGCTGCAGTTGTTTGTACTCTGTCTCTAGATCTTTTTCCTTTTTCCTTAACATTAGGGTCACAGAGTGTTCCTGCCTAGTGTGATGGAAAATAGAGAGAATAGTACATGTTTTGTTTCAGGTGGTCAGAGAGGTGGGGTTGGGGAGGTGGGGTAGTCCAAACACAAAGAAACATGACATCATCGACAGCAAGCGATTTTATCATTTTTTGGGAGGCATTTTGAAATCCATCTGTATTATTCTTCACTAATTATTATGCTTTTTTACTATGATTGTTGTTACAGGCTGCAATGAAAAGAAAGTTAATAGTACAGCAAATAAAAGAAAGAAAGCAAGTATTGGTGAAATTAGGCATGATCTGGAGCAGGGGTTCTCAGGGGGTCTGCGGAGGTACTGCAGGAGGTCTGTGTTCAGATCTCGAAAAAAAAATACATTTCATTTTTTTTAATGAATATTACTAACAACAACAGATTAAATTAATTTTGGCCAAGCGATCCGAATAACTTTAGAGGGTGCAATACAATACAATGCAATATTATTAATCTACAATTGATGTTCTTAACCCAGGGCAACATGGACCTGGGAGGCTCACAGGGTTATTGGTATCCACAGTCTCCACAGTCTCCACCAATTCTATTTTTTTTTTTCAACTCAATACCCTCTTGTATTGAATACTTCTCAATACATAAATGCACTGTAATTTCAGCTTGAAAACTGCAAAATGTTCTCACCGATACCAAGAGGCAGGCCTTTAAAATGTTCCTTCCCAGGACCCGAAACTTGGTTTGTCCGGCCATGCACTACCGAAATCATAGAATAACTCTGTATGCTATTATTTGTGTTTTGATTATGTGTTTTGTCCCTGATGAATTTTCTTCGACCCCAGAAAGTTTGAGAAGTTTGAGAACCCCTGATCTGGAACATAGACTCATACACTGCCTTCAGAAAGTATTCACACCCCTTGACTTTTTTCACATTTTGTTGTATTACTGCCTGAATTTCAAATGGATTAAATTGAGATTTCATTTTTACAAATTAATTAAAAATTAAAAGCTGAAATGTCTTGACTCAATAAGTATTCAACCCCTTTGTTATGTCAAGCCTAAATCATTTCAGGAGTAAAAATGTGCTTAACAAGTCACATAATAAGTTGAATGGACTCACTCTGTGTGCAATAATAGTGTTTAACATGATTTTTGAATGACTACCTCATCTCTGTACCCACACAAATACAATTATCTGTAAAGTCCCTCGGTCGAGCAGTGAATTTCAAACACAGATTCAACCACAAAGACCAGGGAGGTTTTCCAATGCCTCGCAAAGAAGGACACCTATTGGTAGATGGGTAAAAATAAAAATAAACAGACATTGAATATGCCTTTGAGCATGGTGAAGTTATTAATTACACTTTGGATGGTGTATCAATACACCCAGTCACTACAAAGATACAGGCGTCCTTCCTAACTCAGTTGTTGGAGAGGAAGGAAACCACTCAGGGATTTCACCATGAGGCCAATGGTGACTTTAAAACAGTTACAGAGTTTAATGGCTGTGATAGAAGAAAACTGAGGATGGGTCAACAACATTGTAGTTACTCCACAATACTAACCTAATTGACAGAGTGAAAAGAAGGAAGCCTGTACTGTATTCCAAAACATGCATCCTGTTTGCAACAAGGCACTAAAATAATACAGCAAAAGAATGTGGCAAAGCAATTCACTTTTTGTCCTGAATACAAAGTGTTATGTTTGGGGCAAATCCAATACAACACATTACTGAGTACCACTCTCCCTATTTTCAAGTATAGTGATGGCTGCATCATGTTATGGGTATGCTTGTAATCGTTAAGGACTGGGGAGTTTTCAGGATAAAAAAGAAACGGAATAGAGCAAAGTCCATGGCAAAATCCTAGAGGAAAACCTGGTTCAGTCTGCTATCACCAGACACTGGGAGATGAGTTCACATTTCAACAGGACAATAATCTAATACACTGGAGTTGCTTACCAAGAAGACAGTGAATGTTCCTGAGCGGCCGAGTTACAGTTTTGACTTAAATCTACTTGAAAATCTATGACAAGACTTGAAAATGGTTGTCTAGCAATGATCAACAACCAATTTGACAGAGCTTGAAGAATTTGTTTAATAATAATGGGCAAATGTTGCACAATCCAGGTGTGGGAAGCTCTTAAGAGACTTACCCAGAAATACTCACAGCTGTAATCGCTGCTAAAGGTGCTTCTACAAAGTATTGACTCAGGGGTGTGAATACTTATGTAAATTAGATTTCTCTATTTCATTTTCAATACATTTGCAAACATTTCTAAAAACATGTTTTCAATTTGCCATTATGGGGTATTATGTGTAGATGGGTGAGATTATTTTTTATTTAATCCATTTTGAATTCAGGCTGTAACACAACAAAAATGTGGAATAAGTCAAGGGGTATGAATACTTTCTGAAGGCACTGTATATAGTGTGCACTACTTCTGACCATAGTCCTATGTGTCCCTGAACAAAAATAGTGAACTACATAGGGAATAGGTTGCCATTTGGGATGCAGGCTCAATAGCATCTGAGGGTGAAGGTTGTTGCGTTACATACAAGTCATACATTTATATGCATTTGAATACAAAATAATGGCGGAAGGTGAGAGAGTGAGTGCCATACCTGTTTGGTAGACTACTACGAGCTAAGATGGCCGCCTCCTCTAGTTTGTGAGCCTGGAGTTCTGCCAGCTGTTTCTCTATGGAGAGCCTGGCCTCTGTCTCTGCTCTGGTCTTCTTCTCTAGCACGGCGCTGATCTGCTTGTCTTTCTGCTTGGTCTTGGTCAGCGACAAGATCCTGAAACACAGAGTCAAACCATCATGTTCTAGACCAGGGATGGGCAACTGCCACATGCCCCCTCTTGTAGGCCTGTGGATCAACCTCCCCCCTCCCCCACACACACACACACACACACACGTTAGCCCATGTCAGCTAAAATGTTTTAGATTGGTAAATTAGTCTAGCGGCCATCTATCTAAACTTGTAGTAACTGACATTGATCATCATCAACTGGCATTGATCATCAGATATCATATTAAAAGCTGCAAACAGTTGTCTCCACCCTACACTCTTAGAAAAAAGGTCTACATCCTAAATGGCACCCTATTCCCTACATAGTGCACTACTTTTGACCAGAGCCCTATGGCCCAATAAGGTGCCGTTTTGCATGCAGCCTTGGTGTATATGAATCAATACATTCCATTCCCAGTAAATTGCTTAGAAGGTTCAAAATGTGAAAAAGGTTTCGGTAGCACTTAATGTGATTCTCCAAAGCTTTTGTATAATTTCAGCCAGTAGTGTTGAAAGTAGTGCTCACGAGCCAAAACAGGTCCCCGACAATGTTGCACAATTGGGTACTACGTCATTCATTTTGTATGATATGTTCCGTCCTGTTTTTTTTGGCAATTCGTATGAAATGTTTCGAATTCCAACGTGTACAATATGTTACGAATTTGTAAGTGCTTAAGATCCTGGACTGCATCTTTAACATGGTTAGTTATTTCATTTCAGGATAATCATATTCTTGCATCAAAGTACTACACCACATAGCTTACTTGTGCAAACCTGGCTTGAGTAAAATACTCAGTGAAATAGTGCCGTATGTGGAGGGTGTTGGGGTACAGGGGGGACGTGACATAACGTTTCAAACAAAGTGTGTCAGTGCATATGATAATTATAAATAGTAAATGTTTTATTGTCACATCCACCGGATAGGTGCAGTGAAATGTGTTGTTTTACAAGGTCAGCCATAGCAGTACGGAACCCCTGGAGCAAATTAGGGTTAAGTGCCTTGCTCAAGGGCACATCTACAGATGTTTCACCTTGTCGGCTCAGGTATTCGAACCAGCAACCTTTCGGTTACTGGCCCAATGCTCTAACCGCTAGGCAACTTGCCTAGTAACCAGCAGGGGGAGCCAAAAGCAGTGTATGGCAGACTGACAGGGCACTAGGGCCACGATGCGAGTAAAAAAAAAAAGACCATAAAATGCTCTGTTATCACTCACTTGCTCTGGAGCAACTCATTGTTCTGCCTGAGCAGAGACACCTCGGGCCTCAGGCTGTGCTCGCTGTTGGTCAGGTTGCAGACGTGGCTGCGCAGCTCCTGCTCACCCTGTCTGCTGGCCTGTAGCTCGCCCTTCAGCCTCCTCATCTCCTGCTCCAGCCTGGGAAATGGGGGAGAGGGGGAGGGAGAAAGGGGAGTGGAGAGAGGTAGAGGAGAGAGGGGGAAAGAGATAGAGGGGGGGGGAGAGAGGGCGGTAGAGAGAGAGGCAAAGAGTAAGAAGAGAGAAAGAGAGCTGATTAAGTAACACTCGTACTCTCATGCACATCTCTCTGTAGATCTCCAAAGCCAATGAAACCAAAGTGAACAGCGGCGGAGTGTCCCTACTTAGTGATCTGGTCAGCGTGAGGATTTGGCGCGGCGGGGCCCTTGTCTGCAGCGTGCCGATTGGGGCTGACCGTTTTGGAGCCATTCTTCTGCTTCCTTTCAGCCCTGCCAGTGGGAGGAGGTGAAGGGATGTTAGCGGCGCCGGGGGACGTCCTGCGTGCTTTGGGGGAGGAGGATGAGCCTTTGGCGGCCCGCAGGACTTTGCCGCCTTGCTCCTCCTGAGGTAGATTTTCGGTGGTGGCCGAGGACTCCGGCGACCCTCCTCCTATCACACCGTTGGTGGGGGGGTCTCTGGGTTTTGAGGACTGGGGCGGCTGGGGGTTTGAGTCTCCCAGCGTTGTCTCCTCCACACCCCTCTCGGTCCCTCCCCGCTCCACTCCGCTGTGGATCTGGAGGCATTCCACGGTGAGTCTCTCGTCAGATGCCACAGCACCGTTCTGACACTGGTACTGACTGGACTCAGGTTTGGGCCTCCACTTTGAGTCTGCAGGAGGAAAAGGGCTATATTTCAAAGACAATATCTAGCTACAGAGTATTGGACTCACAGTGAGATGTAACATGTATCTGCTTCCTACACGCACAGGGACATTATAGTGGAGCATTAACTAATAATGTCCTCCTTTGGCACTATATGCGTCCCAAATGGCACCATTTTCTCTATGTACTGCACTACCATCTAAAGGGTTTAACCTGAAACCAACTGCCTTACCCAACAAAGTAGTACTACCGTTGGGGAATCATCTCATAACAGTCAGTGTAAAACAGTGCAGAAGTGAATGAGTAGCAGGCACAACCTCCGCTGCACTTACTGCCGTTGCCGTCTGTGATGCTCTTGGGGTAAAGCTGCAGGCCCGGAGGTAGGGACTGTTCCAGGAGGTGCATGTGAAAGTTGTTCTCGCTCTGCACAGCTTTCTGCGTCCGCAGCTTGAAGATGCTGGTGAAGTAGCAGGTGGTGTCGAACCCCAGATAGACAACAGGGTAGCCAATGCTGGGGGAGAGGGAGCGAGAGAAAAGAAATATAAAATAATGGCCTACATTATTGTCTGTGATGATGACAAACACATGCAGAGTACGCCACTTGTGATTCATTGCGATTTTAAGACGTTAGCTTAAACCCACTCAATTCAAGCGGTTGTGAAAATCCTTGGCATTTAGAAAGGATCTACAGCGTATAATCTGGGTCTGTTTGGAAGATTCTGCTCGAGGGTGAATATACGGTGAGAAGTGCTTTGTGTTCAATCGACCTACCAGTGCGCGGCGAAGAGATGAGACAGGTTGGCGTGGGAGTTGTTCAGATCTTTGAGCCTCAGCGAAGCGTCCGTGTACACCAGCAGGACCCACAGGGACACCCACAGGGACACCGTCGACATACAGATGCCTTTCTCTGAGAAGAAGAAATAAATTATTATAAAAAACATCAAAAACTTACCAAGAGAAAATACTAGCTTATGTTTATAGCTAGTGTAGCTACCACCAGAACTGTGCTTTTACAAATTAAACCAGTAAGTCTATCAGGTGACAGCATAACACGCTTCCATTTCTCTGTAACGGGTTGAAGCAAACCAATCTCTGTAACAGGTTGAAACTTTCAATTCCGTCAATTTTCATCATTTATATTATAAATGGCAGATTTCTAAATTTCCAGAATGGTTTGTTTAAACTCTTTACAGAAACATGTGACTTGTTAGACAACTATTAAATAACATTCCACATTATCCTTATCTAAGGCATTCCACAGCTAGGCAATACAATACATATTTTTTCCCTGTAAAACAGGCTTGATATGCTTACCTGTGTGCCAAATGTAATTGAATAAGACATAGGTGCTGGCTGCGAAGAACAACCAGTGGAGGGGAATAAAAATGAAACATAACATGTCCAGGGTGAACGTCACACACACAAACACCACACAAATAACCTGCAACAGAGAAACAGTGCATTACGTTGGTGCTACGTTGGACAGCTACATTTTATTCTGTCTGCTTGGGTTTCGAACAAGAAGACAATGGCTGCAGTATATAACAGGTTTATAACATTTATATAACAGGTTGCAAGGCCTAAAACTATTTTCTACAATATCTTGATCTCAATACTTTACTGTTATTGACTTCTGTCTAGAAGACCATTAAAGGGCAGGCTGCATCCCAGATGGCATTCTATTCCCTGTAATATAGGGCACTACTTTTGACCAGAGCCCTATGTTGAAAAGTAGGGTTCTGGTCAAAAGTAGTGCACTATATTACAGGGAATAGGGTGCTATTTTGGACACAGCCTAACTGATAAAGTCCTCACCAGCCCATGGCAGTGGAAAGTGTTATAGGCACTCCTGAAGAATAGCCAACAGGGCCACAGGTATTCCAGTCGAAACTCCAGTATAAAATCTGCCAGGAGCACCAGAGTCCACACGATCATAAACTTCAGAAAGGTGTAAGCGCTGCAAAACAGGCATAAGAGGAGGATATGAAGAGTTTCATTCCAAAACGCTATATATCCATTTTCAGAAATGTTGGTAAATTAGCTTTTTTTGTTTAAACATTTACATTTTTGTCATTTAGCAGACGCTCTTATCCAGAGCGACTTACAGTTAGTGAGTGCATACATTATTAATTTATATTTTTTCATAATGGCTCCCCGTGGGAATTTAACCCACAACCCTGGCGTTGCAAACGCCATGCTCTACCAACTGAGCTACATGCTCACTTAAAGAACTTAGGAAAGAGACTTGTGTGTTTTTTCACTATCTAATCATGGCATGGGGTTGTTTAATGACAGATATGTATTTGTTTGAAACTTATCACTAGATTGTTTGTCTCTATGAAATGAAACAATCATATTTTGTAGAAGAAAACAGATATATCCCACTCAAAAATGTAGCACTGCAAGGTTTTACACCGTCAAATGTGACAAATAATTACATTTTTTGTAACGAGCTGTACAAATGATACATTTGTGACATCATATTTTACAAATATATATATTTAATGAAATGAATCAGTACAGTAATATGAGATCTGGGCTTTGGTCAAAAGTAGTGCACTGTAAAGGGAATAGGGTGCCATTTGGAACGAGACCTAACTCTAACCAAACACTATAGCATGATGGTAGATTTTTTATGTGGTGAACTGATATGATATACAGGATATGAATATTCCATTCCAGCTAAACAATGGATAAACAGTGAGGGAAAAAAGATGATCCGCTGCTGATTTTGTGCGTTTGCCCACTGACAAAGACATGATCAGTCTATAATTTTAATGGTAGGTTTATTTGAACAGTGAGAGACAGAATAACAACAACAAAATCCAGAAAAACGCATGTCAAAAATGTTATAAATTGATTTGCATTTTAATGAGGGAAATAAGTATTTGACCCCTCTGCAAAACATGACTTAGTACTTGGTGGCAAAACCCTTGTTGGCAATCACAGAGGTCAGACGTTTCTTGTAATTGGCCACCAGGCTTGCACACATCTCAGGAGGGATTTTGTCCCACTCCTCTTTGCAGATCTTCTCCAAGTCATTAAGGTTTTGAGGCTGACGTTTGGCAACTCGAACCTTCAGCTCCCTCCACAGATTTTCTATGGGATTAAGGTCTGGAGACTGGCTAGGCCACTCCAGGACCTTAATGTGCTTCTTCTTGAGCCATTCCTTTGTTGCCTTGGCCGTGTGTTTTGGGCCATTGTCATGCTGGAATACCCATCCACGACCCATTTTCAATGCAGTGGCTGAGGGAAGGAGGTTCTCACCCAAGATTTGACGGTACATGGCCCCGTCCATCGTCCCTTTGATGCGGTGAAGTTGTCCTGTCACCTTAGCAGAAAAACACCCCCAAAGCATAATGTTACCTCCATGTTTGACGGTGGGGATGGTGTTCTTGGGGTCATAGGCAGCATTCCTCCTCCTCCAAACATGGCGAGTTGAGTTGATGCCAAAGAGCTCGATTTTGGTCTCATCTGACCACAACACTTTCACCCAGTTCTTCTCTGAATCATTCAGATGTTCATTGGCAAACTTCAGACGGGCCTGTATATGTGCTTTCTTGAGCAGGGGGACCTTGCGGGCGCTGCAGGATTTCAGTCCTTCACGACATAGTGTGTTACCAATTGTTTTCTTGGTGACTGTGGTCCCAGCTGCCTTGAGATCATTGACAATATCCTCCTGTGTAGTTCTGGGCTGATTCCTCACCGTTCTCATGATCATTGCAACTCCACGAGGTGAGATCTTGCATGGAGCCCCAGGCCGAGGGAGATTGACAGTTATTTTGTGTTTCTTCCATTTGCGAATAATCGCACCAACTGTTGTCACCTTCTCACCAAGCTGCTTGGCGATGGTCTTGTAGCCCATTCCAGCCTTGTGTAGGTCTACAATCTTGTCCCTGACATCCTTGGAGAGCTCTTTGGTCTTGGCCATGGTGGAGAGTTTGGAATCTGATTGATTGATTGCTTCTGTGGACAGGTGTCTTTTATACAGGTAACAAACTGAGATTAGGAGCACTCCCTTTAAGAGTGTGCTCCTAATCTCAGCTCGTTACCTCTATAAAAGACACCTGGGAGCCAGATATCTTTCTGATTGAGAGGGGGTCAAATACTTATTTCCCTCATTAAAATGCAAATCAATTTATAACATTTTTGACATTTTCTGGATTTTTTTGTTCAGAAACTGTTCAAATAAACCTACCATTAAAATTATAGACTGATAATTTCTTTGTCAGTGGGCAAACATACAAAATCAGCAGGGGATCAAATACTTTTTTCCCTCACTGTGCATTCGGAAAGAAAAATTTATGAAAAATGTATGCACTCACTAACTGTAAGTCGCTCTGGATAAGAGCGTCTGCTAAATGACTAAAATGTCAATGTAAATGTAATTCAGACCCCTTTACTTTTTCCACATTTTGTTACGTTACAGTCTTATTCTAAAATTGATTACATCGTTTTTTTCCCTCATCAATCTACACACAATACCCCATAATGTCACAGCAAAAACAGGTTCTTAGACATTTTTGCAAATTTATAAAATAAAATAAAACTGAAATATCACATTTACATAAGTATTCAGACCCTTTACTCAGTACTTTGTTGAAGCACATTTGGCAGCAATTACAGCCTCAAGACTTTTTGGGTAGGATGCTACAAGCTTGGCAAACCTGTATTTGGGAAGTTTCTCCCAATCTTCTCTGCAGATCCTCTCAAGCTCTGTCAGGTTGGATGGGGAGCGTCGCTGCACAGCTATTTTCAGGTCTCTCCAGAGATGTTCCATCGGGTTCAAGACATTCAGAGACTTGTCCCGAAGCCACTCCTGCGTTGTCTTGGCTGTGTGCTTAGGGTCATTGTCCTGTTGGAAGGTGAACCTTCGCCCCAGTCTGAGGTCCTGAGCGCTCTGGAGCAGGTTTTCATCAAGGAGCTCTCTGTACTTTGCTCCGTTCATCTTTCCCTGAATCCTGACTAGTTTTCCAGTCCTTGCCGCTGAAAAACATTCCCACAGCATGATGCTGCCACCCCCAAGCTTCACCATAGGGATGGTGCCAAGTTTCCTCCAGATGTGACGCTTGATAATCAGGCCAAACTTTGGATCTTGGTTTCATCAGACCAGATAATCTTGTTTCTCATGGTCTGAGAGTCCTTTAGGTGCCTTTTGGCAAACTCCAAGCAGGCTGTCATGTGCCTTTTACTGAGGAGTGGCTTCCGTCTGGCCACTCTACCATTAAGACCTGATTGGTGGAGTGCTGCAGAGATGGTTGTCCTTCTGGAAGGTTCTCCCATCTCCACAGAGGAACTCTGGACCATCGGGTTCTTGGTCACCTCCTTGACCAAGGCCCTGCTCCCCCAGATTGCTTAGTTTGGCCTGGAGGCCAGGGCTACGAAGAGTCTTGGTGGTTCCAAACTTCTTCCATTTAAGAATGATGGAGGCCACTGTGCTCTTGGGGATCTTCATTGCTGCAGAAATGTTTTGGTACCCTTCCCCAGATCTGTGCCTCAACACAATCCTGTCTCGGAGCTCTACGGACAATTCCTTCAACCTCATGGCTTGGTTTTTGCTCTGACATGCACTGTCAACTGTGGGACCTTATATAGACAGGTGTGTGGGCCCCGTGTAGCTCAGTTGGTGGAGCATGGCGCTTGCAATGCCAGGGTTGTGGGTTCGTTTCCCACAGGGGGCCAGTATGAAAAAAAAAAATGTATGCACTAACTGTAAGTCGCTCTGGATAAGAGCATCTGCTAAATGACTCAAATGTAAATGTAAAAATGTGTGTGCCTTTCCAAATCATGTCCAATCAATTGAATTTACCACAGGTGGACTACAATCAAGTTGTAGAAACATCTCAAGGATGATCAATGGAAACAGAATGCACCTGAGCTCAATTTCGAGTCTCATAGCAAAGGGTCTGAATACTTATGTAAATAAGGAGTTTCAGATTATTTTTTTTATATATATATACATTTGCAAAAATGTCTAAAAACCTATTTTCGCTTTGCCATTATGGGGTATTGTGTGTAGATTGATGAGGAAAAACATGTATTTAATCAATTTTAGAATAAGGCTGTAACGTAACAAAATGTGGAAAAAGTCAAAAGGTCTGAATGCTTTCCGAATGCACTGTACACTGTGTATACCAAACATTAGGAACATCACACCCATTTGCCCTCAGCCTTAATTCGTTAGGGCATGGACTCTACAAGGTGTAGAAAGCGTTCCACAGGGATGCTGGCCCATGTTGACTCCAATGCTTCCCACAGTTGTGTCAAGTTGGCTGGATGTCCTTTGGGTGGTGGACCATTCTTGATACGCACGGGAAACTGTTGAGCGTGAAAAACCCAGTAGCGTTGCAGTTCATGACACAAAATGGTGCGCCTGGCACCTACTACCATACCCCGTTCAAAGGCACTTAAATATTTTGTCTTGTCCATTCACCCTCTGAATGGCACACATACACAATCCATGTCTCAATTGTCTCAAGGCTTAAAAATCATTTAATAACCCGTCTCCTCCCCTTCATCTACACTGATTGAAGTGGATTTACCAAATGACATCAATAAGGGATCATAGCTTTCACCTGGATTCACCTAGTTAGTCTATGTCATGGAAAGAGCAGGTGTTCTTAATGTTTTGTATACTCAGTGTAGTGTTTTGCAACAAAACCAATTATAATACACATCTAAGAGGACAGTAATATTTTACACACTGGTACCCATAAGCATTAATTTCTGATGAAAAACACGTGTGAAAAATTGGTGAATATAGCTTTTTGGAAATAAACTCTTCTTATGTAAAATGTGTGTGTTATAATTGTATTGAAATAATGGTAAAAATGTAATGCTGATGATCTGTGATTGAAGGTTTAAAAAAAATCTCTATCTACTGGAAGAGCTAAATGTAGCTTATTTCTCATGATATAGGCCTAAGCCCGTTATTATAATGCATTTGGCAGGAATATTGACAAACTGTGAAAGATACTGTTCCTAACAGAAAACCACACAACTGTAAGACAAAGTTACTTTCATGTAAAAGGTGTGAAAAACATTTTGAAGTCTTGCTTAATTAAATATAATAAACCGTCTTATGCATATAAAGCTTCATTAAATTAGGTGATCGCATACTCATATAGGGATTCATCTCAATTAGGCAAATATTGTAATCACTAAATCATGATTCATTACATTATTTTACATTTGGGAACATATCCTAGTTTTCTATAGGATATCATCTTAGAGAAAACGAGACACTTGGATAAGATAACGCCTACATTCTCTCGTTATAGGCTACACTCATGTCTTGTTTTGAACAACTCCTTTGTTCGTGCGCTCGACACCTCCATACATCCTTACATCGCCCCCTTTTTGTTTGGTAACCATGACAACGTTTCATCCGTGATACTGGGTACCAAAAGAGCTCAACTGAAATGTACATTTTAGTCATTTTAGCAGACGCGCTTATCCAGAGCAACTTACAGTTAGTGCATTCATAAACTGAACATTCCTCAGCGCTTTGTCTCGTCACAAAGGGGACATTGCGAATTCTCTATTGGGTCTGTCTGTAATTAAATGCTTGAAATGGCTACCTGGTCGTAAGCCAATATTGCATGAATAGGTTTAAGTAGGCCTATATCTATTAAAAGTGAGAGCACATAATAATAATAATAATAATAATAATAATAATAATAATAATTTTTAATAATAATAATTCGGATTATTGTAGCATAATTTAATGGTTAGCCTTCAAATGAGAGAAGATAGACTGAATCATGTATTGTGTCTGCGCACAACCCGCAAAAACTCATCATATGGTAGGCTATGATAAAATAGTCCGATAGCTCGCGTTGGCTAGCCTTCCGTAACAACTACCCAAATCAAGTAGCATTGGCTTCTTTTTCAAGTTGACTCTGCTATAATGTTTGTAGGCCTATTTAGCAACCACAATGTCCTTTTCCATATCCTACAGCGTCCAAGACTAAGCTAAAGTGAAGAAGCAATTATTGTGATAAAAATAGACATCAGGTGAGAATGACGAAGATGCGCATTACACAAAGCCTATCAACAACAAAAGCAACGGCATCCGGTCGATGCGTCACCTCACTATACCTTTCAGATATCTCCTCCGTAATTTTTATCTTTTTCATTTTCCGTAGCTTGCTTGCGTCCACATAACGTTTCTTCATTTTATGGCTTCTATTCCTTGTGCTCTAATAAACCGCAAAAAGCGGCAATCAATGTAGGAAAAAACGAATGTGGATGGCCTTGTTAGAAAACAACAACCTGATATTTTGAGGCTTTGTGTATGAATGAAACTCCACCGCGGATGCTACTGTGCGCATGTTCTGTACTTCGACGTCTCGAGCGCGCGATGGAGACAGCACGCACAGGATTGCTATACGGGATCATTGGGACGTCCCTACACTAAACCCTAACCTTAACCCCTACTCCTAACCTTAACTCTTACCTTAACCATTTTAAATGTAAACTTCAAATGAGGTAGGGAAGTACCAAGGATTCCGGATAGCATGGACCCTTGCTGTGGCCAGCTGTGTAGACTACATGTAGGCCTGTACCTGTGTTTTTGCATAGAAATGAATGGTAAATTATGTATTGTGTCATTTTGGAGTCACTTGTATTGAAAATAAGAATAGAATATGTTTCTAAACACTTCTGCATTAATGTGGATACTACCATGATTACAGATAATCATTAGTGAATCGTGAATAATGATGAGTGAGAAAGTTACAGAGAAATACCTCCCCTTAGCATGCCTTAGCATGTTAGCATGTCTTGGGGGTATGATATTTGGGCATCATGGTTGCATCCACATTAATGTAGAAGTGTTTAGAAACATATTCTATTATTATTTACAATAAAAGTGACTCCAAAATGACACAGTAGATTATGTACCATTCATTTCTACTGGGCACACACTGAAACACAACCACAACAAACTGTAAATGCATCCAACAAGTTTGTAGTCATTGCGTGCATCGTAATCATATGAACACTGAATGCTCTGGCTCAAATACAAATTATAATAATACATGTAAAAATATACTCTATCTGAGCTTTCCCAATGCAACTAATGGATATTTGTGTGTGTGTGTGTGTGTGTGTGTGTTTGTGTGTGTGTGTGTGTGTGTGTGTGTGTCCTTGAAGTGGGAACTACATAGGGGAAAAGCCCTACTAAAAAGGAAGTAGCTGTGATGACTGTCACACTGACTGTAACAACAGCCTACACTATAACTGATTGAAATGTAACTGATTATTAACCATTAGCAGTTTTTCAGTAGTTATGTCACAGTATTTATGTCACTCATTCCATTTTTTATACTTTTTGTGTATGCTATGCATAGCCGTGGGAAATAGGGGTGCTGAGGGTGCTGCAGCGCCCCCTGAAAAATCGGAGTAAAACAAATAAATAATAAGAAAGAAAGAAAGAAAAAATTAAATTAAATATTTTTTCACAGAAGTAGTGCACTGGTCCTTTTATAGTCCAGTATTAGCTGACCAATATAGCAATCTGCAGTGCCAGCAAAAATATTTGTTCAGGTCCCCCCATCAACAAAAACATTTTCAGCAAAAAAATACAATTTCCCTGTGCAACCTCCTCTCTCTACAGCCACTTCCGCCACTTCCTGCATTTGCAAGAATAAGAACTCCAACTGCTCTAGCCTGGCAAAGAAGTGGAGCTGCAACCACCCTCAAGTTGCCACCTGGTGTCCTGCGTCCAAGCGCACCAACTGATCGCCTGACCTGAGACACCATGAGATGATAGGCTCACCCGTCAACTTAATGAATCAACTTCGCTTCATTTAATATAGCTGTAAGCTGTACGGTTGTATTAAAGCCGTGTCTATCCTCTCTACAGAACAAATTAGACTAGTAAAGTTTAAAGTTTGACTGTTGGGTGACTGGGTTGCTGGACTTTCTTGGTGAACGGCAATGTGCATCATAATGACTTGGCAAATACATTTTGACTCAAGCCTCAAAAACTACAAGCACACTTCTTTTTTACAACTTCATTCAAGATTTAAAAAATAAATAATAATATGTATCAAGGACATGATATGAGTTTGCAATGTTATGCAAAGACACAAGTGCAGCCACTTAACAAGGCCACTGAGCTATGTTTTGATTCAACTACTTGGTTTGGTATAAAGCTGAAGGAAGGGCATGGAGGAATGTAACCACTCTCAACTGATCAACGTGATAGTTTTAAACATATTTGGAGGCGATACAATGTTTGTTTACAAAAACTCAAAACATAAAACATTTAGTAATACAACCTTTGCATTATGATGGGGTTCTAAGCTCATGGCACATTTAAAAGTTATATTCTTCAAGAATAAATAGGTATTCATTGAAATGACCATTGAGCAGCATTACATATCCCAGATTGTGCCTTTAAAATAGAAGGGTGCAATGTTGTGCATTGGCCCAGAGAGGTCAATATTGTATAGGGTTAACATGAGTAGTTATAGCATGACTTGTTTGAAACAAAACAAACAAAACATTAAAGGACAACCAAATTAAGTGACGTGTCATTTACATAGTGGGGTTCTTTGTGACCTTCCTCTATACATTATACACTTACTACTACCAGCCAATCACTGTGTTCATAAATGGTGTACATGTTTTGAAAGTTAGTTTAAAGTATACTGTAGCCCTGACCTCAGCCCCATCGAACACCTTTTGGATTTTTATTTTATTTTTTATTTTTTATTTAACCTTTATTTAACCAGGTAAGCCAGTTGAGAACAAGTTCTCATTTACAACTGCGACCTGGCCAAGATAAAGCAAAGCAGTGCGATAAAAACAACAACACAGAGTTACATATGGGGTAAAACAAAACATAAAGTCAAAAAATACAACAGAAAATATATATACAGTGTGTGCAAATGTAGCAAGTTATGGAGGTAAGGCAATAAATAGGCTATAGTGCAAAATAATTACAATTAGTATTAACACTGGAATGATAGATGTGCAAGAGAATATGTGCAAATAGAGATACTGGGGTGCAAATGAGCAAAATAAATAACAATATAGGGATGAGGTAGTTGGGTGGGCTAATTTCAGATGGGCTGTGTACAGGTGCAGTGATCGGTAAGGTGCTCTGACAACTGATGCTTAAAGTTAGTGAGGGAGATAAGAGTCTCCAGCTTCAGAGATTTTTGCAATTCGTTCCAGTCATTGGCAGCAGAGAACTGGAAGGAATGGCGGCCAAAGGAGGTGTTGGCTTTGGGGATGACCAGTGAGATATACCTGCTGGAGCGCATACTACGGGTGGGTGTTGCTATGGTGACCAATGAGCTAAGATAAGGCGGGGATTTGCCTAGCAGTGATTTATAGATGGCCTGGAGCCAGTGGGTTTGACGACGAACATGTAATGAGGACCAGCCAACAAGAGCGTACAGGTCACAGTGGTGGGTAGTGTATGGGGCTTTGGAGACAAAACGGATGGCACTGTGATAGACTACATCCAATTTGCTGAGTAGAGTGTTGGAGGCTATTTTGTAAATGACATCGCCGAAGTCAAGGATCGGTAGGATAGTCAGTTTTACGAAGGCATGTTTGGCAGCATGAGTGAAGGAGGCTTTGATGCGAAATAGGAAGCCGATTCTGGATTTAACTTTGGATTGGAGATTCTTAATGTGAGTCTGGAAGGAGAGTTTACAGTCTAACCAGACACCTAGGTATTTGTAGTTGTCCACATACTCTAGGTCAGACCCGTCGAGAGTAGTGATTCTAGTCGGGTGGGCGGGAGCCAGCAGCGTTCAATTGAAGAGCATGCATTTAGTTTTACTAGTGTTTAAGAGCAGTTGGAGGCTACTGAAGGAGTGTCATATGGCATTGAAGCTCGTTTGGAGGTTTGTTAACACAGTGTCCAATGAAGGGATGAATTGGAACGCTGACTGTAAGCCAGGCCTAATCGCCCAACATCAGTGCCCAACCTCACTAATGCTCTTGTGGCTGAATGGAATCAAGTCCCCACAGCAATGTTCCAACATCTAGTGGAAAGCCTTCCCAGAAGAGTGGAGGCTGTTATAGCAGCAAAGGGGGGACCAACTCCATATTAATGCCCATGATTTTGGAATGAGATGTTCGACGAACAGGTGTCCACATACTTTTGGTCATGTAGTGTATCTCAAAACAACACAAATGCACAGACACAAACCATACATTTTGTATGGGTTATAAGACTTTTCCACAAACCTTTCAAGGACGTGATGGCGACGGAGGGAATTGTGCCAGGCGCCACATCTAGAAATACACTATCTTCTGTCTGTTCTTTAGTTTCTCTGAAATCTACTTGTGTTGTGTGGTAAATCCACGTGTCAGCGGGATCTGGAGGGTATATAACTTAATGCTTCCATGTCCACTCTCACCTTCCTGTGTGCTTTGGGTCTCCTTGTTGTTCTACAGGTGGCTGCTGCCTGGGCGGATGATGTGGAGGACTCTTCAACTGTAAGTGGGTTGTTCTATAGACCAGGCAGTAATTTAGAATCACCACAATATTAATATTTTGAATAACATACAGTGGGGGAAAAAAGTATTTAGTCAGCCACCAATTGTGCAAGTTCTCCCACTTAAAAAGATGAGAGAGGCCTGTAATTTTCATCATAGGTACACGTCAACTATGACAGACAAAATGAGATTTTTTTTCTCCAGAAAATCACATTGTAGGATTTTTTATGAATTTATTTGCAAATTATGGTGGAAAATAAGTATTTGGTCAATAAAAAAAGTTTCTCAATACTTGTTATATACCCTTTGTTGGCAATGACACAGGTCAAACGTTTTCTGTAAGTCTTCACAAGGTTTTCACACACTATTGCTGGTATTTTGGCCCATTCCTCCATGCAGATCTCCTCTAGAGCAGTGATGTTTTGGGGCTGTTGCAGGCCAACACGGACTTTCAACTCCCTCCAAAGATTTTCTATGGGGTTGAGATCTGGAGACTGGCTAGGCCACTCCAGGACCTTGAAATGCTTCTTACGAAGCCACTCCTTCGTTGCCCGGGCGGTGTGTTTGGGATCATTGTCATGCTGAAAGACCCAGCCCATCTTCAATGCCCTTGCTGATGGAAGGAGGTTTTCACTCAAAATCTCACGATACATGGCCCCATTCATTCTATCCTTTACACGGATCAGTCGTCCTGGTCCCTTTGCAGAAAAACAGCCCCAAAGCATGATGTTTCCACCCCCATGCTTCACAGTAGGTATGGTGTTCTTTGGATGCAACTCAGCATTCTTTGTTCTCCAAACACGACGAGTTGAGTTTTTACCAAAAAGTTATATTTTGGTTTC